AAGAAATATATTTTATACTTTCCATTTATAACTCTTGAAAAATATCACTTTTACAAAAAGTCTTAGGTTTTAAGTCTAAATACAGAATAATTCTTCAAGTATCTATTCATACTCCTAGTTCAAGTATTCTATAGCTGTAAATTTTACAGTACAAGCCTTTTTGAAGCACAAGCCCAATCATCGGTCATTTTAAAGATCAGTCAAGGTAAAAAGAGAATGTTCGTAGGGAAATAATAATTTCGCCATATCTCTTTTAGCATATCATCCCCAGCTAAAAGGGAGATTATTGTATTGATCTTGGACTTTGTAGTATTTGAACTATCACAGAAAACCATAAAGTCTCTTAATCATTCATTTATTATTTGGAAAAGTATGGTTACAGAAAATTATCCAGGAGGCCAGGACATTTGTCTTCCTCCTAGAACATGTAAATGTAGATGATAAACAGACTGAGCTCCATTTTTTCCATTATTAATAACAACTCTGTAGCCTTCACTAAGATTCTCCTTGTCTGCACATTTTCTTGCAACATTCATCAAGTGTCCTAAAAGCTGTAAGCAAATTAAACGAATACTTATAATATCAGTTCTCGAGAAATATGATAAATAAGATTTGAAATACATTTGCATCTTCTTCTTGAGCAGTTGACAGTTGGGAAATCGGCTTTTTAGGTATCACCAGAAAATGCACGGGAGCTTGAGGGCTTACATCATGAAAAGCTAAGCTCTGCAAATAGTATAACATTCATCAAATAGTACTGTAAATATAACTAAATTACTTTTCCAACCGGTTCACAGTCAAACCGAATTTAATAACTATTATCGAGATAAGTAAGGGGCAGAAAAAACTATAATAAATCTATTTGAATTCCTCTAATTTAATAAAATAAACTAGTTAAGGACCAGATTAATTCTGATGATAATTTCATTTATTTTATAAAACTGCGGCTAGTTTCTTACCTTTTCGTCTTCATATAAAATTTTAGCTGGAATTTCTTTGCGTATGATTTTACCAAAGATGGTATCTCCTCCTGGAGCCGCAGTTTGCGCTCTATCAACTTCGTCAGCCATTTTACCGACAACTTAAACCAGGTATGATTAAAAATATGTCTATTTTACCAATTTTTTTATAGTTGTTATGCTCTGCTACCTAATCCAATCAGAAACGTCGGTAATATGAGTAGACTGGGAAAGGGGATCAGACTGGAGTTGGCACTTTATTTACAATGTTCTTACTTTCATTTGCTTTGTAAGCTAACTTAGCCATGTATGCCTTCTGTTCATGTAAATTTCAGCATTGACATCCGACATCTGGACACTTTCTAAATATAGAAATGTATGTTAACCATGATAGAATGACACTCACAAAAGATTCATAAATAAGACAGAAATCTTTTAAAACTTTTATTTAGGAGAGAAATCATTACGGACTAAGTCTGATTGACTTGATTAGTTGTATAAAGAATTCATTCATTTAATTTAAAGAGATGGTTATTCTTACCTATTCTGCCGCTTTAATTATAGCATTGAGGAATGAATTTGTATTTAAAAAAAACGCAAAAACATAGCAAAGAAAACGCATGTATTTAAAGAAAATTTAGTATAAGTTTTGTTTAATTACGCAATTGCCGCAAGATAATCTTTAACTTCTGGAGGTGTAAGCCGACGGAATCCATCTTTGTTACAAATTCCGACTTCGATATTATCCTCAGTCATCTGGCCTTCAAAACTTTCTTTTAAAGTTAAAATAGCTGTATGTACGGCATCTTCTAGTTCAATGTTGTCGGAATATCTAAGGAAAGAGTAATTGTTATAATGCAAACCAGTGAAGCATGCAAACCAACCTTTTTTCCAGAAAAGTTTTTCCATTTACAAAGTTCTTTCCCATGGCTGTAGCTTTCCAAGCGAAGTAGGCTCCCTATGGTAATTTTTTAGATCTTTAGTTTAATTGATTATTTAAATAATTCTGTATTACTGATGGATCGCATTGGTAAAGGTATGGTCGTTCTTCATCTTCATCCCAACCTGCTACTAAAAGAGACACTCCAAAAGGTCGTACGCCACTATAGAAGAAAGTTATTTAACAGTTATCTTGAAATAAGAATATTTGTTGACTCATACCCTGACTGAGTATATTCCTGCATTACAGCAGCCACTTTTTGAACAAGAACTCCACTTGGTATATTGTCACTGTACTGAAGATCATATTGTTGAGCCAATTTTCTTGCTTGCTTTATCAAGACTCTGTAATTGACGTTTAATTTGATAATCGTGTAAATTTGATAGTACTATAATTTGACCTATATAAAAGGTAAAATAAAAGAAGTGCTAACCTGTAGTCAGGGCCCATACCACTGTAGACCATACCAATATTCTTATTGATAGTTTCAATTTTATGAACTGTGTGTTCATCATAAAGAGTGGATTTGTGTTTTTTTTCTGTTGCCAAAACAACACCATTTGTTGCCTTAATACCAACTGAGGGGGCACCAGAAGCTACGGCTGCCAGAGCATATTCGATTTGAACTAATTTTCCAGAAGGGCTAAATTATCGAAATAAAAGTATGTAGTGAAAATTTCGCCGAAAATCTTAAAGCATAAAAGCAAATATTATACAATTGATTTTTAGAAATTTCTTTGTAACTAAATGATAAAATTAATAACATAGAAAATATTGGTTATAAAATTATTTCCATTTAAATAGTAATTACCTAAATGTAGTTAAAGAAAAGCTATAGCGCTCTGTCATCCTAACTTTTTTTCGTTACCCACTTTGCTAGATTTATAAGATAAAATAATAAAGGGATTCAAAATGGCGGCACTTAAAAAAAGTCTCGTCGACATATTTCTCGTGGTAAGTCTATTTTTTTAAATTATATATCGCTGGATAAAAAAATTTTCGTATACTTTTTTAAAATTGAATTATATATAATTCATTTTAAAAAATAATTTTTAGAAAATTTTAAAAAAGTTATCTTCGTATAAAAAAATCCCACAATGCACATCGCCGCCATCACAAAACAATAAACAAGCCTCAACAGATCAGCTTGACATTTTTCTCGTTTTTCTCCTTTATGACTAGCAAATTTGGGATTAATTTGAGGAAAAGTCTTAAATTATGTACGTATGTTTAAAAGGCTTTGGATTATATTAGGAAAATGTTTCTAATAAAGAACATTTTGAATTTGTTCTATTTGACAGTTTTCGTATATTCTTTACTATTGTCGACAGCTGTAAATTAGAAATTCTACTCTAGACGATGGATCCAGAATATGAAAAGAGGCTTTTAGGTGAAAGTCCAATAGGAAAGAGTCAAACTACTCCGACATCTCCTTCTAAACATGTTTATAGCGACCGATTTATTCCCGTCCGAACGAAGGCGAGAGTTTCCCTGACATTCGAAGGCCAGGTAATATATTTTTGTTAATTAGAGTGCATAGTGACTCGAAAGAAATATAATTTTAAGACATAGCATAATAGAAAGCAAGGATCAGTTTTAAGTTGATAATTTAGAGTAAGCTCTTTTTCCGGAAAAGTGTTCCGTCACCGAAGAAGCATTACAAAGCAGAATTGTTATATTGAGCAAATAGTTAATTTTATTGATGGCAGAAATTGTAAAAGGACATAATAAACTATACATAATATGAATGCAATATTCCTTTCCACGTATGGAACGAATTGCCCCGAATCAGCTTAAAGCATCGTCCGCTCATGACACGCTTTAATGTTCTTTTTTGCATAAATTGCAATATGTCAAACTGATCAATACGGTATACTCATATAAGCATGTTCCATTACCAGAGTAAATTATCGAAAGTTTCGAAGGCAACGTTTGTTTGTTGTCAGTGTATTGTGTAGGCAATTGACATTAGTGAAAGGAAAATGGACTATGTAGTCTTGTATTTATTTTACGTACATTATTGCATTACATTTGATATTTCTCATAATTACTCACTTTACTCAAAAAATTATTTTTTATAATTTTACTATTATAGGAGAAAAAGCAAACAATGGAAAAAGATTGCAGGAAAACTTCTCGAACAGAAACATCCGAAACTAGAGAATCATCAGTAATTTACAACTGCCTCTTGAAAAACGAGTTATTAGGAGCGGGTATAGAAGAAACAGAAAACATCTTATCTCCAAAATCACATTTTTCAAACAACGTTCTTTCATTTAAAATCTCAAGAAATTCTACGCGAAGCGTAGAAACTAATGTATCACCATATAGCGTATCACCTGTCACCAATAAATCGCAGAAACTCCTTCGTTCTCCAAGGAAAGCAGTCCGAAAAATCTCGAAAATACCGTTCAAGGTTAGTACTTTATCATTTGAATCACTCATAAATAGACTTTGAAACTTAACTTAAAAAATGCTTCTTTTTAAAGGTATTAGATGCACCAGAGTTAGAAGATGATTTTTACTTGAATTTGGTCGATTGGAGTTCCCAAAATATGCTTAGCGTAGGTTTGGGAAGTTGTGTATATTTATGGAGCGCTTGCACCAGTATGGTGAATAAGTTATGTGACCTAGCAACAGAAAATGATAAAGTAACTTCAGTCTGTTGGAATGAAAGGGGTAGTACTTTGGCTGTAGGGACTCATAAAGGTTTAGTCCAGATTTGGGATGCGGCGAATGGCAAAATGATTAACTCTCTTCCGGGACATAACGCCCGAGTAGGCGCTCTTGCCTGGAATGCAGAAATGCTGAGTTCAGGAAGTAGAGATAGGACGATTCTACAAAGAGATTTCAGGTATATTATGAACAAACTATCTATGTCCTAAAACACTAACATACTGATTATTCCTTATATAGATGTAGTCCTACAAGCCCTGAAAGACGTCTAGTCGGACATAGGCAAGAAGTCTGTGGACTGAAATGGTCACCAGATTATCAGCATTTAGCTTCAGGGGGAAATGATAATAAATTGTTTGTTTGGTCAAATTCAAATGCTACGGCGCCTCTTCAGACGTACTGTGATCATATTGCAGCTGTTAAAGCAATATCTTGGTCTCCTCATCAACACGGTCTGTTAGCAAGTGGTGGGGGAACTGCAGATCGCTGCATTAGGTTTTGGAATACATTAAACGGTTCGTTTCAACTAATTCAATTTAAATATATAGCTTTTATAAAGAGAATTGGGCTTGCGAAAGTTATTCAATTTATTTAATAATGATTTTAAACAGCTCAATGCCTGCAATATGTCGACACTGGTTCCCAAGTTTGCAACCTAGCGTGGTCGAAACATTCAAATGAAGTTGTCTCCACACATGGCTATTCGCAAAATCAAATAGTTGTTTGGAAATATCCGAGCTTACAGCAAATCACCAAACTCACCGGCCATACTTATCGCGTTCTGTATTTGGCTATGTCACCCGATGGTGAATCGATAGTTACAGGTGCGGGCGACGAAACTCTTCGATTTTGGAATATTTTTAACAAGTCTAGGTCGAGTAAAGAAAATCGCAGTGTTTTGAATATGTTCTCGCATATGACGAGGTAATATTTATTTGTTTGTTTTTTTGACAATGGATAAGAGAACGAATTATGAGACGAAATTTTAATCGGTATCTGTTGTTATTTTGTCCGAGTGCAGTATAAACAAGCGGAAGGACTTGATTGGTTTAATTTTGTTGCTTAGACAGAAATTATATATATATATATACTGAAAATTGTGTATATTTTCTATGAATAATACATTATTTACCGGGACACTAGCTGTAGATGTAGAGCATGCAAAATTAGCTAGTTAGTTACTTATCAAACGATTTTTGATAAAGCGTTATCAATTTTCATGTGAGAACCTGGAGCCCCGGGAATTCAAATTTTTTATCTGTAGGTCATAACATTGAAATTTCCGAAAGAAATCACAGCTAAAAAATTTAAATTTTTAAATGATTATATTTAACAGAAATTTCGAAAGTATTATCTTATCTTGAAAAAAACAAATACTGCTTGAAGCTCTTTTCTTGGTATGCTCTTGTCGATATTTTGATACAATTAAACGGAAATCTAATTAACTGTTAAGTATAAGCGACTACACCGATGTAATAATTTGCAAAACAACACATTAGTCTTTTTAGAGTCGTAGTACAGTCTTGAGCTTGTACAGACCATGATATTTTCTTGCATAGCTGTAATAATAACAATCGTCATTCTTTGGTATGTTGTTTTACGCAAACCACGTGTATGGTGGAATATTGACAAGATACCAGGCGTTCTTACTCTGCCAATCGTTGGTAATGCTTACAGACCGTCAATGATTCTTAGTCATAAAAGTTTGTATTAAAAGCTATTGTTAATTTTTTTAACTAAAAGTATGCGAACACTTGCTCTTAGATTTATACAGATATATGATAAAGCACACAGAAGAGTTTAGAAAGTACGGGATTGGCAAAGTATGGATATTTAATATTCCATATGTTGTTATCTTCAAGGATGAGTACGTAGAAAAAATTCTTTCGAGCTCTAAATTAATAACGAAAGGTCGAGAATATAAATTACTTAAACCATGGCTGGGTGACGGTTTGCTGTTATCAACGGGTGATAAGTGGCGGAAACGCCGGAAACTTTTAACTCCTTCTTTTCACTTTCAAGTTCTTAAAGACTTTATACAAGTCTTTAATGAACATTCACAGACTCTTTTATCAAAATTTCAAACCTACGCCGACAAAGGTATAAGCGTGGATATATTTAAAGATTTAAGCCTATGTACTTTGGATATCATTTGCGAGACAGCCATGGGGTGTCACGTGAACGCTCAGAGAGGCAGTAATTCCGAATACGTTGAAGCTGTGAACGAGGCGTGTAGATGTATACACATAAGACAAAAAAATCCACTATTCTTACCAGACTGGCTGTTTAATTTAACACCGTGGGGTAAAATCGTTAACAATAGCATAAAGATATTACATTCGTTTACGTTGTCTGTGATTGATAAGAGAAGAGGCGAACTAGTCGATCTATTTGGTATAAATTATTATATGATTAAAACTTAATTAAATAAGGGTTAATTTAATTATATAGGCGATAATTTGTCATCTGTGGATGCTGAAGCTATATGCGGAAGGCAAAGGGGTAAATTAGCATTTCTTGACATGCTTCTATGTAGTGAAGGATTAACAATAGAGGACATTAGAGAAGAAGTGGATACATTCATGTTTGAAGGTCACGATACGACCTCTGTAGCTTTGTCTTGGACCTGCTATCTACTAGGACTTCATCCAGAAGTTCAAGAAAAGGCCTTTGAGGAGTTGAATGATATTTTTGGAACAAGCGATCGTCTCGCAACAGAAGAGGATCTTAAAAGATTAACTTATTTGGAATGTATTATCAAGGAATCTTTAAGATTATATCCACCTGTTCCGTTTTTCGCTCGAACTTTAACTCACGATGTAAAATTAGATCAGTATTTGATACCAAAAGAAACTGTCGCCATCATTATGCTCTATGTTTTGCATACTGATGAGAAGAATTTTAAAAATGCGCATGAATTCAATCCGGAAAGATTCCTTAATCAGAATGCTAATAAACACAGTCACGCGTATGTACCATTTTCTGCTGGTCCTAGAAATTGTATTGGTCAAAAATTTGCAATGCTGGAGTTGAAAGTAATACTAAGTTCCATTTTACGAAAATTTCGCCTTCGAACTTTAACAAAAGATATCTCACCAAGCGGAGAAATTGTCCTTAGAGCTGCTGATAAAGTTTTAATTAAACTATTCTCGAGATAAACTTTTCTTTTACTCTTTTTATATATATATATTATATACTAATATATATATATATATATATATATATATATACTATATATATATACTATATATAGACTATATATACATGATATAAATGATATTTTGACTATTTGTAGAAAATATATATATGAATATATGTCTTATCGACATATCGTCTGATGATTAGCAGATTTATGTGATACTCGTTGATCAATTTGATCTAATCGACCTAAAATTCTAAATAATTTTATCGTTGTAACTCAACTGATAACTAGCGAGATGAATTGAATAAAAGCTAACTGGTAACTTAATATCAGTCTCATTGTGTATTGAACACAGAAGGATTATCACTTTACTAACAAGAAACTAAAACATTATCAATTAAAATGGCCAACTTGAACCTTTCTCCATCAGTATGTTATATTTTTATATTCAATCCTTTACTTCTAATCCTAAAGATTAACATTCTTCTTTCAATAGGAAGTTGCTTCTAAAGTACCAGAATTGAGAACAAAATTCAACGAAAAATTCCAGAGTGAAATTGCTTCTGGTAAATTTGACGAAAGAGACGTCTCTAGATTCAACAGCGATGACGCTTATGCAAGATGCTTCTTGAGAACTATGAAGGTAAAGTAAAACAAATTAAATTCAAATATCTTCTCTCTTTGATGAAAGTTTAATGTCCTCCTTTAGGCTAAAGGTGATGTTGATAAGGCTGTTGATGTTGTTCAAGAAGCTTTTATTATGAGGAAGGAATATTTAGTAAATGACTTTGACGAAGATAAAGTACCCCAAGAAATAAAAGATAGAAATGGTATTTTTTACAGAGGAAAGGATAAGGAAGGTCACCCAATCCGTAAGTTGTCTACAATCAATTATTGTTCAATTTTTCATTCTTCTTCATTTTCTACTTCCTTTCGCTAAAAGTCCACTATATTTCGAATATCTTTCAGTTTACATTGACGTTAAACAAAATACTGCTAGCGGAGACGAAGTTGTCCTTCTTAAGTGTTATATTGCCGGTATGTTTGAAAAACATCACCGAACAAATCCGGAACAAATGTGTGTCGTTTTCTTCGACATGTCCAGCGCCGGTTTGAGCAATTTGAATATGGATATTACCAAATTCATTATCAGCTGTTTTAAGGTTGCTTTCCCAGCTTTCTTGGGTAAGAATAACACATATATTTTATATACTGTATAAATCTACTTAAAATTTTCTTAAAAGGTAAAAATCTAGGACTTTTGTATAAATTCTTAATAAATATAAAGTATAAAAAGTTTCTTAGAGCACATCTTGAAATACTTTTATCTTTCATTTTTTTCAGCCTATATGATCAACTACGATATGCCTTTCATCCTAAATGGTAAGTCGTCACAAGAGACAATCTATTTTCGTTTATAGACTCGAAATAAATTATTAATTAAAAAAAAAACAGCTGCCTGGAAGGTAATCAGCAGTTTGGCTAGTGGAGATCAAAGTAAGAAGATTCAAGTCGTGAAGAAGGGAGATCTTACAAGACTTATCAACAAAGAAGAACTTTGGGGACACTTGGCCGAAAAGAACTAAAAAGTCATTTGACAAAAATTCCAAGAAGAAACCCAATAAATTGACTTATTAGACCAGTAGATAGATGTTTGTTTTACATAGTAAGAGAAAATGTACTATCTCTATTGGAAAGATAGATAATTAAGTAAAAATAAATTAATAAACTGAAAAATTCACAAACGTCCTAGTTTTGTTTCCCTCCTAAGTTAATACTAGCATACTAGAAATAAGGAAAAAAAAATAACATCTGCATAATATTTAAAAGGTACTTCATCACCTCAGGAAAAAGCACAAAAAGGAAACTAATTTAAGAGCAAAAAAAAAAAACGACTGATAAATTCAATTATCATTGTTACAAGTAGCAAAGTTCAAAGGGTAGAGAGAACGAAAATTATATACTGCAAATGAAAGAAACAATAGTAATTACGACAGTAAAAAGAAATATTATTCATATTTACCGGCAAAAAAATTTATTAACTTAAAGAGAGAGAAAGAGAGAGAGATAAAAAAAACAAAAGAGAATTCAATTACTTTAATAAAGAGAAATAAGCATATAAAAAAATTACACTTGTATATACTGTATAAATAATATAATAATAAAGTAGACACCATAACCTATAAAGACACATTTTTATTTTAACTTGTACGAGGCGAAGTATTCATTAATGTTGACGTTATCAATGTTGACGGTGTCGTTGGAATCTTGTCGATCTTGGGTACGTGGAAAAAGTATAACTGATGAAAAGGAAAAAAAATAGAAAATTCAAGTCATAATAAGCAGTTACAATCCGACATATCTATTAGTACATCATATCTTATCTATAAATTGTATATGGAAATACTAGAGAATGCATATGACTATTTCTTATTGTAATCTATAATTAGATTATGACTAATAACGGTTCGTAAGGTGGACTTAGGTATACTGACCACAAATCCTACGGCTAGAGCACCGTGAAAGATAACAATCAAGGCCAAAATAAGTATCATAATTTTTTTATCGTCGTGATTAACGGCGGGATAAAATGTAAGGACAAGAACTGAACCGGACAGAACCATTCCAAGCAAGACCAGAAGCCACTGTAACCATGTTATCTGTATTATCCATAATATCTGAAATAGGCATATAGTGTATCTATATTAATATACATAGTATATATATATATATATATATATATATATATATATATCTCTTGTATGTCATTGAATTGTAAAAATTTACCGAAATTGGAATGTATATAAATAATGAATAGCCATATATGCAAATTATTTCGAGGAAAGTATACCCAGCCTGACTTCCTCTCCACCATAAAAACCCATAGATTATGCAAGGGATTAACCACCAGTAGCTGTATATAGCCGCAGCAGCGAAGGGAACTATAAAGATAAATTAAAGTAAAAATCTAATATTAAGACTTTTTATTTGAATATTGCAACGTATATTTCGCCTTAAGAATGTCCAATAAAATACCACAGAAATTACTTATTTGATTATATACAACTAGAAAAGGGTAGAGAGTTTGCTACCGCTTCAAAAAAGTCACTAACCTTTGTGGAAATCATATTTCCATTCATGATTTCCATATTGCTGAATATAGTTTGCCATATTTCCAGCAATCGCTGTTGTGAAAACTAAAGTGGTACAAATCCAGAAAGGCCCTTAAAAATAAAATATATAAATGACTCTAGAGAACGTACTCTTTATACATTTATTAATATTCTATATTATTTAATAATTGCAGTTCGTCAATCTTCAACGAAAAGCATTTTATATGCAATATTAAATTAATTACCGTACAAATCTGGAACTGGCCTAATATGATGTTGTAAATAATTTTTTCTAACATTTGGTAACATGGAACCTAATATTCTATTTAGAACTTGCCAACTTTCAACATCGAAATATTGCTGGTAATATTCAAATGTCCAAAAAGAAGGCTGCTTTTTTGTTTGAGAAAGTAGCTTTAAAATAAAAAGGGTTCATTGAAAATTTAGCGTTCTTTCTTTTTACATGTATACTGCGTGTATTATATCATATGATAATATTTACATCTTGACGGTCATCATCGTCGTCCATAGGATCTTCAATATCATCGCCAAAATTCATCTTATCGCTATTTAATGGACTATCTCCCATACCTAAAAGAGAATAGAAAGGAGAATATCATCGATGTTATTTTAATACTTTTATAACTTACTGTGAAATTTAAGATCTTGGGTATTTAATTCCTTATCAGAATCATCCTGCATATAAACAAACCGATTTTAAAAATTCTAACGAATATTAGTAATTTTTCCGTTTTAAAAATATCATAGATATACAATTATGTAAAAGTTATGAATAAAATAATGTAAACTTTAATAGAATTAATTTAGATGCAATAATCAATTTTTAATTAATATATATAAGCTAATTTATTGAAAAGAGTATCGTACCTCCACGTTTAATGTAGTCGCCATTTTTGTAGGCACGCACTTAAATTTTTTTAATATAAATATATACAATGTACTGTATACAAGGAGATTTGGCAACAGATGTTTCATGAAATTATCTTTATAGGAGAGGGAAAGCTAAAGAACAAAAGAATCTAATCTATGCCATTAATTAAAAATTTTATTCAATCTACAAGAGAACATGAAAAAGCATTGATGAATAGAAAAGAATTAAAGTTTAATATAGTTGGCATATATGTACAGTTGCAGAATATTACATATATATTGCATTGAAATAATAAAAAAATTGTTATATATTGCTTTCACGTAGGTATCTAAACTTTAAGTCTTCAAATGATGAATTTAATTTCTCCAATAAAAACAACTGTATCTCAGCTTGTAAAAGAGATTCGCAGAAAAAATCGTAGCCTTTCTCCCCTTTTCCTATTAAAAAATCTATTAAACAGCTCACTTTATCTCTAGAAGTTGTTGGGCTTCTTATTCTTTCGCAAGCCATTTTATCTAAAATTCTGTTAGATCGAAGAAAGCAAAGATGATCATCAACGTCTACATTGTCACACAAGTATGCTCTGTTTGTCTCGAGAGCGTCTATCTTGAATTTTTCCATAGCAATCTCCAAATCGGCGAGACACCTCTGAGATCTATTTGTTCCCATCTTTAATTTAGCCCTATCTCTCTACTATATTAAACGAATAATTAGTGGTAAAGATGAAAAGAATGAAAATTTTTCAACAGGTTAATACAGGAAATTTTTACTTCCTGTTAATGATTGGCCAAGAATAAGAATGTTTTTGTGTTTGTATTATCTATTTCAGCCTATTTAGTATTCAAAAGGGAAAATTGTATTGTAACTGTAAGAGTACGAACTGGGGGAGGATCGTGAGAGTTTAAATTCAAAGTGAAATTTTTTCAGTCTAATTAATAGGTAGAAGATGAAAAAAGTCTAATAGTCCTCCTTGTTAGTTTCAGATACTCATTATCGACCCTATTTAATGTTTTACTATACGATGCATGTTTGTAAAGTGAAACTCTTATTCTCTTATCAATTATTCATTAGAAACGAAACAGTTTTGCCTAAAAAGTTACTCAATGCAATGATAATTAAAGATTTTTTATATGATAATGTCGAGTTTAAAGGAGGATAGGGATAACCTTTAAAGTATATAAAAAAAAGATGGGGCAAGACATTTAAAAAGAGGTAGTAAGGGAGGCAGGGAGAGAGAGAGAGAGAACGTTAAAAAGACTGAAAGAAAGATAAATATATACATATATACATACATATATATATATATCATTATATAAATAGTTGTATATAAACAAAGTTCTGTATACAGCAGAAACTCTATTGGAATAATTCTCTTATTAATTATTAACAAAATTCTTTAAATATTTCTATCAAAACTGAATAAGAAAATTCCATAAAAATGATATAAACCATCAGTAGAAAGAGGTTTAGTGTTTTCCAACAACGACAAACACTGTTGTATAAGATTTTTCTAATGCGCTAAATGTTTTCACAAGCTTTTCGTCATCTTGTAAAAATTTATCTAGTCCAAATTCTCCATCACCAAATACACCAAAGAGTGGTATTTTAGGAAAGATGTTTTGCCAACAGCTACTTTCAACGTCAGTAACTCCTCCGTAATGGTCTCGACCTCTTCCTTTGCAGGCGAACATTAGACCGAAAAATGGTTTTCTAGCGGCGTTAGATTGTTTCAGACGTCGAAGATTGTCTAATACACCTTCTTTATCATCAATATCTTGACCAATGATAACGGTAGCAAAATGAATGTGCTTACTTTGCAGATTGATTAATTTTGAATCAAACTCTTGTCCATTACTAAGTAGAATAATTTCTTTATTTTGTAAAGATCATAGTCTAATTATTGATTAATTAACTTTTTAAAAGATAATTAGAAGAAAGAAATTATACTACTTAGTACAATAATTTAATTTGTTTAACGCTCCGGCGACAATAGAATTCTTCCAAAAATTATCTACCATCTCTGGTTTAGTTCTTGAAAAGAACTTACCAAATTCTTGCTCAAAACTCAAAAAGAGAGAATGCGAATTAACAGATTCCTCGAGATCCTTTTGAAATTGTTCTTTAGAACTTTTACAAGTTGATCTAGTTTTAACATGCTGATTAAAAAATTTACACTTTAAGCCGGGAATTGACATAAAAACAAATTGAATTTGATTTTTAGCTTCTTCGACCTCAGTCACTGACATTTTGGCTTTAGCATCCCTTTCTTTTAATTCTGTTACTATGAGAGAATATAGACTTTCAATTTTAGTTAATTAATTATTTAAGAAGGAGAAAGGAAGAAGAAGACTATTACTTACAAACAATTCCTTCCCAAAAAGATATTATACAAGGAAATTTGCAATTATTAATGAAATATCTCTTTAATTTTTTCTTTGGGCAGCTTAATGATTCCGAACAAAATGCAATAAGTAAATTAGGTTTAAAATTGAATGAATGAAAATTCTGTAAATGAAATAAACTATCAATGGCATCTTATATTGCTATCACTGTTTTTTAATACTGATATATAAATAATAATACAAACTGGAAATTGTAGATGACCATTATTCGCAAAACAAGATATATACTTGATGTGAAACTTTTCTGATCGCTTTCGTAATTCTATATCACCCAAGTGCAACCATAATTTGCTAAGACTACGATATAAGTATAATGAACGAAATTAAAGAATAGAACGAAATTTAAATTTTAATTGTTTTTACCGTCTATATTTGTATACTTCGCCTATGTTACAATATTCTAAAATCTTTGAACTAATGAGCTCATTATCAAAGACATTTTTTTTCTCAAAGTCGAAGTCGGCGCTATCATCAATTTTACGTTTTCGGCTATCCGTCATAGTTCTTTTAAGAGTATACCTAAAATCCAAAGAATAGTCTGGGTCTAACTAAAAACAGCCATTTGTTTTTGTTTGTTCAAATATAAGAATATACGAAAGCCTTTAATAAAAGTGAATTATAGATGGGATAAAAGTAAAAAGAAAGGCGAAGATTTTCTTCTCAATCAAGGATATATTCTGTATTGAAATTCTTTTTTAAAAAATATTACAGCATGCAAGGCACAAAACTGTTTTTTTCTTTTTTTTCTGTTTAATTCTTTTTTATATCTCTGTTTTATTTTTTTCCCATATTTTCTTTGTTTTCTTTGTTATTTTTTCAGTTGTAAATGAAACAGAGAGACAAAATGACATCATTAGCTTAGTAGAAACAAATCACATTGACAAATAGAAAAAGGAAAAAATTTTTCATAGTTATATATATATATGTATATAAATTTATATATACTGTATATATAGCTTATAGTTGTTTATGTTAGTATACTTAGTATATAATATAGTTCACGATTAAAAAGGACGAATAAAAACAATAGCAAGTGCTTGTTTTTTTTTCTTTTTTTTTTTTTTTTTTTAAAAAAACAAAACAATTTTCCCAATAGACAGCGCATTAAAGAAACTAATACAGTAGAATGAGAAGAATTAAGTAGAAAACTCTTGTTTTAAACTTTATTTAATAATAATAATAGCAGAAGAAGAAGAAGAAGAAGAAGAAGAAGAAGAAGAAGAAGTAGAAGAGGAAAAAGAAGCAGAAGAATACGAAAATTTAGTTAAAAGTGAATAAAGCTCGTGTTTCTCATTGTCTTTCTTCCCTCCTGTCACTCATTCGCTCACCATCTATCTAAATATCTAGCTATCTCTCTAATTATCCATAAAATGTAGAAAATATAACTTCCTTGTCCGAAAAAGTATATATATTTAATTAATACGATTAAAAGTGTTTAAGGCTTCAATGGAAACTTTTGTTATTTATATAATTAAAAATAAAGGGAAAAGGGAGAAAGTTTGAAAATATTGTTGTGAGCTGTTAAAAGCACCTGGCTTATTTTTAGTGGACAATGTGTAAAGCGTATAAGAACACTTGATAGAAGCTAATATGACCTTGTTTTTAAAATTCATTATTATTCAATATATACTCTATACAATCCTGTTCTGTGTGTAGAATATGTTGAATACAGTATACACAATGTGTAGTATATAAGCATATTTATGTATACTGTATACTCTTCTTTATGCCTTACTGTCTTTCCTTTTCTCTTTCTCTCTTTTTGCTTGTCTATCTTTCAGTTAGTCTTTTCTTTAACAAAAAAAAATGAGAAAACGTCTACATAAAGAAGGATGACAATAGTGTTTTTCTCTGGTTTTTGTCATCTCTCTCTTTCTCTGTCCCTTCCCCCTCCTTTCCTCCCGCGCACTCTCTTGCTCTTTTTGTTAGCTTTTTCTTTTTGTTTAAAAGATTTCTACAGCGCCATTTACAGGAAAATTTATAATAATAATGATAATAATAACATATTTGTATATATATATATATATATACGAATTTCGGAAGAGATAGGAGAAAGAAAAATGATAGGAAAATAGGAATAAAAAAAGAACGAAAAAAAAAGCCCATTAAATATATCTCTTTATACAACAAATAAAACTTTTTCTTCTTTTTACTTTAAGGACTTTTTAGTACTTTTTCTTACTTTTTTTGTTTGTTTGTTTGTTTTAAATAGGAAAATATAGACCTATTTAAATTATTTTCTCAGTTGATGCCACATAGCCACCGGCCTCCTAAGACTAGTCATCATTTGATTCCAATGTGTTAGCTCAGTACCAGACACCTGTGATCCTATAAGAACGTGACCTATTGGTAGGATATTCTCGCCGAGTTGTTCAACGACGCTTATTCTAAGTTGTACATTCTGAAGAGAAAAGAAGAAAAATAGGTTAATAATAAATGAAAGAGATTAAGCTAAGACGATAAACTATCTAATAGCAATTTTTTTAATCTTTAAGTATCGGTATATTCGAAATATTCATGAATTATAGAATTTTAAGAATTAAGCTAAAATCTATTTATCGTACTGTTTAATCGTATATACGTTGTATATATTAATATATATATATGTATATATATATATATATAGACAACGTATATTTATCATGTGTTAAATTACTGTAGATATCATTATAAAGGCAAAAAAAGAGATATTTAACCTCTAAATGGGCTGCTGGTATTGAAAATATCATGGCTTCATTAAAAATAGGTGTTTTTTCATCCTTTTTAATTGTTGTCTTCTTTTTACTAATTTTTTTGCCATTTTGCAACAAGTAAACTTTAATGAAGCAGTCGCCGTTTGCCTTCGAATAAGCCCATTTCAATTTCCTCGCCTTAACAATTACGACCGTCAATCTTTCAGCCGTCGGTAAATAACTCAATGACAGCATAACATCTCCCACTTCGGTTGGTTTCTGTTTTAAAAGTATTGTATAGAATATTCCTATGTACTGTTCCCAACACATCTTTTTCTACTGAATGCCATTAATCAATAGGTGTTTTTTTTCTATTTTTTTGTAATAAAAATCAATTTCCTCCTCTTAGATATAAGCTTTTTTTTCTAATGAAAGAGAGGATAAAACACCATTCAAGATGAATTATGTTCTTTATTTAGTCAATTATAAAAAACTGTTTAGATTTTGTTTTTCTTTTCACTCTCAATAGTATAAATATGTATAAATTGATTAGCCTACCTCGTCCATATCTCTCAAGTTCATCCATATTCTTAGAGGGGCTCTAAAATCCAAATCACCTAATCTTAACTCAGTTTCTCCTAGTAGTTTATGCCTAGCGTATTTATCGGAAGAGAAAACTTGTAATTGTAAACTTTTCCTCTCTATTTCCTGATATTCTAGATCGAATTTAAATCTTTCCTTCCAAATTGGATTTACACTGTCTTTATAAATTCTCGTTTGCATGGGTCTTTCGTTGGGAGGCGTTAGCCAAAGTTTAACGAAAGAATCGAGCGATTTCGTTACCTAAGTATGGGAGAAAGAAATAATAGAAAAACATTCTATCCGTTCGAAAATCAATCATAAAAAGAGAGCGAGAAAAAAACGAGGAGAGCAGGAAAAAAAGACAGAGAAAAAGAAAAAAAAAACCTGATCCATTTCCAGATCCTTGGCTTGTATCACGCTGACGACTAATTCACCAGAATCTCTGTCGAATTCAATTCCAAACTCTAATTGTCCAATTCTACTAGGAAAATCAACATCTAGGACACTAGAATCCGAAGCTACACTCTCAAAAGAGGCAGCTCTTGGTAAATGACCAGTATAGGATTCAGTTTCAGAAAGTGTATCCGAAATTGGACTATTAACTTCTTCTCTAGCTGGAGGATCATCCCTTAAAATACCAATTCTAGTTTCAGCTTGACTAGTTGTTCCTGCAGTTAAATTAGTCTTCTCTTCGCTGGGAGCGAACCAAGCGCTTAGCTGCCGAAGACCAATAATTCTGCAGACTAGGAGAATAGAACCGATGACCAGTAGACACAATAATAGAAGAATAATTGCAACGAGCCAACCACCCATTGTTTCCCTGCATGATTGATATCATTACTAGAAAATTAAGCGAATTGTACTTAAAGCGACAGGTATTCCATTTTGCATTAATGAAAACCTAAAATTTAGAGTTTCCACCCTCTCTTTTCTCATTCTGGCGTTTTATAATAGGAAAACTACAAGATCTTTTTCTCATTTAGCCGAAAAACTAGAGTATATTGAATTAGTTTAAACGATTATTAATAAGAACAAGATAAAAATAATAAAAGGAAAATTATGAAAAACATTTATTTCCTTTATCTAATTATTATCGTAAGTCAGTATTTTAGCAAATTCGTGACTGGATTACAGGAAATCTAATACAATTGTTTTATAAATTATATTATATTCGTAAATATTCCTTCTCGTATTCGATGGTTTGTAAAGATTCTTTAATTATTCATTCATTATCTAAAAAATACTTAAATGTCAACGTATCATTTTGTACACCCGATCATAGACTTTTATGCGAGCCGTTTCTAAAACTCCGCCTTCTCCAATTTTACTCTTTCTTGTTTCCTCAATTTGGATTTGTCAAAGTATCTTTCTTTTACCTTCTCTCTTTCTCTCTCTCTCTCTCCCTCTACCAATTAATTAATTAATTAATTATATTTCTATGTAAATATTTTCTCTGTTATGAGTTATGACGAAAAATTATATTGTTATATTAGCTCGTTGTAAATTATTCTATACATATACAATAAAATTAGATGACTTTGCAGAGGGATTTAGCGAGAGAGAGAGAGAGAGAGAGAGAGAGAGAGAGAGAGAGAGAGAGAGAGAGAGAGAGAGATGGAGGGGGAGGAGGGGTTGGCGGAAGGGGAAGAAAGACAGAAGAGGTAAAGTGGGCAGGAGAAAAGAGTTAACATGCAAACACGACATGTTCTATTGACAGCATAAGCAAGTCCTCGCCTTTGTAGAAAGACAACTAGAGAAGATTTTTACCAGCAAAAATTATAAACAATATGTACATATACTGTATATCAATAGTATTAATGCAGTCTATTCTGCAATTTATATTTATATATAAATATACTAATACAAGTATAGTGTAAAATAATAAGAGAGAAAGTAATCGTTTTATTTTTAAATACAATAACTAAAATTTCAAGCAGCTTAAATTTTTCATTAGTTATCAGACCAATGAACAATCAATATTTTCTTTTAATAGACATAGCATTTTTCCCTACTGTATTCGTTTATTAACATTAGAATTACAATTTTTTTATCATATGTATTTATCGTTACTTAATGAATATACTGTAGAGTTTTTTTTATTAATAAACAAATCTATAATTATTAAAAAAGTTTCCTATAGAAGAAGAATTTCTTTGTCTTTTATGTTCTTTTCTTTACTCTTCTCTCTCTCGCTATCTTTCTTTCTCTCTCTCTCTCTCTCTCTCTCTCTCTCTCTCTCTCTCTTGCAAGACACAAGAGAACTAAGAAAGTAAGAGAAGGAACGTATATGTAAGAGAGGAAGGAAAATAATATGTGAACAAATGTTTTTCCTCTTTACAAGGGATAGAGAGAATGGGAGGATTGTTTATAGGAAAACGCCAAAAGATTATCCTTCTTTTGTATTTTTATGATAAATCATTCAAAGGTTAGAAGGAATTAAGAAAAATTATTAATATATAATAAAAAGTAAGTACCTTGTTTAAAGACTTGTAGATTTGATTTTCAAAATCGATGCATACTCCAGCAGTAATTTCACTTCTGTACTGAAAAAACAGCGAGATAGCAATAAATGTTCTCTTTAGTAAACGCCTATCGATTCGACGTCGCTGAGTTATCGTGCGCCGTCTGGCGCTGATTATAAAAAACAGGAAAGAACTGGCTGTTACTTTACATTTCATCCGAATTAAATCCAAAAATCCAACTCAGTGAGAATTGATATTTTATACGTTTAAAAAGCAGAGAGTGATGTACGGGTCTTTGGACTAAACAAGTAAAATCGTATAAAAGTAGTATTAAGTAACTTGTATTTCATGTTTCCTTCTTTAAGGTAGAACATTTTATAATTTTTAAAAAGTTGGTAAATAATATTCTCTTCCTTTCCTTCATTCTTTCTCTTCTGACAAAAGCCATTTTTATAAAGAATATCAATCGTTTATAATCAATTAAGAACTGGCAATTTTCCCCTTGAAAGAAGTAGCTATTATTATTATGTGTATTAATCATTTAAACACGACTGTAAATTAAGTTGAATGTTCAATTCATAAATATTGATAACGTAATTATCATAAGTGCTAGTATACTTAAACCCATGGGGTGATCCAGTCAAAGTCTAAGACAATTATCTAACAAGAAGATCGACCTTATCAGTAGGTAGTAGAACTTTGCAATTGTTGTCAAGTTGTTTGACAATCGAAAGTGAATAATCTGAATATCTATTTTTAGTTTGTTTGATGGGAAATGTAAATGGCAATCAATATTCATTCTGGAAAATTGTCCTGAATGTGGTACACTATGCTGTCAAAGAGAAGAGATACTTATATCCAAGGGATCATCAAAACTGTCTATACAGTCGCTTAGAGCATTTTTATGAGTTTCCTTTGACATTGATTTTCTTTTGTTCACCTTTTAATTTTTGTAGATACTTTGTTAAATTTCCAAATCTATAGCTTCAATAGTCAATCAAGTCTCATATAATTTTGCTGATTTGGTTGTAACCTTATCCTTAATAGTAGTGATTTATCAGCAATCGAATAGGATTTTCGGCTAGGTGTCAAAGACCCTGTAACCTTTATTTTTCCAACTAAACTAAAGGTAATATTGTACAAATACCAAGTATAAAATCCAGCATAAACACACTGTATAACCTTTATATATTAATAAATATAAACTATTTATAGTTATAATAGTAATTACAAATTATAGATTAATTAGTTTCCTTGGTAGAAAAGAGCTTTAGCCTATTATACTATCTATTTTCGAATATTTTCTGTTTATTATAATTACCATTTTGGGCTTTTCATTTCTTAAATATTCTTGTGGGGAATAAAAATTCATGATAGTCTTTTTAATATAAAATTATAAATACAAAATAAAAATTTTCCATCAGTTATACAGCCTATATACTATCAACAATACCTCATTTATATATATATATATATATATATATATATATATATATATATATATATATATATATATACCGTATTCACAATGATATAGACTATATATACATGTAAAAGAAATTTCTATACAACTACTTTTTTTAGAAAGCTTGATTAGGTTCTGTAGTCTTTTGCTCATAATGTAGTTTTCGTAACATATTTGATAGTCTAGTCCTCATTTTCCACGCTTCTTTACAATCGAACCAGTTTCTTAAATCAAGATTAGTCCTTTTGATACTAGATGGATTCTCACAGACTTTTTCAGCGATCTTCAACATAAAAAGACCGCAGTCATTATTATTATTCTGTTGAGGAACTTTAACATGATAAAGTGGCAAATTTCGTTCAGTAAATTCTTTAACCTTTCCAATTCTTCTTTTGTATTCCATTGTAAGGAATATTCTTAATAATTGAGCTAGGTGCCTGTATAAGAGAAATAATCTAGTTTATAAATTGTAAAGTATATTCTTTATATAATGTTTCTGTTATGTTTTTTTTCTTGCTATATACAACTACTTTACTACACAGCATATAATCTTTTCACTCTATCCGCTTCTCTGTCTCTCGCCCCCTCCCCTTCTCTCCCTCTCTCTCTTGATCTCTCTATACTCGTATAATATACTCTGATAATATTACTTTAAAATGAAAAATCTAGCAAATAATTATAATAATTTGACTATTAATAAAGAGAATTTCTATCTTCTCGTTTTAAAATACCTTTTTCCTTCGTCTAAACTGTTGTTATTTATAGAGTCAAACATATACATGGCACCGTCTTCGAGTGGATTACATATTATGCACAAATACCAATGATTACGTTGATTCATTGGAAAAATTAGATATTTCTTGGAAAATAAATACAGATTTTTCTTTCTTACGCATACTTTATCGTAGATTGTCTCATAATACATTGGAGTAAGTGGAAATTTTGCCACACTTTCTCCCGTTAATTTTCGGCAGAGTAAATGATTAAAGACGTAAAAATCTTCTTTCTTGCATATATTATTTTCTATCCACTTTAAGTAAAAGTCAATGATAATATCATTTAAATCCTCTCGTGGTCTCAGATATTTCATATCCTCTTTCCTAACGGTTATACGCCCTGAAAAGCAATTTCAGATTATTTTCCTGTAGATGAACGAAAATTCTGTTGCAGAATTTACTGTTGTGAATATATATATATATATATATATATATATATATACATATATACATATGCACATAAAAAGATGCCTACCAACTGTATAAGTGTCTGGATATTCGCATATTTCATCCTCATTAGACATATATCGCAAGTCGTTTTCGAAAACTGCTGAAGATATTCTACACTGTTCTTCTTGGGGCAAACTAACAGTTTTATAATCCCTAATGAGTATCTCATAGGTCAAATGAGAATAAGCTTCTAAGAATTCCTTCGTGTCCTTCCAATCGACATAAACAATCGGTATTCGGTTGAATACTGTTTGAATAATTTCTTTAATCCACAATTCCACTTGAAGACTACATCCCTCTGAAATTATTGTTACCCAATTAAGTGCCTTAACATCTGAGTTGACATTATAGACATCTCTGTTTAGGCTAAGTAATTTTCTTGTTCTGTTTCCTTTCTCTGAATTCAAGTGAAACATAAAAATATTGATATTTAAATTTGGGTTGAATAAAATATAGATTTCTTGTAAAGCTTTTTGAGTAATAAAATGTGACATTTTTATTCCAAATGCATCCGATATATTCCAAGAAATTTCTTCAAATCCTATATTTAATACATTCTCAGCTATCTTTTTGTGCTTATGAAGACCGGAGAAAATCTCTTTAATTGACAAAGAGACGGATATCGGTAGATTTTCATCTTCCGTTATTTCCATGGAAAAATCCTAATTTAATTAGATATTATTAATAAGAATAATGCATAAGGCCAATAAAGACGTTGGAATATTTAGCGCTGAAGTGCAAAACAAAATGGCTACGAAATAATCACGCAGCGTCTTTAAGAAATATCGAAACAAAACAGCAAAGCGCTATAAAGATTAAAACTTTTTCGCTTTCTTTCGCTCATTTCTATTCTCTATCTGTGTCAGTCTCTCTTTTTCTCTCCCTATAACCTTCCCAATCCTGTTTTTCTCAAGTTGCATTAATTCCCTTAATGATTGAGTGGCCTATCGCCATTAATCGTTTATTTACGTGATCTTTGTTCAGCTTTTTATCCTATTGATTTCTTACTTACGAATTAAAATTTATCACTACATATACAGTAGTTTACGGAATGTTTTTTATCAGAAATCTTAAAAGGGGTTTTTAATACTTTTTTTTTTATCTAGAGGGCGTTGCACTCTTAGCTTTCTTTTTTAATAAAATTAAAGAATACTCTTTAATATTTGTAAAAGCCTAATAATCAATATGGTATTTTACCAAATGAAAAAGCCTATTAACAGCGCAAATGTCAACTTATTTTATCGATTACTAATACTGATAAAATAGAAATTGAGCGAGAAGAGCGTGAGCTTGGAGGAAGAGCGGGACAAATAATATATTTCATATCCGATAGGCGGCGCTTGTTTTATTATGGTCGACTATAATAGGCCTATAAGGGTGGTGTTAAGGTTGTGCGTGGCACGGCTATAGCCTGGTTTCTGTTATCTTATCAATTATTTTTCTAAATGAAGAAAGAAACAATCTTTTTACTATTTGTAATAGCAACGTTTATTTCCTATTCATCTTGTAAACCTGGTAAGTAGCGTGTACGTGTTAATTAGCCGGACTATTCACTAAAGTTTAATCTTAAAGATGCAGATCTACTCCTCGTTACAATAGCGTCGGAGAGAACGGATGGTTTCGAAAGATGGAGGCGATCGGCTGAACATAATGGATTTACGAATATAAGAGTTTTAGGCTTGGGCGAAGAATGGAGAGGAGGAAGCATGCTATCAATAGGAGGTGGCTACAAAGTTAACTTGCTGAAAAAAGGTTTAAAAGATATAAAGGATAGAGAAGACTTACTTGTATTATTTACAGACAGGTTAGTACAGTACTTTAATTGACAATATCCAGGTATAAATAATAATACTTGATTAGTTAATTATCTAGTAAATATGTAAATAAGTTAAATGAATGAATAAATCTAATTGGATGCTTTTTTTGTTCTTTCATTTTCTACACTTCATCAATGAAAAGCTACGATGTTATTTTTACAAATGATAAATCAAAATTGTTAAACTCATATTCAAAGAAGAAATGTAATGTTCTCTTCTCAGCCGAGGATTACTGTTGGCCAGATAAATCTCTTTCTTCCAGCTATCCAATTGTTTCTAAAGATGAGAGTCGTTATCTAAACTCTGGCGGATTTATTGGTCCGGCTAAAGATATTTATAGTATTATCAATCAAGCAGATATAGCTGATGACGACGACGATCAACTTTATTATACGAAAATATTTTTAAATCCAAGCTTACGAGTAAGTATAAAAAGAATACAGATTGCAGTTTATATATAGATTTTCGCTTATCTGTCTTTCTATACGTGTAAGACAAGCTAAAAGAAGAGGGCGGGGGTGAGGAGAGAGAGAGACACAGGGAGGGAGGGGGAGAGGAATGCGGAGATCACGTAGGCTCACGTAGGCTCACGTAGACCACTCTCTCTTGACAAAGAATGTCTGCTATATGTTTAGGGATAACCCTACGTCAGTTTATATAGATCATATACACTATATTATATATATAGTAAACGATATACGTGTACGACACATGTTTTATAACATGTTACTATTTTTTTTATAGACAAAATATGGTTTGTGCTTGGATACTAGAAGCGAACTCTTTCAAAATCTCCATGGTGCTCTTGAGAATGTCGGTATACGTTTCAAAGATTCTTCCTCCTATTTATATAATTATAGAACTGGATACGCTCCAACTGTAATTCATGGAAATGGTCCAATTAAATTGAAATTTAATTCACTTGCTAATTATTTAAGTGATGAATGGACTCCGTCGACAGGCTGGAGAAATTGGGAAACTTTTACCAATTTGGAAAACTCTCGAGATTCTGATTTACCTACTGTTTTAATGGCTTTATACTTTTATAGAAGTTCCGCTTTTATTGAGGAATTTTTCGATTATATATCTCGGATAGATTATCCTAAATCTAATATCTTTTTATACATTCACGTAAATGTCGATTATCACGTTCAGCACGTTGATGAATTTATTGGGAAATATGGAAAAAGTTACGCAACTAATATTGTTTTTAAACCATCGTCCAATTTGTTAGAAGGTCATGGACGAAATAAAGCGTTAGACGAATGCTTAAGACTAAACTGCAGATATTATTTTGCTGTTGATTCCGATTCTCATTTATCAAATCCAAAAATTTTAAAAGATCTAATTTCATTAAATAAATCCGTTTCCGCTCCAATGATGACTAGGGACGGAAAAATATGGAGCAATTTCTGGGGTGGATTGAACGATCAAGGTTTTTACGCCAGATCCGATGACTATATCTCTATAGTTACAAAGGAAAAACAAGGAGTTTGGAATGTTCCATTTATATCCGATGTCTATTTAGTTCAAAGTTCTGTTATTAATAAGAAGAGCGCAAAATATTTGTACGTGAAGGAGGATTTCGACGCCGATATGGCATTTTGCGCGAATCTTCGAGATCTTGGCATTCATATGTACGTTGATAACAGAGAAAGTTACGGTTATCTCATTAATTCTGACAAGTTTAAGACAGATCTATTGCACGGCGATTTAATCGTAATGTCCGATAATAGAAATGTAATTATTGCGCAATCATAAATATAAAATAGTGCATAATATATACATTTTCATGTTTTGTTAGGTGTGGACAAATAGATATATACATCCTAAATATTGGAAGGCATTAAACAACGGAGAATTTATCGAAGAGGTAAATCTTAATTTTCTTAATCATTTAAGGTTAAACTGAACTTTTTAAAGGACGACCTATTTATTTATTTATTCATTCATTCATCTATTTAGATGAATGTAGGTTTATAAGAATATCAATCTATTCTAATTCGATTCTCTCCTCCATTTTCTTTTTTTTTTGTAGTTGTTTTTATTATCCTTTTGTTTTTATACTAGTTTTAATACGTTTTTAGCAGTTGTTTAATGTCTATAGACCAATAAAATTGGTCGTTATAAAATGTATTTAACCTAGAAAAGTAATTAAAATTATATCTATTGCGAAATATTATTTATTTATTCTCTTGTTTTTTTCTCTTTTGTTTTCGCTCTGAAACCAATTTAGCCTTGTAACGATGTTTACTGGATTCCTTTTATGACCGATCGCTATTGTAAAGAGTTAATAGAGAGAGCTGAAAGTTTTGGCAAATGGTCTGGAGGTGGTCATCAACCATCCGTCGATCCGCGTCTCGGAGGAGGCTACGAAAACGTCCCTACAGTCGATATACATATGAATCAGGTAGGCGTCGGGGATTTAGATATGCTAAATTTACTGCCTTTTTTACACTCATTTTTTCTCCCTCTCCTCCCACTATTTGCAAATAGATTGATCTTGAAGAGCAATGGTTGTATTTTTTGAGAGAATTCGTTGGACCTATTAATAATAAAATTTTTACTGGCTACTATACCGATGCAAGGGCACATATGAATTTTATTGTTAGATATAAACCAAACGAACAAAACCGTTTAAAACCTCATCACGATAGTTCAACCTTTACTATAAATATTGCTCTTAATACACCTGGTATAGACTACGAAGGTGGTGGAACGAGATTTGTTAGGTTAGTATATTAAATGTATAGAACGTATAAGCCAACTTGCTAATTCTTTAATCTATTAAACGCTGAATCCTTACACTTTTAGATATAATTGTAATATAACGGCTTCGAGAAAAGGATGGGTTATAATGCACCCTGGTAGATTGACGCACTATCACGAAGGTTTACCAACAACAAATGGTACCCGTTATATTATGGTATCATTTATTGATCCATAGGAGTCAGTGTGTTAGTAAGCGAATTGAAAGAAGGAAGGAAGGAAGGAAGAAAGAAATAAAAAGTAAAAAAGAACGAAAAAAATATAAAAAAAAGAAAAAACAAAAACAAAACAAGATATAGTATTAATTCATATGGAAACTAATATCCTTCGAAAAGTCGAAAAGAAAGATAAAGTTTACAAAAGACATATATGTGTATGTAATAATAATTGGATTCATATCATTTATATATACATATATTAATATGTGGTTTTATAGTTTTTATAGTGTAGTTTATAATTTTTTAAAAATGAAAAGAAATTATTTTTATTTCATTTTTATAGAACGATAATAAAAAAAGAAAATCGCCAATTTTTTTCATATTGAAATCTCTCTTCTGGAAAATAGTAGCTTTTTTCTATTATTTCTTCTATCTCTCTTGATCTCTTTCTCTCTGAAGGTACACGGACCAATAGGTGCTTGTCTAGGATTAAAAACAATGCTCGATTTCAATTTGATCTAATTTCCTACCTAAATAACATATATATCTTCTTATACCGTATTATAGATAAGTGTTTTTTAATTAAAGTATCACGTGCAAAAAAGCATGTAGAGCATATCGAAAAAAAAGTGGCTTAGATTAAAAAAATATAGGACTAGTCGTAAGATGGCGCTTCGAAACTTGGTCGACCGCCCTCTTGGGATCAATTGCTGAATGAAACTGTTGACAGATCAACAAATACAATCGGTCGTTCCAATGCCCTGTTGAGTTGAAGAAATATCTTGATAAGAAAAAGCCAGGCAAAACAAAGAGAGGCAGCAAGCTGGAAGCAAAAGTGTATCTGAAAGAGTGGAATTGGAGACAAACAGAGTAAGAAAGCATAGGAGCACGAGAGAGGAAGAGATAGAGAGACAAGGAGAGCGACAGAATAAGAAAGAGAGAGAGAGGGAGAAAAGGAGTGACAGAGTGAGAAACAGACACATAGGGATTGAGAGAGAGAGAGAGAGAGAGAGAGAGAGAGAGACAAAGACAGAGGCAGAGACAGAGGCAGAGAGAACAGAAAGAGGATAGTATAAAATAGTACAAGTAAAAATAAGGAATGATATGTGAAAAAGAGGATATAAATATATCAGAAATTAAAAAGACACAGCATTAACAATACTTATATTAAAAAATGAAACTTGAGCGAAGCATTAGCGATAACGAAAGAGAAAAAGAATTAGATGCTCTGTCAAAGAAAGGGAGGTTTCAGCAATTAATAATCGTTTACATTTTCGTTTCGGCTGTTATTATATTGGCCTATATATCTGGAATATGTGGCCTATCATCCGTCTGGATATTCCTGCTCATCTTTGTCGTATTCGCAATATGGCAGGGAAAAGTATTCTCAATGACGGAGGAACATTTAAGGATGAAAGAATTAACTTTACATAGAAAAAGGGCGTTGTTAAGGCAGAATGAAAGTGCCGAATGGCTGAATTTTATATTAAATAGATGGTTAGTACACAAATATTTATTGTACATATGCATATGTAGAGAAGATATCTATATATATGTATATATATATAAACATTTACACTCGTACATGTAGATACTTATATATAGTAATTAATTTTTTTACTATACTTTTAATGTAAGAAAATGCTGGCTACATTTTAAATGCAAGTATTATATAATTAATATAAAAGTAGAGATAATAACATTTTAATAGTATTGACTGAAACACTTTCCCACCAATTTCACCCATGATTCTTACATCTTTTAACGTTTTTCGCGTGTGTGTATGTGTGTGTGTTCTTTGACTATTCATTTACAATTTGCTTGATCTGTTGAATACAAGCAACAATAAAACATGTAAAAAACGTATATATAGATATGAATACTATGCTTTAATAATATATATATATATATTTATATCTATACATAGTTCATACGTTTTATGATACTCCTTGAAAAACTTTTCTAGCTGTATAATAAATATAGGCTTAATTGACACCGACTTTGGACTCATTATTCAAGCATTTTTTGGCTCTAGATGTATATATATATATATATATAATATGTTTAACTCTATTTTTTATTGTTATTAGTCGACATTTTAATAATAACCAATCATTCGAGTTATATTAATTTTACTTAGTATTATATATTTTTTATTAATTTATAATCTAAAGTATTAAAGAACTTGGTGTTGATAAGATAAAAAAAGATTCAGTCAGTCTAAAAGTTTTTAACCTCTACTAAATACTCAACTATTAATAGTGTATTGAATATTATCTATTATTTTATACTGTATTGTGCTCAATTACAGTACAAAAGTATATAGGTATAAAGCTCTAGCGTAGAGTAATGCTTAAATATTTCTTGCAGTCTTTACAGTATATATATATATATATATATAACCATATAAATAGAATGTATACTTCATCATAAATACAGTAATTTAGCTTTTTTATTCCGTTATTTCACTAGATAAAAACACTAAATAAGAGAATAAAAAAGACAAACCACAGAAAAAAAAGTATTAGATTTGTTTTATATGTTATGGCCTTATTAAATAACATGAATATAAGGAGTCTACAATTTTAATAAAAGCTATTGATTTTTAAAATATTTGTCAATAGTTTGCCTTTATCTTTATTTCTCTGTCTCAGTTGTTTCTGAACCATTTTCCTATTGAGTATTCTTATAGATCTACCAGAAACTTTTACTGGTCATATAATATCTTGGCTATTAGCCAATTACATTCATATTTTTCGCTTTATTTTCTTATACAAAAAGGACATACGTTTCACAAGTTGAAACTTATTAATAATCTAATATTGCAATATATATATATATATATAAGTATACGGAGAGTGTCAACCTTTCAGTTGGCTTTATTTTTTCATTGAATTATAAGAAAACAACTATTGTCCAAGTTCTGCTAGAAAGTTAATAAACCAGATTTAGACGTTTTAAATACTTGGTCTTTTATCCATCCCACCCTTCCTAACTCTCTCTCTCTCAGACACACACACACACACGCAGATACATTTATACGCATACAACTCTCACCCTTGAGTTAGATCAAAGTTAATACTTATATTTTTTATTTAGAAAAAAAAGAAGCTTATTTGTACTTATTTATAACTTAATCTGTCATTTACAGAAGCATAATATTTAAACAGAAATGTTAGAATCGCAGAATGAATAGTTCATTAGCTCATATAACAAATATAAAAACATATAAATATTATGCTACAGTATATATTCAAATACGCAAGGATAAATACAAACAAACAAACAAACAAACAAACACTTACATACTTAGCATCACAACACAATCACACACTAATACAGAAGGATTTTTAATACTTTATATAAATATTTTAAACTTATTTCACTGTTACAGGTGTATCTTTGGTTCTCAAAGTCTATTTGATTATTTAAAGAATACATTAGATCCTCTACTTCAAGATGTTAAACCAGCCTTTATTGGTAATTATTCAATTTTTATAACTGTATATAATATAAATCTATATATAGTCCATATATGGAGAAAGACCATCGTCAAATTGTATCCTAAGTACTGTACAAAACTTGTAAGGTAGAACAGATAGAAAGCATTATGATGAATTGAACATTTTCAATCTTGTTTTACAGCAGTCTCATATATTCTAACAGTTCTTTATTTCATTTTGGCTTATTTCAATTACTTGAAAACTTGATATAATTTACAAAATATAATGTAGTTTTTGAACGAATATACTGTATATTAAGTTAATTAATAATTTATTTGTTGTTACCGATTTTAACGGTCATTTGTAATTATTTAATTTTTTACTTTATATAGAAAGTATTCAATTGCAATCCTTTTCATTTGGGGATAAGACGCCAATTTTAAAATGTTTAAAAGTTTACGAGATCAATGATGATAAAAAAGCTGCAACATGGATGAGTTTACTGACACCACCAATTGGTTTGTATTACGCATCTTCATATTAATTTATTCATGAATGCCTTTTTCTGCCCCTAATGTTTTGTTTACATTGTTTCTTTATAAGTCTTTTTCTTTCGTTTTTATTTGTTTGTTGATGTGTTTCATTACTTTTCCTTCTCTCTTTTCAAGATATATCCACATAATCTCTATTTAAATTTTATTCACATTCATATATATATACTGTATATTTACTGTATATAGTTTCCTCATCTGCAAAATTAACTTGATAGTTAAATTTACATTTGGATGAAGTATCACTTAATGACATTGATAAAGAATATTAAATATTGTGTTCTCCACGATTACATTTATTGTCATCATGTTATCGTCATCATCATTATTTGAATCGTCAGTATTTTTTTTTGCTGAAACAAATTAATCAATTTTTTAATCGTGACGAATAAGAAGAAAGGAGAGAACGATAACGCGGTTGAAGCAATGGCTAGAAAAAGATTCATATATAAATTAGATATACAGTATATCATATTCTAATTTAAACTTGGAGAGCAACACTAAGGGAGCTAGCTACACGTATATATACCATTAAAAAAAAGAACGCGTACGAACTATAAACGTATAGACACTAGTTCAAATCGATCTAAGGAGATTAGTTCGTTTAGAATAAAATCAATAAAACTGACTCTGTAACATTTGAGATGGAGTACTAACAACCTATATATTTTATACACCTCTTTTTCTCCCCTCCTCCCTTCCTCCCTCCTCCTTTTAATGACCCTCTCAATTTCACTTTTCTCTCTATATACAGTATGTTGTATACAGTACATGCAGTATATTGCACTGTAAAATATATTATGTACTTATTACCCGTATAGGCTTAAATCGAATGCAGACTTACCAAATTCACTTGGAGTGTGATGTGGATCTAAGCAGCGACGACTTCAAAATGACGTTAAGATGCAAATTATGGAAAAAAATATGCGCTGATGTTGCAATAGAAAAGTTAAATATCAAAGGAAAAATGCAATTAAGGTTAATTCCTAATTTGCTTATGTTCTTTCTATCTTACTCAACATTTAGTAAATATCTAAATGAGTTTTGTAATTCTTTAATTCTTTCTCTCTATCCATCTAAAAATCTTATACTTGATTTTATGTCTCTTTAATTTAATTATCCATCTAGTTTCAATCTTTAATCTTGTTATAATTTAATATTAGAGTACTCTTTTCTTTTCTTTCTTGTAGTTTAAACCTCCAAAAAGATTGTGCCTTTCCTCATATATCCTCAATTAGTTTATCATTCCTCGAAAAACCTCAAGTATGGTTCTCTCTAAGACTTTTGAGGTCTTTACAAGTAATGGAAATACCAATGCTTAAAAGTTGGATTCACAACCTAGTGATGGACGCCTTTACCCAAGCGTTGGTAGATCCGGGAAAGATAGATATTCCATTTGAGAATAGTGGTCCAACCTACGAACCATTGAGTGGAGAGGGATCAATGCGAAGTTTAGGTAAATATAAATAAATAATGTATATATAAAATAATACAAATATTCAAATCGTTTATTCAAATATTTAATAAATTAAGTAGAAAATATTTTACAATATAGACCTAAATAATCTTCAAGTAATGAAATCTTTGATATATTATTGTACTTTTGACATTATAGTCACGACAGTATTTTGTATCAAAAATTGCGTGAGCTAATTATTCCTTTATCCTCTTTAAAAGTTTTTTTTTCTTTTTTCCTTATCTTCATCTCTTTTAATTTTATTTGTAGTTTTTTTTTAATTTAATGTCTTTTAATCAAATTTTAACTTTTATATAAAGATATAGCTGTTTTTTTCATGTTATTTTCAGCTCAAGGCGTTCTGACCGTCACCTTGCAGAGTCAGCAATCCAAAGATAATGCTTGTACGTTTTTAAATATTTCTCTTTAATTCTCGATATTTCTAACGATAGTCTAATTATCTCTTTTTTTTTCTACTATTTTGTCTTTTTGCAGTATTACAATCGAATGAAGCTTTTTATATACAATTAAAATTAGCTGATCAGAAGAGACATACGGCTAGTAACGTCGGAAATAAGCCTTTCGAAGATACGATTTCGTTTTTAGTAGAAGATGTTAAAATGAATAAATTACAGATAAAATGCAAGACAAAGAGATTTTTTACAACTTATACAATTGCTGCATTCGATTTACCATTATCTAATTTTCCATTCGAACTGAAAAATATCGTTGAAACTACTTTAGAGAAGAAAATTAATAAGTTAGATGTTAATGGAATAATATACTATCGTGTTAGATTGGAATTCACTGAAATTCCTATTGAGGACATAGATAAATTAACAGAAATGAGGGGGGATGATGTCGATTCAGCTATATCACCTACATCACCATTATCCCTTAATGAAAATGTTAAAAAGGTCGACTGCTGTTCGGGAGTTTTAAGAGTATGGTTACATTCTGGCTCAAATCTATTAGGTTTAGACCGCAATGGCATGTCGGATCCCTACTGCGTTATTTATTACAAGGGAAAAAGGATTAAGACAACTCATTACATATGTCGGACAAGAAATCCTCAATGGAATTCGTCTGTCGACGTAATTGTATCTGACTATACAAAGACGACACTTTCCTTTCTTGTATACGATTGGGACGGACATGGTAGTTCGGAAGATGATTTCTTGGGCTTATCGGATCTTACCTTGACGAGCGATAAGCCTACTCTGTTGAAACATTCTTTAATACTCGGTTATAAGCAACAAGACGGCGGTCACGTAGCGAATGAACAATTAGGATCGATTATGGTCTCAGTTATCTTTTATCCAGTTCCATCAGTGGCCATGTCTGAAACATCTACAGAGGATCAAGCAAAAGTTAGCAAAAGTAGAGGATTTATGAATTCAGCCGTAAGTGTTTTTGATGTTTTGAAAAACGTTTGTTTCTATCTTTTCCATATTAAAAAAAATCACTTTGTTGTCCCCTCCTTCCATCTCTCATTTCTCTTCTCAATAATTCTAATATTTCCAATAAGTTCTTCCTACTTTCTTTATATTATATATTTTTTAATATCTTTAATATTTTCTATATATCGTAAATATTTTTTGTTGTATCCTCTTCAGCAAACAACGGATTCAATTGAGGTATATAAAAAAAAGCATTAAAAAAAAAACAAAACAAAACAAATGAAAATTTAAGCACACACGGCACAAAAGATCTGTATAATTAGCACAATCAACAGACCATATTCATTACTAAAAGAGAATATATATATCTAAATAATTATTTTTAAATTATTTTTTTTTAAAAAAAAAAAAAGAGAGCTTGGACGATTAAAAGATACTTTTTTTGTTTTTATAAGCTTAATTAATGATTTTAATTAATTTATTTGTATATTAATTTCTATTATTATCTTTTACCTCTTCTTTTTTCTTTTTTTCTTTTATTTCTTTAATAACATATACGGCAACTATTAATTAATAGTTTGTATTGGCTACCTTTACTAAATATCTATTAAGTTGTTGTTTGGTTTTTTTTTTATTTTATTCAAGAATACTCTCAATCCCTCCTTGATTCCATCACCCTCTCTAATCTACATATATATACATATATATATATATATATATATATATATATACACGTTAATATAGGAAACAAACAAAAAATTAAAGATAAAATCTTTATTTAGAGGCCGTTCAATGTGACAAGAATGATTATTTTGGTAAAAAAAAAACAATATGAAATTATACATATACTGTATATTATATAAGATAGCTTTATGCATATTTATATATGCATTTTTCATTTAAAAATATGGCTATGATGATACACGCATATATATATATATATTTTATATTCTGCATGCTGTACTGTATACTACTGCAATAAGATTATCTATGCAGCAAACTGAATACATTCAGTTAGTCCTTTTTTTTCATTTTATTTTAATACCCTTCTTCACCTCTCTCTCTCTCTCTCTTTCTCTCTCTCTCTCTCTCTCTTTAACTGTCTACTTCTAATATTTTTATTAATTTAAAAATATAAACTAATTAAAACGATAGATGGCGCAGTTTTAAAATGTCAAGTGTTTATGTTTAATGAGATGGTTAGTACATGTATAGCAGGAGAGTTGGCAATCTTTCTTTAAGTAGACTAAAAATGCAAAGGTTTTTTTTTTATTATTATTATAAATTAATGCAGTTATCTGGTGTAAACAAACTAGAAATTGAATGATGCTGACATCTAGCAGACAAAGAGGGAATTTGCATAGAGAATGCGATGAATATATTTTATGCTTGTAATAATAGTATGCATATCTATATATATCTATATAGAATTGAAATGAATTTTATGCATAAGAAATATAGTATTGAGTCTAACCTTGGCTATTTAATTGAAGGGAAAATTCTTTAAGGCTTGGCAGCATCTTGCCGCTTCGCTTAATGGAAAATAGAATATTCACTTATTAGTCTATTTTTTCATTCATTTATTTATCAGCCAAAGTTCGATTTATTAATTTGCTTTTCTTTTTTCGTTATCTAATACAGAAAAATAAATTGACCGGACTGCAAAAGTGGAGAGGAGAGGGACCTGGCATCTTAGCTCAAGGATACGGTCTTTTAGAGATGCATATCATTCAAGGAAGGGATTTAATGGCAATGGACACCAACGGCTATAGCGACCCTTATTGCGAAGTGAGGGTAAATAATGAAAAGATATTTTCGACAAGTTGTAAAAAGAAGACTTTAAATCCTTATTGGGACGAATCGGTTACTCTTCAACTACCGAAAAGTCACGAACTTTTAGAGATAACTGTCTGGGATAGGGACCCATTCTTTCAAAAGGATTTTCTAGGTTCCATTCCATTTACGTTGGTTGATTTAAAAAAGCAAAGTGATTTTCAAGCTGAAAGATGGTTCAATCTTCATAAAACGCGCTCCGGAAGTATTCAGCTACGTTTTAAAGTTATATCAGCCGAAGAGGAAGTTGAATCGGAGGAAGTTCTTAGCCCAACCGAATCTCAAGATAGCGCCGTCCATTTGAGTACTGATTACGGAGAAGTATATAAAAGGAGAAGGGCTTCGTCAACAGATCTTAAAGATTTGACAAAGACGGTTGAGACGCAAAGAACAGAATCGTAAGTGGGTTCGAGATTTTAATAGAAATAAAGAAAAGCTCTTTTCTTTAAATACATCCCATATTTTTTTATTAAAAACAATCTATTTATACTATAAATAGTATTTTTTTGCCTTTTTTATGATATTTCTTTATAATTGATTGATTGATTAATTAATTAATTAACTAATTGATTGATTAATTGATTAGCTTATTATATCATGATCTTTATTTATTTACTTTTTTTTCCCATCTCTTTCTCATCCTTCTCCTACTTCTGTCATCTTTATATATTCATACTTCAAGCGTTCCTCTCTTGAAAAAGAGTAGACGCCGAATGCGCGCTTTGTAAGTCAAAACTAATCTATATGGTTGTATATATTTTCGTATGGTTTTAAAGTTTAATTTATCAACACAGTTGGTGATACTTGTACAGCTTTATATTTTGTATTGTTATTTTTATTGTTGCATACGTCGGTTATCTCTATATCTATCTATCTATCTATTTATTCATTATCACTTCTACGCACAAAACCATTTTCAGTTCTTATTTTAAATTCCTTCTTTCCCGCCATTTTTTCGTTCTCTCTATCTAAAAACTAAATACACTAATACACACATATATACTCTATCTATCTATATATATATGCATAAATTCTTTACAGATCTGAACCTCTGAACGCCGTTCCATGCTCGAATAAAAACAAACTGTTTACTATTAATGGCTCAGCCATTAGACTTCGCGGCTTTATCTTTCCTAGTTGCGACGTTACTTTGAAAATAAAACTGCAAAAAAAGTTGGTATTTATACTTATACTATTGCGTAAAGCCCATTACGTAATGTACCGTTAAATATAAATTATATTTGTTTTACAGCTCGGATAGATCGAAACTTTTGTGCAAATCGTCAAATATACAAACTAACAACTTGAATTTAAAATTCAAAGCTACTCATGTTCAAGAAACATCTGTCTTAATATTTGTTATAAAGACTACTGATAAAAGATCATTAGTCTATAAAACAATGCAATTAAACGATATCGTAACTCTGGCTGGAGATATTAATTGTCAAAAATGGATAAAATTAGATTCCGACGTTGAAATTGAATTGAATCTATTGATTGAAGAAGATTTAACGGAGAAGAAGAATAATAAATTTCATGGTTTATTGAGTTTGAACAGTTTTAAGAAAAAGTCAAAGAATAAAAGTATTAAAGATTGTTGATTATCTCAATTTCAACTTTATATTAAAATTAATTCTCTTTGTGTTGAAAAAGAAGATTTTCTTTGTTTTTTCTTTTTTCTCTCTCTTTTTAATCAATGTATTTTGAATGGTTTTTGAATATAATAATAATAATGATAATTCAAACAAAACCGGTACTGTATTAATTTTAATATTAAGATAAATATAAACAATATAGGTGTTTGTTTATTTGTTTGTTTTACTATTTAAATAAATAAGAAAAGAAAGAAACTAGTACAAATATTTATTCAAAACTTAGAAGGGAATCTTGTATTAATTAAATCAGCCTTTGAATATAAACAGTTTATATATATATATATAATATATATATATATATATATAACTGTTTATATCAATATATATATATATATACTGTATATATATAAAAGACACATAGATAAAGATTTCTTCAAGTAAAGTATATGTTGTCATTTTTTTTATACTATAAAAGACAAGAAATTTCAGTAAATTATACGAATTATATAACTCTAATACAGTCTTTTTTTCCAATCTTACTCATTTCGGGCCAAAAATAATTAACATATATATTCTGTATATATAACCTAAAAACAATATTAACGTATCATAGTATTAACTATTTGATCAAAGGACGGTTTAAGGGGAGTAAAGAGGAAAGATGATTGAAATGGAATTGTACATAGACATAGTTTTGTAGGTAGATAGAAAGAGCGAGTGAGCGAGCGAGAGAGAGAGAGAGAGAGAGAGAGAGAGAGGAATAAGAGGAATATATACATACTCCATTAATTTTACATAAAAAATATAATTAGCAAGTATGGTGATATAAAAATACGAATTTTTTAGACTATTTACCATTTTCATCTATATTGACTTCAATACTTTTCCTCTATCCTTGTTTTAAAGTGAAGGCCAAAGTAGCAGTAGTAGTAGTAGTAGTTTCTAAAATCCTCTAAGATCCTTATATGACAAAGAAAAAGACAAAAAAAAGAAAAAAGAAGAAATAAAAAATTTAAATATTTTCATCTCTTCTCTTCACAAAAGAATTTCAAATTCTCTTCCAAGTGAACATTTTTTGTTATTTTTTTATTGTTTTTTGTTGTTTTTTAGCTCTAAACTTTCTAAAAATATCTTTACGTTTTTTTGTTTTTAATTGCTTGCTTTGTTTTCTTATTTATATCTATTAAGCTTTTTGTAAATCTGCTAATCTCATTTGTTCGTCAGTTTGAAGAGGTTCGCATGTTTCGTCTTGGTGTGGTTTCCTGTATTTACTTATTGCTGGCCCCCAACTACACGATGGTTGCGACAACCTACATATTTTTTGCCATAATGTTTCGTTATTTCGGCTCTTTGTTCTTACTATTTTATATAATGCTACGATTGGTATGGCCATAACCGAGGTCATTGACATCATCCAACCCAAAGTATCTGCCCATGCGGGAAATTTATATGTTCCGTAATTAGAAGGTGTATAATCGATCCACGTAAAAAGTATTATGAGAATAAGTAATCCTGGTGTAACGTATTTCCACAGTACCTTAAACCACATCCAAGGCTCTTTATCTATCATTTGTTCAATATCTTTTGAAAATCTATCTATTCCATAAACCCAAGAAAGAACTACACATTCACACAGGCCTATTATCAATACAGAATACGTAGCCGCGTAGTTGTCAATTAGTTGTAGCATGAATATACCACCCCTAGTTGTGCAACTTATACCAAAGATAAAACCAACAATACAAACAATGCACGTAAGTATCATAGGCCTTCGTCCCACTCTAAACACCTTTGGAAAAACATCCATAAGTGTAGTATGGACTGTTGTGACAGTTGCAATTTGCGTTCCCAAACCTAAGGCGAGTAGCATGAGAAAGAAGACAACAGCCCAAATAGCAGCCACAGGGAATCTAGATACTGCTTCTGGGTAGACGATGAAAGCCAATCCAACTCCTTCTTTCGCTACTGCGTCTACAGGTAAGTTAAAGATGTGTGCCATATAACCAATTATTCCAAATATAACGAATCCAGCAAAGAATGACGTCAAACAATTCGATATTGAAACGAATAGGGCGTCTCTTAAACAATTATTTCTAAAACGATTATACGATGCCAAAGTGATTAAACCACCCCAACAAGGCGATAACGAAAAGAATATTTGAACCGCGGCGTCTCCCCAAACCTGAAAATCAAAATTTATGCACTAAACTCAAAAGAATGATAATAATATTAATAATTAATTAGTAAAATTAATTAATTAAAGAAAAACCTCTCTTAAAAAGAAATAATAAAAAACATCAAAGTGCTATTATGTTACAACAAGGTATTTTTAATAAAAGTTTTAACTAGCTGTATATTTAATTTTCATCAGAGGGAGAGAGAGAGAAAGAGAGAAAGAGAGAGAGAGAGAGAGAGAGAGGAAGAGAGGGGAACCAGAGATGCAGATATATCATAAAATAGGAATAAATCAAATCAGAAGAGAGGTACTATAAGCAAAAGTTTTTTTTTTGAATAAGAATAGGAAGAAACAGCAACAAAAGTAGCAGAAGTAGAGTGATAAGGAGACGAATAAAGGATATGGGATATAGAATAGTGGAAAAAATTGGCGTTGATTAAACAGCTTTTAGTCAATCAAAGACGTTAAGGACTGCAGATGCCTTATAACTTGAAAACCATATAAGAAAATCACCTTTTTTATTTTCCGTAGAAACTCATTAATAACTGGATTTTTGCAATATAATCTAAGGCCAATAAACTTGATCATAAAAAAAGGAAAAACAAAGAAAGACAAAAAGAAAGAAAGAAGGAAAGAAGGAAAGAAAAAAGGCAAAAGAAAAATTTTAACGTGGACATATGTGTTGGATCAATAGGAAGAGGCATGTGTTAAGCATTATACATAAGCAGTTTTAACATACAAGGTCGCTACGATGACTTCAAAATATATATAAAATAGATTTAAATAGAAAAAAAAAGTACTTGTGTAACGAAAGAAAAGAAAGAAAATCTGTTTGTATCTGTCTATCTGTCTGCACCTTTCTTTGGTGTCTTTTTCGTTTTTTATAAAGAGCATACAAAGACAAAGAAGGACATGATGAACTTGCTATAAGTAAGGAATAAATTAACATTGTTGGATATATATCAAATAGATATATATATATATATATATATATATTGGAATCAATTAACTCTATCAATCTTGGATTAATCTCGAATTAATTGCGTTACTGCTTCTTTTTTTTTGCTTTATCAAATTAAAGCCCCCACCTCTTTTCCCCTTCCCCCTTTCGCTCCCTTCTCTCTCTTCCTTCTTCTTTCTTATCATATTAGAGATACTTTTTGTTACAGTAATCCTACTTTTAACCAAAAACAAAAAAAAGACCATAAAGACTGATAATAGTGCCAAAGATACTTTTGTCTTAAAAAGCAAACAATCAGTTTAAGCTTTTCCCACGATTAAACATCTGGCAAATGTATCTTCTTTTTACAATGTGCTAAATTTGTAAATTTATAAGCACTTCTATTTATTTATAATAACTCACTTTAGCTGACAGAAGTCTGTGCCATTGCGGTGTCAAATAGAAAAGTATTCCATCCAGACATCCAGGTAACGTTAATCCCCTAACTAATAAACATATGAGGACAATATACGGGAAACTTGCAGTAAAGTATACTACTTTTCCAGATGACTTAATACTCTTGATTAAAGAGCAGCCAACCAAGGTCCAAGCTGCAAAAAGACATATGATCATTTCGTACTTTGGTGCACCCATTTCGTGAAATCCTTCGGAAATATCTAACATATTCCTATGAAAGAATTCGTCGCTAGCGTAAGAAATTGATTTAATATTTGAAGTTGAATTGCTCCATCCAGTTATCTGTTCGATTAATTGATGGTTTTCGGTTGTATTCTTGACACAAGTTTCATTATACCAAACACCCGTGCTATTCACAGTACAATTTCGGATTTTTTGAAATTTTTCCAATCCGCATTCTAGAGAATTCCATTCGTTATCGCAGGTTGTCCACGATAGGTCGGATGAAAAACCAAAGAAACTATTATATAGGTAGTATAGTGTCCAGGCAATTATCATATTGTAGTAGACCGAAATAAAGAAGGACACGATAAACATACCCCATCCTATTCCTTGGAAGAGCGGACTAACCTTCCAGATGGATATCACTCCTTCAGCGGCGAATTGTCCGAAACTTAATTCCATAAAGAATAAAGGTATACCAGTGAATACCAACATTATCTATGGTTTTATAATAAATTTAGTATATTGATTAGATAATATTTTTTATGTTTATATTTGTTTTTTCTCTTTTATTGTTAAGAGAAGGAGAAGAGGAAGGAGAAGAAGAAGAAGAAGAAGAAGAAGAAGAAAAAAATCTTACAACGTATGGAATAAGAAACGCTCCACCCCCGTTTCTATAGCATAGATACGGGAAACGCCAAAGGTTTCCTAAACCGACGGCGTACGATAAACAACTCATAAGAAAGTCAAGTTGGCCACTCCAATTACCCCTTTCCTTATTTTCATCTCTCTTTCCAACCGAACTATGACGTCGAAGCCTTGTTTCTTCGCCTCCTTGCATCTTTTCGATATCTGTTTTTTTTTAAAAAAAAAAGAATTTAATTGAATAAATCAAGTAAAGTACATATTATCTATTATTACATTTGTAAAAATTGTCCTATTTAGTGTTACTTATAAAAAAACCCCTAAATTACTATGTCAATTACAATATCAAGCGTAGTTTTTTTATTTGTTAGCGACGTCATTAATTAACAACCTACTAATAATGTTTACTACATGAAAACTATTGCAGGGACAACAGCGAAAGAAGATTAGAACAAAAAGAGAACTGTAAGGCAGCTTTTCCACATGTCTATAAAGTAATACATATATACTGATATACTAATATATACAGTATATATCATGTATCCTGCAAAAGATAAGCCATGTATAGGGGAAATATTTATCATATATGACCTAATTTTACATGTTTAATAGAATAAATAGCCTATTCCATAATAACTAGAGTACTCATATTTATGGTATTCTGTAGTATGTGCGATGTATATATTAAGCCAATCGTAGAAAACAGGTGTTCTGTATGTACAGTATATGTATACATATATATATACATTAAACGGATATAGAAAATATATTGAATATACAGTAAATATAGTTTCCCATATGCAGTATATATACAGAATATATATACATATATATATATATATTTGTAATAATATATTGCAGCAAGGCATAACACATTACTCTACAGCATATACCGTATATATATATATATATATACTTGAAATATAATCAATACTGTATTAAGTATACAGATTTTTTTTGTATGGAATATTCTAATCAGAATGAGAAAGAAAAAAAGACTACGCCTTCAAACATAATATTTTATTTTAAATAATAGATCTGGAATTGTTCAACCAGCACCAATGCTACTATTACTATAACTACTACACACTACTACTATTACTATTATCACTATAATAATAATGATCTATTTCTTTCGTTTCCTTTTTTTTCTGACCGTCTGAATGCTGTCTGCAAGTCTGCCCCTCTCTTTCTCTCCCTCTGTTATTTCGTCCCTTTCTCATTCTGTCTGTCTGTCTCTCTCTCTCTCTCTCTCTCTCTCTCTCTCGCTCTTTCTTCCTCTCTCTGTACATGTCTCGCTCTCTCTCTCTATTCTTATCTTCTTGTCTACTTCTCTCCTCCTCCTCTCTCCTTCCTTCCCTCAATCTATCTATTCTTGATCGTTTAAACGAAATAATAGAATTTCTAAGAAGAAGAGTAACGTTTTTAAGTAAAATAAAATGGGTAAAACATGAAATAGATTATCATTGCTAGATACAAAGAAAAGAAGATAAAAAAGTAATAAAAAATAAATTTTCACCGAGATATTTTTCTAGAACAGCCTTCAGTAATTGTAAAGGCGAATAGTATTGAATTCTTGTGTTGACTTATATACTTTTTTTCGCCTGACATAATCATAGGCTTAAGATTTTTATAATATTAAAATTTTGACCCGGTCAGCGGAAAAGGTTATATATTATTTTTTTAACTGTATAATCATATTGAATATTAAAATTTAAATAATATATATATAAATGTGAAGAGAAAGACAGTGCTACATTTAATATGTACGAATGTGAATTACGCAGGCACATTTTGAATATATTGTATATATATATATATATATAGTATAGAAGTATTATGTAATTAGAAGAGATTCATAAGGCCGGCATAAAAGAAAAGCCGTTAATTTTTTTTTCACCACATACGAAAAGGTATAAATAGACTGTTTTAAAATGAAAAAAAGAGCTTTCTAAAGAAATATAGAAGAGTAAGAAAGTTGGTTGTTGTATTTTTAATATTAATGTTCTATTCTATTAGAATCAATAAGAACAAACCAGAAATACATGAATATATATATATATATGCATATTACACTTTGCCTTTAAAATAAATCTATTTTTTTACTGTATTATAAGAGAATAAATTAGTTTCTATTATTATTATTAAATATGGCATAAGCATGTTAAATATATAAAATATATACAGTATATATATATATTGTATATTATATAATCTATATAATAATTTATCTTTTTCATTTTATATAAAGTCTACAGAAAACAAAAAGAAAAACAACTAAACAAACCGTGTGTGTGCAAGAGAAACCTGCGAAGGCGAGAGCATAAATATAGCAGCATAGAAAATCTGTACCAGTTTTCTTCCTTTTTTTTCCTATTTTTTTCCATCTTTTCAAATGTATATATATATATATATATACTTTATATACTTTATATATCAATATGATGGGTTTTATATGTACAAATATATGAATAAAATGAATGCAAGTTTATGTCGTGTTCAAGTTAGAAGGGGAGATGAAATATAAAGAGAATAATAATAATAATAATAGTAATAATACTACTAATAACAAATGATTAAAAGAGGAATATAATGAGAGAATGTATAAAAACTATATATCGTATAAAATATACAGTTTAAATATTCTACTAAATTATTAATTAATCTGTAAATTATCATAAATGAGAATTTTTATATGAATAAAAAACATTAAAAATGAAATATAATTCTATTGTTAAATAGGAATTTTCTATGGAAAGATATTAATTAAAATTACTAGCTTTAATTTCAACGTAAAAAAATATCATGTGGTAGACACATGTACTAAAACTATTGGACAAACTCTCTCTCTCTCTCTCTCTCTCTCTGCTTTTGAAACATTGTCTGTATACTTAATTATAAAATTAAGTACTCAAAATATGTATATATATGCATATTTATTTGACGTAAACAACAGTCATTCATTCATTCATTCATTCCATATTTCTCTCTTTTTTTCCTTAGCTCTTAACAAAATGTATCATCTATTTTTATACCAGTTTCCTCTAATCTTATCTATATTGATGAAGTCGTTAAACATTAACCGTTTAATAAATAATGTTTTAACTCTCATCCGCTCTCTATCTATTCATCTATATCTCTCTTTCTCTTTCGTTTTCAACTTTCTCCCTCTCCCTTCTTTCTCTCTTCTTACCTTCCTTCAATTTATTCTCAACTATATAATCATCTCTACTTATCGATTTGAATTGAATTTATAACTTTATCTACTTCAGATTTTTATGATAATGGAAAAATGTTCTACTTTTATTACTATAATTTTTATTAGATTTGTTTTTACTCGGCGTTTTGAGCTTTTCCACTAAAGCAGGAGAAGTTGTCTTCAATTTTACACTTACAAATAACCGTTATAATCCCTGTCGTCCTAACCTATCGATTTCTTTTTGACAATTTGACAGTAACTGGGGGATAGGAACGTCGATAATCTAACTCTTTCTTTCCCTCTCTTTCTCTCTCTTCCAGCCTCTCCCTAACCTCTCCTCTCTCTGTCTAGTATCTAAATACTTTCTCTTGGCAAGGAATATCTCCTCATATTACTTATCTAAACACGTACATTTTGTCAAATGTTTAAATATAATATATAAATAAAGAGAAGAGAAAAGATAAATCTAGATCAATTTATAACGTTTAGGCCAGTTTATAAAATTTCTAAATTAGCATTTATAACTATTGTATTCACTGTATTTGTATTCGTTGTAACCCCAAGAGGCCTAGTATCGCACAAATGTTATTCACTTTTTCTTTTTTGTTGTTTTCAAAAATCTAAATTTTCTCTTCATTAAAAATTCATTAGAAGGATAAGAAAGTAAATAATTCCCCTTTACATCTACCTTTATACTATCAATAAAACTAGAAAGCTTTTATTACTCCCTCACCCACTAAATAAATATCATATTTACAATAGATGATCGTTTTAGAAGTAGATAAGGAGAGAATCTTGGTATTCTAACCTTGGGAAAGAATAAGAGACAGGGATAAGATGAAAAAGGGCAAAGAATGAAAAGTTAAAGGAAAGATACCAAGTCAAGTCACGAAATCTTATTTTTCTTTGTTAATAAGAATTATATTATGTTTTACTTTATTATTTTTCAATTATAGGTTAATGAATTAACCTTCCAAAGAGAAGAATTGTATTAACTATAGTAGCTTATTTCTTTTAATACTCTAACAAGATATTTTCACTTTTCTGTTTGAATAAATTAAAAAACGGTTTAAGGCTATTTCTTTCTTTCAAGAGTAAAGGGAAAGAATAGCATGCGAAGAGAGAGAGAGAGAGACAGAGAGGAAAAAATATTAAATCATTGTCTATTATATAGGGAAAAAGACTCCTCCTTTGTCTATTTAGTCAATTAATCGTTTTCCAACAAGTTTTTACTTTTTCTCTCGCTTTTAAAAAATTGTAAATCAGTCAATTAACATGCAGAAAGATATATATATATATATATATATATATATATATATATATAGTATATATCAATACATAGCTTTATATAGTATAGTATATAATAGATGAAAATTATTACTAGCAATTATATTACTTCTTAATTTAAACAGAACAGATACATGAGCATACAGAAAGTTTTTTTTTTATAGCAAATATTCTCTTTACAAACAGTGCCTTCTTCACTGTAAAATAGATACATCTTCCTTCCCTTTCTCTCTTACTAAAACGTAACACTGAACAATTTATTGGAAGTTTGAATAAATTAAATTTGTTGATTAAACGCTTATTATAAACATTTAGCAAGTAAATAATTTGTATTTTTACATCACAGTTGGAAAGAGTGTTAATTGGTCACGGACGGAGCGCCAAACTAAGTCTTTGACTGTTATAATTTAAAAGATATTTAATGAGCTGTTGCTCTTGAACCTGTTCCAGGTCGCAGCCAAGTTTCATCCTGTAACGTTCGACCGGATGGCGGTCTGCAATTGTTTAATAAGTATTTTTAAATAATTGAAATTTAATACAAAAATAGGAAAATATTTGCATTGTATAATAGATATGTCTACCTGCTGTGTTTGTTTGATGTCATAAATTTGTCCAAAATTTCGTCCGGATCGCCATTTGAATGTTCATCTAGAATAATATATTTCCAATTTTAGATGATAGTCAGTTTAAATTTATGTTTTTTCAATCTATGCATCAATAGCAAAAAATACCAACCACCAAATGACCTCAATTTCTTTAATCTTTCTTCATTCTTTTTTGATATGGCATCCACATTTAAACTTGCCTGACTGCCCATTTCGAAAGGCTAAGAAAAGGAAATATCCAAATTAGTGTATTTTCAAAACAATTGTTTTCTTTGTTTTTTTTACCTCTGGTTCAAATCGGTTTCTACGTCTAGATCTCGCCGAATCGTTCCTTCGCCTAGAATGGGATTTATCCAAACTATATGGATCATGTTCGGGTCTTTCCTCGTAAGGTAGATACTCGCTCTTTGAGGCTAATAATGTCGCTGATTCGTTAGACGATGGTCGAATAAGATTACGATCAAAATCTCTCTCCTTCGCATAGGGACCTAAATGAGATGAGTAAGAGAAGGAGCGAGAGAGAGAGAAAGAGAAAGGGGATAAAAAAAAAGTAATAATACATTAAAAAGTATGTCATTTTAATTAAACACAAAGTAAACACATAAAATGTTTAAATGCTCGAGATGAATTAATTTGGGTGGTAAAGAGGAAAGAAAGAAGTTTTTGGAGAAGTCAAGGTGCATTAATAAGAGAATAGTTAATTAGGTCGGTAAACTGAATATACTGTATATACATACACATGCAGTTTTTTGTACATGTATATAATAATATTAATAATAATAATAAATGTTATAACTGTAACATTAACATAATAATAAAACTAAAAATAATATATGTATACGCAAAGAATAGTTTGAATTTTTATTAATTTTTGTTTTGTCTATTTTTTTTAAAAAAAAAAATATATTCTAGTTTCATAGATTAAATAATAGTATTTTTAGTTATATTATTGTTATTTTTTTTTAATTAAAAATAGCTAAAAATTTTATTAAAATATCTTTTAATTATAATTATTATTTATATTTAAATAATTATAAAAATAGTACAATTGTTAATTAATTTTGATTAAAAGCGTGATCTAAAGTAGAATAAGAAAGAAAAAACTGTTAATCAATTAGTCGATAATCGCCATATTAATTTATGCTTTATTTATGTTATGCTTATAAAACTACAATTTCTTACTCTCTTTCATTTGTTTAAGTCTATTTTGATGAGCTTTTAATAACTCAAGTTGCTCAGCTTCTAGTCTATCGTTTATTACGGGAACTCTCCGAGGCTTTCTGACGATTTCGTCTGACATGGGTAACAAAAAAAACAATAATACCCTAATTAATAAAAACTACCTAAAATTTTATGGAGTATCTCTTCGAAATCTTCTTCATCGGGCACGATAAATAATGATGCGCCCGGTTCAATGGTTTCATCGACAAAATCAGAAGAGGATTGCAATGGTCGCTCGACCATCTATGCTTCTCAGTTGGAAAAAATCGTTAACATGTAAACAAACTGTTGTTACGATCAACAGAGCGTTACATTAATGAAAGGCTAGAGCTTTTATATACAGAAACTCTGTTTAAATATACATAGCTAAATGAAACTTTAGGAAAATGATTCTTATATTTAAAGCTCACATCTAGATGATCTACATTTTAATAAAGCTATCGTAGTAATCTTAATAAGTATTTTGAATATGTTTATGAATGAATCAAAATGGATTAGAAAGAAAATGAAAAAGAAAATGGATAAAAACAGAATATCTTCAACTATTTTTTCAAATTCTTTGTTTTGTTTGTAAACTTTTTGGTATTTTTGTTAATCAAACAAAATATTCAATTTCGTCTAAACATTTACAAAGATTAATTAAAAAAATACAACCACTCACCGTTTAGGTTATAATCGTCTTTTGGTCTGACGGATACCGGTTTTTGTCGACCTAAATCAAAGATATCAACATCCCTCCTATTAGAAGTATGAGGAACTCTTTGATAAGTTCTTGGATCATAGATTTCCGGCTTGGACTTATTTTTAACAAAATAATTTTAATTACATATATATTTATATACAGTATACACAGTATATACTGTATATCTATACCTTTTCGTGTTCTAAAGCATTTTCTACCCTTTGCCTTTCGCTATGCAATTGCTCCTTTAGGTTAGCTAATTGACTTAGAACATCGGCACCTAAAATTCGCAATGGATTGTAAATAAAAAACTTAACAGTTCAAGTTTGAAAGAAAACTTACTGTTTTTTCTCAACAAAGATCTTTGAGCTGGAAGCGGAGGTGATGTTGACCTTTTACCCTATCATAAAAACAGCTCTTAAGCTTCTAATATTTTAATAATAAAGAGTGTAAAGAAAAAAAAAATTTCTTTTTTTGCAGTTGTTGTGAAATGAATGTAATATAGAAATAATTTGATAGCTAAATTAATAAAGCTCTATTAGCCGATGACTCAAATCGATGAAAAACGAAGACATTATATTTTATGAATTAAAAAAAATTTATGCGTTTTGTTTACGAGAGCAGATAGAAAAAATATTTAAAATTGGTTAGAACTTACAGAGTTAGGTCTAGAACCACTACCACCCCTATCACCACCACCAGCAACTATATTTTTTCCGCTACTAGTAGAAGATGGTCTCGTTTTATTTTGCAAAGTTGGTATTGGCGGAGAACGAGATCTGTTCTCAGCGACATTAGCTGACGGCTAAAAAGAAAAATTTTATCCCCAGGTGTTAAAAACAACCAACTACAGTTAAAATTACAGTAAACAACTAATGTTATTTATCTATAACCTATAAAATTTCTACCTCGTCACCATTTTGGGGTTTATCATCTCTTTGTTTACGCTTTTCATCCATAGCATTCTTTCTTATTCTTTCCGCCTCCAATCTTTCTTCTTCCAATTTTCTTCTCTGTTCTTCTTCTACTCTTTGCTGTTGCTCTCGCTTTTCCCTTTCCCGCTTTTTTTCTTCTTCAAACTCTCTAGCTAACTTATCTTGCTGCTCTTGCCATTTTCTAATTGATCTCTGTTCTTCTTCATCTTCTCTTCTCTTCTTCTCAGCATCTTCTTTTTTCTTATCTTCGATTTGCTTACGTAAATCTTCTCTGTATCTATCCATTTGATTTTTCTGTACATCACTTTTTGGGTCTCCAAATATTCCATGTCCCCCGCGTGCGTGACTTTGTTCAACACTCGCTGCGCCATCTAATCTAGGAATATTAGGAATATCTCTAGGACTAAGATAAACTTCTGATCGATGAGTTGGAGGAGGTGCATTTCTCGGTGACAACTGTTTTTCTTCATTATCCATATGCATAGATCTCAGGTCAGCTATATTTAATAGAAGTAAACTTTTAAACTAAAGAAATATTACATTAGGAAGAAATCAATAACATAATAACAGTAATAGTGGTAATAATAAAAATAATAATAATAATAATGATAATAACAATATTAATACAAAAAAAAGGAAATAACTACTCGAATAAGCGTTTACTTCCTCTTTTTAAAGTGTATTAATTAGTTAATAATAAAGATAAATAAAAATCCAGTAAATAACCAAAAAGAACCCGTGCAAAAACTTAAAGATAACAAAGAGGAAAAAAATATGACTACGAAAGAGAAAATTGTGATTTTGGTTAGCAAATTTATTTAATTTGTTCATATTTTTTTGTACAAATTAAACGAAATTGAATGAATGATTCAGGTTTGCTTGTGATTAGAAAATAGAATCAAATAAGTATATATAGTATATATATAGTATATATATAGTATATGTATACTGTATATTCTAAAAATCATTCAAATTCGAGATATTATTTGAAAAGAAGTCATAAAAAAACCATTTAATATTTTTGATTTGGCAATGTTTAAAAGTGACAAGTTTGTTTTTATATGCTTGCTTGCTCTTTTCCTCGACAGGGAAAATAAATAGAATATAATTGGAGAAATTACTTTTGCTTATATATAATAATAAAAATTTTGGGTAAAAAATTTGATTGAAATGAGCAAAACTGAAATATATAAATTTAAAAGGAAAAAAATTAATGAACGGAAATGATTATGGTTTACCCGAATTTTTTCGCTTTCTTTCAGCTATAAATAAAGTTATAGAACAATTTTTATAATAACTTTGTTTTAGTTTCTTATTTTTTTTAAATAGTACATAAAGTTAATAATACATTGTAAACTATATACTTTAAAATTACAGTATTTAATGTTACTTAGAATTTATATTTCTTCTTTCCTTACTTTATTGAAAGTATACGTAAAATCATATTGGTACGAACCTACGACATTTCCTTGTTCATCTCTAAGAGGTGCTCCACCACCGCCTTTACCAAAAGGATCATAATTTCTAATTTCCTCCTCAATTTTTCTATCGTATCTTTCTTTTTCTTCTTTTTCTCTTCGCTTTTTGGCTTTTTGCTCCTCAATCTGATAGTACAATATTATAACTTGTATTTAGTTATATTCTATATCATAAAATGTCATGTTTAAATAAGAGAAATTACTTGTTTTTGTAATTCTTGTTGATATGTTAGTTTAGCAGATTTCTTTGCAGCAGAAACATCATCATCACTTCTAAATGGGAAATTATTATTTCTTTCTTGCGGTTTTTCAAATGATGGTCTGAATAATTGGATTATTTGTTACATAACATAAAAGTCCTGAAATATATACTAACATTGGCGGTTTTCGTGTACTATTTACAGAAGGTTGATTGGTTTGTTGTGCAATTTGTGCAGATCCATCTGAATGATTTCGAAAGATGTATAAATCTATCAATGCAAAACATTAATCAAAAATTTATACTTGTAGGATTGTCCATCGGATCAACTGTTGCGTAGTAAGAGTACGCGTCATCAACTTGCAATGTACCATAATATCTATTTAAAAACGTGTTATATACTATAAGTTATTTAACAACTAATAGTAAAATAATAATTTATTACGGGTGCGCTTTATTAGATCCACTATCGAACAACCCTTTAAATCCCGTCTCCAACAAACCTCCATTATCTACTCTTGGTCTTGGAATTTCTTTTGGTTGATCATCAAATATTATCTTCCGAGGACTGTTCGAGTAAAAATTAACAATATCATTAAAAGCCAGAAAAAATGTAAATAGCAAGGAGATATAATACAGATACAAAAGATAGCAAGATTCCAGAAGAACGATTGAAAATGTTTAGGGTATTTTATTATTAAGATGAAGATAGTAGCAGATATAGGTAAATTCACTCTTTCGCTTTCAAATTATCTTTATCTTAGAAATGAAAGAAATATCCTATCGTATTTTTTATATTCCTTAAAGTTTTATCTGTTTGTTTGCTTGATAAATACCTTGGTAAATTATTTAGAAAATTAAATGTGCTGTTAATAGTTCAAAAATTAAGAATACTTCTTATTATCTGTAAAAGTAGTAATTATCATAATTTACAAACCTAAAATTATCTTGAGCCCTTCGAGATGCTCCGAAAGAATTTTGTTTAGTTGGATCAACTGCACCGGTTGCGTTGACTTTTAAATCCTCTCTCTTTTCCCTTTAAAGTGTGAAAAACAAAATCGTTAATTGAGTTTAATATAATGTAACAAGGTAGAAAGTAAAAATTACCGGATTTTTAAAGCATTAGAATCTTCCATTTGTCTTAGAAGCTCCTGTCTATAAGCTTCTTTCTTTCGAGCTTCTGCGCTACGACGGACTTCTCTCCCTTAGAAATTAAATTCAGAAATAAGTGAGCTAAATAAAATCCTTTTAGACTGGTTAAGTAGAAAACTTACCCATAAAGATGTTACTACTTTGATCTTGATTTCTACTGCTAATTGGAGTTGCTCGAGAAGGGTACGAAATATTGTCCTGTCGTGGCTGAATTAAGTAAAAAGAACAGGTAATAAAACTTCAATTTTGCTTATATAAATAAAAACATTTAAAAGTAAATACTAAAAATTTTTTCTTTTTAAGAAAAGATAATCTAATTAACTCTTTTATCCACAGAGACAATTTGTGAAGGTAAAAAAGAGTAAATAGAAAAAACACTTCGAGTTGATAAAGTGAGCCGAAAAAAAACACTCGAAACATTTAATGAAACCTCTAATGCTCCGGATGATTCATTTATTCGAACAGGATAGGAAACAGTTTCCTCTCTGTCTCTTTCTTCCATAAAAATGTATTTGCCCCTTCTCTTAGACTTTGGTAAGGAATTGGATATATCATTACTTTCTCCAGGTTTCTTTTTTTCAGGTCAAATAAGCATACATAGAGTGTTTATATATATATATATATATATATATATGTATACAATTCTTATCATAAATATATGGACAGTGGCCAAATAAGGACGATTCAAGAACGGTAGTTAACTCAGGAAAACTTTTAAGCTTTATTAGTCTGCCATTTTCTTTTGATGAGAATTGTATACAAATTTCATATGTATATATATAAAGTATATATTTGTTGAGAAAGAGATTATATGAGATAATTTCAGAAATTATAAGCTCAGCAAAAATTTAGATAGCGCCTTGGAAAGTTTTGAATAAAGCATAGAGGTGTTTATTATATTTTATTACCGTTGAAACAGGATCGCTTGGGCCAATACTTCTCTCTTGAGCAAAGCGTACTTTTCTAAAAAAATAATTGTTATATAACAAATCGTATTTATATATAGATCTTACTTTGATTCATATTCTCTGTCCAAGTCCCTGAATTTTCGTTCTTCATCCTATGAATTAAAATAAATATCACTAATTTTTGGCTAATGATATAAGAAGCCATAAATACGTCTTGCAGTTTATTTAAGTGACCATCACTCATTGATGTCATCATATAATTAGCACCACCAATACGTCCATCACCATCAGTATCGTTTAATCTTCTGTAGGAACGCTCCTCTTTCCTTTTTCTATCTAATATTTCTTCGTATGTAGGAGAAGCCCACCCCTGTCTAGGTGTAGGATGAGAGCGTTTCAGAGCTTCCTATTAAAATAAGTAGACAGAATAAATTAGAAAGAATACTTTAAAAGAAAATTTAAATACAACTTCTTGTTGTTTCCATTTCAAAAAATCATTATATTCTTTATTTCTTTCCTTCACTTTTCTCATCTTGGAGAAAAAAGAGATATATTAATCATTGAACAATAGAATATGTAAATTCAAAAACTATACAAAATATATCTATAACTTTACTAAAAATATATTTAAATCATAATGAAAGAAATTTATTTAATAAAAAGATAAAACGTGAGGTGAATTTCTTGTTTTTATTCTTTTGACTTTCTTCATTCAAGATAAAAAGAAAAAGAAATTAGAACCATAAAGAATCTAGCCCTATTGATCATTGTCTAAAAATTAAAATAAATCAATAAAAATAAGAAAATATTTTTAATCAACTACTTTTCTGGCATGAAAATATGTCTATACTCTATATACAGTATACAGTAATGTATATATGTATACTTTTTACTCTAAAAAATGCATATATAATCATCATGGAAGAGAGGAAAGTCTTCAATGATGATCAAAAAAGAATACAATAATGTAATTGTGATGAAAGGAAATATGCAAAATTATTATTATTCATGTGCTCTAGTTTTATATGGATAAGGCAGGTCTTTTTTAATATATATCTACTTTATAATGATATAATATGCATATTTCTTTCAAGCACTTTACAACAAAGTAAAGAAACTGTATTTTTTTATATGCTTTATATGAATTTTTCGTAAATCATACTTATATGTATATACAGTGCTATGTATTTATTAATACATTATATACATCTAAGTATATATACTCACTTCAAATTCAGATGGGTATAAAAACTATATACAGAGTAATATAAATTGACACAAAAGAGAGATAATTTTATGAGAACAATTCGAATAAATACTATTACTTACTTCAGCTGAGGGATGATCTCTAACTCCGGGAAGACTTGCCTGAAAACCATTATCTGGTACCGGTGGCTGTCTTCTCTATTTAAAAAATAAATTTAAATAATTAATCTATTACAAATTTAAAACATTTTACAAGTATTGGAAGTGGAGGTTCTCGACGATCATCTTCTGCAGCTGATCGTCTATCTTGAAATGTTTCTGTATATTCTCTTTCTTTCAAGTTTTCATATGGTAACTGAGTGCCTCTTGAGCTAGGTAAACCTCCCGCATAATCCATCGCTGGATTACTAACTTGTCCAGTCGATCTTAATTTTTGCTAATTGGAGAAAAAATGGTTTAATTAAAATAAACTGTGAATGTAATGGATTCTTTGTAAAAAAAAAAATAATAAAAATTTACCTCTGCTTGCAACTTTTGAAAATCTCGCCGCCGTTCTTCATCGAGTTTTTTCTTTCTCTCTTCGTAAGCTCCAAACTTATTCAAGAAGCCGTTATTATCAGTAGGATCTGCTAATGGTTGAGTGGTCTGTATAACAGGACGGCTTAAAGTATTCCGATTATTTTCCGTCTGAAATAATAAAAGGTCAATGTTATTTATATCTAATTTTTATCCTTTTAAAAGATTAGCTTTGGTGAAATGTCTATTCTATATAGAAAAGTACAACAGCAAACAAATCTCATTTCGAATCACACCTTAAAATTTTCTTCTTCAAGAACTTCAGAGTAAACGTTCTGCTCCGGTAACTAAACAACAATAAACATTTTTCAAACAAAGTAAAAGCCCTTACGTTATGTTAATAGAAGTACAGAAGCTATCTATACACGATTAAAAAACATACAAAACAGACTGGGAACAATTGATCGTCTATTGATTTTGCTAAGATTGGTCAACTTCTAATATCCTATTAATATAGTGTAAAATCTTTTCAACCTTTTTCAACATGTTCTGATAATCTGTTCGTCGTTCTTCAGCTAATTTTTCCTCAATATGTGTAGCACCCCTTTCTCCAATTGGTATTCCTAAATTTTCAGGTACCTGGTAATCCGTTTTTGAAGTTGGTACCTGCATTTAACACATTTCTAGTTTGTGAAAAGCTCTTCAATTTCAGGAAAAGAACAAATACACATTGTCAATTAGAATGTAGACGCAATATGAAATTTTTAAAAGATTTAAAAGATTGCTATAAATATCTACATATAAAATTAAGTACGATTTCAAAAAACCTAGTCAAAACTATGTTTGAATTATGCGTTTAAGCTATTTAAATATTTAAATATTATTTAAATAGAATAATATGATAAATATTTTTCATTGTTTCTACATATTCAATGACAATATGTTATAGGTTGTTAGGCAACTTTAATAACCATTTTGCTCAACATCTCGTTATATTCGTTCATGCGTTCCTCTCTTAATTTAAACTTCTTTTCCTCTTCATCAGTTTTATCAAAAAGGTATCCGTTAGAAATTGTTGATTCCGTTGGTTCTCTTCTCAAATGTGTTTCTCTCTGACCGAAAGACAATAGTTGTTCTCTAAATATATTTATATATAGAGAAGTATTGATCCTCCAAATTTGTTTTAGCATCATAAATGGCTACAATATCTTTTCTTTTCGATTATTTAAGTATTTAAAATAGGTATAGATTGGATAGTCAATCAGTATAAGAGATTAATGAAACCAATCAAATATTCATTACGATTGTAAACTAATTTACCCCTTTTAAATATTCTTTATACTCTTCCTGTCTTTCCGCATTTAATAATTTCTGTTTCTCTTCTGTATTACTTAGCTTTAATCCCTGATTTTCTTCAGGCCAAGCCCTTCTAGCACTTCCCTCTCTTTGCTGTTTTTTATATTTGTTTTAGCAAATACTTTGAATTATCGTTCTTTAACTTTTTCTATGGCTACCTTTTTTAAAACTTCTTGCATCTCTGTATTCCTTTCTTCGGCCAGACGTCGTCTTTCTTCTTGATATCTACCCACTGGAAGACCTTCATGTTGTGGGGTTGTTGGACGTCGACGAGGTGCAGTAGGTGGTTTCTAATTTAACAAGTTCCAAGAGATTTGCTTTTTTAATATATGGACATTTTGCATTTGTTTTTTTTTTAAAACCCAACCTTTGCCAAATACTCTTTAAGATCCTTTGTTTGATCTTCGACAATTTTCTTTCGTTTTTCCTCATATCCACCTAACTGCAAGCCCACATGTTCAGGGGTTTCCGGTCTACGCCTTACGTTTAACTGTAATTGTAAGGAAAAACTTCTTTGTCACAGGTATACTTAATATTGGTAACAAATTTGTATAGATACACGTGTATGAATCATCGGAAAAAATACCTCAATTAATGTCTACAGTACCTTCTAAGACTGACCAAAAACAGCTACTCAACGTAGAATATAAAATTAATAGATAGACAAGAGAGAGAGAGAGGTGAAAGTGAAATAGATAGCAAAAAGATTAATATTCCTTAGTTTGCTTAAAAACATTTCTAGGCGTAATACTATCCAACAATAAAGAATAAAAACCATTAGAAAACATTCCTGCTCATCTCGAAATAGATAACAACAGAGTTTACAAGTTAAGCAATATCGATTTATTATGTTTTAGAACACCCTATAAAACGTTTTTTTCTAATGGTCTACTACGCATGTTCTCTATGTAATCGAATATTGCTGAAAATCTAAACTTTCCAGATTCTTTTGTGCAAATAAATCATTAAAAACAGTAAAAGTACAAATCTGTGTTTCAAAGTTAGTAATTCAAATACGACAAAAGTACTTACAACTTGATTCTGATTGTCTTTTTGCCACTTTTTTCGAGAACTAGGAAATCCATTCTAAAATACATGTTATCGATTAAAAATTACAAAAATTTGCAAAAAAATATACTACCTCTACGACGTCTGATCGTTCCTTGGCCAATTTTGACTTTTGCTTTTGAATGAACGCTTCCAAATCCTCGTCCATTTTGAACTGTCTAGTTGCGATTTAAAAGAACTTAACGAAACTTTTGATATCCAAGACGACCAAGTAAACTCCGATAAACAGTAGTATAATTTAGGAAATATGAAATCTAAAATATCATAAATATCTCAGGGAGTCATTTTCGAGTGAATAAAGCGTCGAAAATGTCAGTTAAAACGATGTGTTTTAGAAATTAGCAGTGTTCTGGCGCGAAACGTTACGGAATCCGAAAACAACAGTCTATTTGAAGACAGATGGCATTTGGGTCAAACACTACCAGTTTCTACAAAATGAGATATAGTGTCGATAATAATAATGATTTTTAAAGGTCTCAAATTACTGATTTTGGCTCTTTTACATTACCCATTATGTAAGTTACTTTTTTATTATCAATAAGGATTGCGATTTCCTTGCTATATGCCAGCTTTTACCCCATGTAAGAACCAAATCATTCCGCTCTGCACATACAGGAAGACAGGCGGAAATATGAACATACATATATATTGTAAAATAAAGCATAATTGAGGCTAAAACCTCTTTAATTAATTATTCCGGTGTAAATTTCGTTAAAATGGAATTATTTTAGAAAAAATTACAATCTACAACGCCAGCTAAGGGCTCTATTCTTTTTTATTTCTTTGTAAATATTAACGACAATTTAAATAATTTAACAACCAGTAAACATAACGTCTTTTTATAAAATGCATGAAAAGTTACATTACAATGTAAGATTATATTATTTTAAAACCGAAAAGTGTACGAATATTTGGATTATTCATCGCCCATCCGTTAGTAGATACAGAGAGAGAGAGTGAGTGAGAGACAGAGAATGAGAGAAGTGGAGATAGAGGGGCAAGTGAACTGGGAATAAAGGAAGTAAGACTAGGAAAGAAAATAAACTGACAGAAATAAAGATTCAGTGCAAACTGAGTAGATTCCAATTAAATAAGACTATTGTAAATATATACTCTGCATACAAATATGTATATATATATAATAGGAAGCCTTCTTTGTTTTATAGTAATTTATATATCTCTTCTATGGCACCAATTTAAGAAGATTAGAATAGGTTAAAATCTAACAAAGTTTTACATAGGCATAGTTTCGAATTTGTAGACTGACCTTAATTGTATACAATAAATTTTACGATGTGCTATAAATATAGTACATAGTATATATTAAAAGTACGAAATTCTAATGTTATTTAGCACTTTAAGCTGTGTTATTTATTCTGCCTACCTAATTTCAGACATTAGAAAGTCAATAGAAAATGTAAAACTTTCAACTACATTTTTCTTTTTTTTACCTATTATCGCCTTCCATTCCTTTTGAAGTCCTATCTTCATTCTATCATTTAAGATAAATAGGAAAAATGTCAAATTTGCATTGTTAACAGCTTGATAATAATAAAAAAAGAATGTAATTTTTTGAGACATCCTCTTCTTTTATTTATCTAAGTAGGATATATTCTGTATATATCTACAATATATATTGATAATATCTGTATAAGTACACAAACTATAGTTATTTCACCTACTATTTTGGCCACTATATTCTATTAATTACATATATTTATATATATATATATATATATATTTACTATCAGGCCTCTCCCTGGAAAGATTCGCCTTTAAATATGAATGGAATTTGGTTGGAACTCTTAAGAATGGAAAATCTATTGATATCATTACAGAGGGCCAATTTACTTGGTTAGAAAGAAAAAATAATATGGTAACTAAAGCAGACCGATGTGGATATTTACCGGATCGAACAGAACCATTTATCAGATGGGGTCGAGATATCGCAATTTTCAGAGATACCAAACTCTTAGAATTTGAGAAGATTCTACATACAACAATTTCTTTTACATTTAGATATTCGCTAGATTCATTTATCATATATGGACAAGCAGTAGATCCACCAGATCCTCGATACCTTACACATTTCGGGGAATCAACAATCGAAGTTTTTATTGATACTGGCGGTGTACGTGAACGATGCGGTTCAAGCAAATTAAAAGATGTCTTATCCTTTAGTAAATCATTATTTGGAGCAGGTCCTCAGAAAAAATATTATTTATTCAATATAACATCTAAATGTGATTATAATTTATGGAGTCAATCAGCTTTTGAAAGATATATGAAAAGTACCAAAAGGCATGAGCTAGTAATTGATCTGAGACTGGGAGAACTTGATCTTCCATTCCAATCCATCTTTTGCGATCTGAAAATATTTGGTAAATATATCAATATCTTTTCATTGTATTATCAATATATATGTTTTGAAATTTTAATAGGTTGTGGCTATACCCAGTATTTAGATAAGAAAAGTGGAAAGTGCAAGATGTGCAATTGCGATGATTGCGATATTTCGAATGGAATATGTACTCATGACTGTCACACTGGCTTTAAAAAAAATGAAAATGGATTATGTAATATACGTAAGTAAAATTTTATAGTTTATTGATGAAATCTTGAATTATTCTGGTTCAACTATATATTCCTTTTTTAGGCTGTAATAAATCTTATGGAAAACATTGTAGTAAAATTTGCAAATGCCTACATGGTACATGCGATGTACATGGCTATTGCCCAGATGATCAGTGCGAACAGTATTATTACAATATTGATTGTTCCATAAGTATGACGTTTTTGTAAACTACTTTTTATCTTTCTTTTCATTCTAAATTTTATTCTAATCAAATTTAGAATACGATAATCCGAAATTTTGCGTTAAGGATGATTACTTTAAAGTTGTTACAACTGGCGATACTTGGACTGTATTTCAATGGTGGGGATTATGCAACATTCCAGAAAAATTAATAGAAAACTATTTAGTATTTGAGCTTTATTATCGATCGGTAAATGAGGAAAATTGGAAAAGAGGTTATGAAATTCAAATTGATGGTGAACAGTTTAATAAATCTCATACAGCTAATATAACATCTCTTCAACGTTTCACTACGTACAAAATAAGATTAGATATTTTTCTTTATGACAATTTGAGTAAAAAGATTTTGAGAAGTGAAACTCAAACATTTAAAACACTAAAATGCTATGCACCTACTTTACCCAAAATTACAAATATTACTGATTTTGAAACCGATGAACTTGGTGGAAAGGATTTAACTATAGAATGGAAATATAATTCGTCTAGCCATGTGAATAGTCATTGTAATGTTAAAAAGATTGAATTTAAAATAATCAAGTGGAATTCAGGAAATGCTTCTAATATCATACGAGTAGTTTCTGTAAACAGAACATCTTTAGAGATCTATTCTTTACAAAAAGGACTATACATAATTGAATTTTCTGTCCTATTCGGAATCAATAAGAGAACTGAATTTATTCGTCATCCAAAAGTTGTAGAAATTCTTGCTGACACTGGTAATTCTACTCTTACAACTCAAGTTCCATATATTACGGCAGGAGGTTTGACATTACTTTTTCTATATAGATAACAATAATTTCTATAAATCTTAATCGTTAATATTAGAGAATAAAATTTCACCCGGTAGCGTTGGAAGCATAGGCATCGTTGGTAAAACATTAGCCCCTTTAATTAAAGCTTACTTGATTATTTCATCAATTTTTGATATTAATTGAAAAGTAAAGGAGAAACATTTAGAAAGGATACAGATACTATTTTGTTCTTCAGTGTATATTTGTATTTTCTTTGTGTTTTCTTATTGTCTATACAAATTAACTAGAAACAGAATACTACAACATGACCAACAAAGCTACGACTATAGTATATTGTGTGATTTGTAGCCAGATCAGAAATCATATTTAAAATAGCTTTTTTAAAAATGAACATTTAAGATGAAAAGATTATTATACACTTAAAAAGATATTAGCGGTGTATATGCTTTTAAATATACTATGTATATGTTTCGAGGTTTGTACTGGACCGTATTTTTTGGCTTATTTCTCTTAAATATTCAGGTTCGGGTTCTCCCCTGACCTGCCCCTGCATTAAGCTTAAGCCTAGCCTAATCTTATCCTTAAACCTTACCGATAACTTTTAACCTAAATCTTCGACGTGTCATATTTATAAACAAAAAGTTTTTTACTGTCCGCTGTATCATATATATATATATATATGTGTGTGTGTGCGTGTCCAACCTAAACTACGTATAGCCTTGTTTAATTCACACTAAAGTTGTTATATTTTTTCTTCCTACCAGCTATTCTTGGAAGTATCCTGTTAGTAGTTGCTATTTTGATATTCCTCTTTATGATTCTAAAAAGGTATAGTAAAATAATATAATATAATAGAAACATTATATCAATATATACAAAAGAATATAATAGACAGTCGTTTTTCTGTTTTGTCTAGGAGAAGGGATCTGAAAAAGAAAAGAGATGTTTCGCTACATTATAAGGTAGAGCATTGTGACGAACAGTCCAAGTTGGCTGAAAGTTTCGTTGACGAAGTAAGAATTTTGTATTATCTAGAAATATATCATTTTATCCTTTCTTTTATTTTCTCTTCCTTCTTTTATATGAACAAGGCGGATCACAGTGCTCAAATGGAAGCAAATGAAAAACCACCTTTAAATTTTATGGAAATAGAACAACTAAAAGATGTTATTAATGAGAAAGCCAAAAATGATGGAGAGGGATTTATGAAAGAATATGAGGTAAATAAAAATGGACCATTATCTATAGTACTATTTTTCTAACTGAATATTTAAACCTTTCCTCTTTTTATAATATTTGACAGTGTAGTTTCTGTAAAAGTGTATTTTAATAACATATAGTCTTGTAATGATAACCTTTTGGTAAGCTTTCAAATCAGAGTAAAAATCTTTACTTTTTTACCCCTCTTCTTGACCCAGAAAATGGATGTAATGAGGATATATATATATATATATATATACTTTATATATATATAGAATATAGCGTACTATATACAGAGCTTACCATAAGTAAGAGCGTTTTATTCAAATTAGGATAAGTTATACAAGTAAAGATTTTTAGGTAAGAATAGTGTTAAAGATTCCATCAATGATTAAGAAAGTTGGTTACATAAATGTTGTTGATTAATTCATCTTCTTTCTCTTTTCATTATCTTAATTGTATTCTCTTTTTAATCTTTTTAGTCTATACCGAGAACGTTTTACTTTTCGTCCGAAATTGGTCGAAAGATGTCTAATAAACATAAGAATAAATTCAATAATATTATTCCTTGTAAGTAATAAAAATAATAGAGAAATAACAAAATAATTGTTAATTATACGTTTAATCTTTTTTCTTTTTTCCTATTTATTTCCCTTGTTAATCAGACGATCAATCAAGAGTTATTCTAGAAGCCATACCGGATGTTGAAGATTCAGATTATATAAATGCCAATTGGATAACTGTAAGTGATAACATGAGGCATAAAACTTTGTTTATTGCATATATTATAATATAATATAATAATATGATTCATACACCTATGACATTTAAAAAGGGTTATGGAGAAAGCATTTCCGATGAGAAACCATTTAGCTATATTGCCTCTCAAGGTGCCAATAAATTTACAACTCAAGATATTTGGGCTATGGTTTGGCAGGTAGAATTTATACAAAATACCTTCCTTTTTACGGGAAAATTAATGAAATTTTTTTATAATTATATTATTCAAGGTGAATGCCAAAGTTCTTGTTATGTTGACAAACATAATTGAAGGAGGAAAACGTAAATGTGAATTATATTGGCCAGAAGAGGATGAGAAACAGTATGGTAATATTAAAGTAAAACTCGAATCCAACATTTCTACTGTACACTATGTTATAAGAACATTTAAATTGACGAAGGTTAATTAACTATTTGCCATTTTGTTATCTTTAATCTTAAATTTTTGTATATAAATGATTAATATAGGATGATAAGGAGAGAACTATCAAACATTTCCATTATACAACATGGCCTGATCACGGTGTGCCAACATCGGCAGTGCCACTTATAGAATTTCATAGAAAAGTTCGAGAATATGAGCCATCAAAACCTCTAGTCATTCATTGCTCTGCTGGTGTTGGAAGAACCGGAGCGTTTATATCTCTAGATTATCTTCTTAAGCAATCAGACGCCGAGAATGGTGTCGATGTCTCTGAATTAGTTTGGAAAATGAGACAATGTAGAGTTCACATGGTACAAACAGCCGAGCAATATATGTTTATTTATCGCGCCATATACGAAGCAATCCAATGGAAAGATAGTTTTATAAAATGTAGCGAATTCGCAGAGACTTATTTTAAGTTACAAATTAAAAATGCTATTGGTAAAACTGAAATTGAGACTGAATTCGAAAAATTACAAGCTATGAACAAAGATGATAGTAATAATTTTACACAAGGTGGATTATTAGAAAATATTGAAAAGAATAGGCTGAAAAATGTCTTACCAGCTGACAATTATCGACCGTATCTCTTACTTAGGATGGATGGTTGTAACGATTATATAAATGCTGTAATTTTCGATGTAAGTGTCTTATCCTTCTATCAAAAAGATGAAGAAAAATCTCTTAAATGAACAAGAGATCTTCTTGTTTTTTGGTCTAAATGCATATGATTTTATTGATAATTACACCCTTTTTTTTCATATCTTAGGGAGTTTATACAAAAAATGCTTACGCTATAACTCAAATGCCTCTTCCAAATACTGATGTCGACCTATGGAGAATGGTTGTTGATCATAACTTTTCAACAATAGTCATGCTAAACGATCCTAGACCGGATGATGAAAGTTATGGACATTATGTACCAATAGAAGAGAAAAGTTGGGTCAGAGGACCATTGGAAGTGTCATTTAACAGTCAAGCTAATATAGATCCCTCTTTAACAATCAGAGACCTAACTGTAAAAGTAACCAAAGAGGAAAAAACAAAAGAAATGAAAATAAAACATTTCCAATTTTATCATTGGCCAACTGAGAATAATATAATATCTAATCAAAAATTCAAAGATAATATACTTAATTTAATTAAACAAATTAACGTTTGGCGATCTAAAATTGACAAAGAAAATAAACGACCAGTCGTTTTTCAATGCCAGTAAGCTATATTGATTTTATAATCCTCTTTTTTTTCTATCTTTATCTTTATCCAATTTCAAAATATTATCAATATTTATTTGTATATTTTACATTCTATTTTCTTATTTCATAGTGATGGATTCAAACAAAGCGGTCTAGTCTTAGCAGTAACTATACTCTTAGAGAAAATTCAAGTGCAAAAAGACGTTGATGTACCTTACGTTGTCAGAGAACTAAGGTTAAGACGTCCAGAACTCATTTGCGACTTGGTAATTATTTACATTAATGTCTAGAGTTGATAAATTTTCCTTCAAACTTATTCCTATTGCTTTCTTTTATAGGATCAATATAAATTCCTTTACGAAATTGTCAAACAGTATTTAGAAGAGTCTGAAGTATAAAAGCGTCAAGTGCTGATATACAAATAATGGAAAGTAAACATTGTTGTTTCTTTTTTTTTTAACTTAACTTATATTAAAAAATCTTCTCTTTTTGATTATCCTTTTCTCTATTTCTCTTAGTTATGAATATTAACTGATGCAACATTTTCTCTATGTTTTATAAATTGTTTACTATATTTTTTTACAACGATATTCTCTTTTTTGTGTTCAATTTGAGACATCTAGAAGAGTTCAGCATAATTTGTGGATCCGTGAAAATTGTTCATAGTTTGGTAATTAAATCTGTTCATTGATATTTTTTATATAAAAGCAAAAAAGAAACGAACCAATGACCATATATATACAGTATATATACTTCTATATATATATATATATATATATATATATATATAGTATACTAAGTATTTTTAATGTCTACCCGTTTTTAGCCTGTCATAGCTAAGTCAGTAGTAATAGTCTTGTAAATGCTATAATTTTTAAATTTATAAACCGTCCGAGTACGAGAATATATGAACGTCGATCTATTATATGCCCATTCTTCTTAGTAATAAATACTTATTTATTAACAATACTCTACTAGCTTGTTCATATAATTTTCTTTAACAACTTTTTCTACTGAAAAAACTTTTATGCATACAAATATGATGCCAAATTTTTAATGTATTTGTCTAAATGAATTGTTTGATTAAAGGGGATTAGCTGGGAGTACTTTTCCTCTGCATTCACCAAAGCCAACTCTATACCCGTCACCTTCACAATACCCTGTCATTATAACTTCGTCACCATCCTTCAAAAACTTCCTTGTAACTCCGTCTCCAAGATCAATCGTTTTTGTTCCTTTCCAACATAGTTCAAGCATGGAACCGAAAGATTCTTCAGTCTGTCAATAAAATTTGTTAGTTTACCGGACAACTATCATTTATAGTATATTCTACTAACGGGGCCACTAATAGTACCGGAAGCCAATAGATCGCCAGTCTGGCTGTTACAACCAGAAACCGTATGATGAGTAAGTTGTTGTTTCATTGTCCAATACATGTACTAAGAAATAATTAGGTAAATTATCGATGTTAAATTGAATATTTAGATTATTTACTTTAAAGTTACTTCTACAAATAGTCTTTGGGGATGCAATTTCGTCAACTGAAATAAAATTGATTAATCTCCTTTCCTTTATTAAGCCAGAGAATCAAACCTTTAACGGCAACTTCAAGATTTATGTCAAAATTGTATTTATCGTTATGAACCAAATAAGAAAGAGGTTTAGGTTCTTGTTCCATATTATCAACAGCAAATGGCATAAGGGCGTCCATTGGTACAACCCATGGAGAAATAGTTGTTCCGAAATTTTTACCCAAGAAAGGCCCAAGTGGAACATATTCCCATTTTTGAATATCTCTGGCACTCCAATCGTTCATCAATACCATACCAAATATATGTTCTTCAGCATTATCAATAGTTATCGGCTGTCCCAAATCATTACCTTTTCCGACCAAAAAGGCCATTTCTAACTCAAAGTCTAAAAGCTTACAGGGTCCATAGACTGGCGGTTCTTGTTCATTTGGTTTTTGCTGTCCACATGGTCTTTTCAAATTAGTTCCCGAAACTACAACAGATGAGGCCCTTCCATGATAGCCAACTGGTAAATAACGCCAGTTTGGCATAAGAGCATTTTCTTTACCACGGAACATGATACCAACGTTAGTAGCATGATGGATCGAACTATAGAAGTCAGTATAATCCCCTATTAAGGACATAATATTAACTTAGATAAGGTGACAATTCCTTTTTCATTAAAACACGTATACAAACCAATTTTGGCTGGTAAATGCATTGAAGCAGAGAGGCGACAAACCAACGCTCTGTATAAAATAAACAAATATATACATATGTAAATGTATATAAAAATAAATAGGCCGAAATAATATTCAATCGATTTTATCATTAGTTTTTGTTACCTAGATAATAAATCTTTGCTATTCTTCAAAACGGTACATTCATTGCTCAACAACTCTCTTATACGTTCTCTTGCTTCTCTCCAAGCAGGACGTCCCAGTCCCATAAAATCATTAAGAGTTGGCTGTTTTTTGTTAAGAATCACACGATGAAATTCGAAACTTCAAAGGAACTTAAATATTAACCTTGTCAAAAACATCTTGACAGGAACTCAGAATTGGGCCGTTGAATAGGTGCTTGATAATACCAAGATCCAAGATTTTATCTCCAATTGCAACGCCAATACGATGTTTAGGCTGTGAAATAATGCTTTTAATTAGTTAAATGAATATCAAATAGGTCAAACGGTGCATCAGAATAATGCCGGTACCCACATTATCGGACGTAGAGAATATTCCGTAGGGTAGATTTTGAATGGGAAAGTGGCTGTCTGGACTAACTTCAACAAAAGACATTTTTGCGTTATGACAATTTATTTGATAGAAACTGAAGGACAATTCAAAGAATAGAAGATTATAAGACTTTTGCAGAACGTGGCAGAGTCGCACAGAATTTACCAAACCAATAAAGTAGGGTATGTCGATGTGGTAAAAGCAGATGGAAGTCTTATTTCGATTTCGAACTCAAACCATACTAATAGTTGTTATATTTGATGCTATTGGTCAGATTTCTACAAATTGAATATTTTTTTAAATTCCTACAAAAACGGAAACGGAAATTGAAGCACGTTGGTTATTGTTGTCCAATATGTCATCGTAGATTTGGAAATCCCTCTTATTATTAAGAAATAACCAGTACGTTTACGGCATTTTCTGTCTGAAATTTATGCAATATCCACTATCTTTCTTGCGATTGGTATGTAAACGTTAAATGTTAATTAAATACATGTTAGATAATACTTCAAGAAAATTTTGTCATACGTATACCAGTGTTCAGCCGTTAAAAGAACTAACTTAATAACTAATCTACGACATCTTCTAACTTTGTTTTTAAAAAAGCTATTATTCCAATTCAAAAATACATATACTAATATATATATTGAATAAAATAGGAGAGTATTATGAATATTGTTCTTTATACGCATCGAACCAGCTAATTTAAGAAACAATTTATCTTATATAAATATAATCTACAACAACAGATTAAAATAATAAAAATAATTTCTATTTTCAGTGATTCTGAAAGCTGTTAGAAAAAATAGATAAAAATTCATCATGGTTTTAGCCGATTTGGGCAGAAAGATTACTAAAGCTCTAAGATCATTGAGCACGGCAACAGTAATAAATGAAGATGTAAGTAAAATTAATTATCTATAAAATTTGTTTCTACTTTTCTATTGATATTTCCTGTTTTAGGTCCTCAACTCTATGCTTAAAGAAGTTTGTGCCGCTCTTTTGGAGGCTGATGTTAACGTAAAACTGGTTAAAACTCTCAGGCAAAATGTCAGGTTAGCTATATGACATTCTTATTCTATTGATAGTTTATTTACCCCATTCCTTATTCTTTCCTAATCAGGTCAGTTATTGATTTTGACGAAATGGCTGCTGGTTTAAACAAGAGACGAATGATTCAAACTGCCGTTTACAAAGAACTAATGAAGTTGATCGATCCAGGGGTCAAGGCTTATCAACCTCAAAAAGGCAAACCAAATGTAATAATGTTTGTCGGTTTACAAGGTAGCGGTAAGACAACTACTTGTACCAAGCTAGCGTATTACTACCAAAGAAAGGGATGGAAATCTTGTTTAATTTGCACCGATACTTTCCGACCTGGCGCATATGATCAGTTGAAACAGTCTGCTACGAAAGCTAGAATTCCATACTTCGGATCATATACAGAAAGTGATCCTGTTGTTTTAGCTCACGAGGGTGTGGAAAAGTTCAAAAAAGAAAACTTCGAGATTATAATCGTCGATACTAGCGGTAGACACAAACAAGAAGATTCACTTTTCGAAGAGATGTTGCAAGTATCGAATGTTGTCAGTCCGGATAATATTGTCTTCGTTATGGACGCTTCAATTGGTCAAGCTTGCGAAGCACAAGCGTGCGCCTTCAAACAAAAAGTTAACGTTGGTTCTGTTATCATTACAAAATTAGATAGTCACGCTAAAGGTGGAGGTGCTTTGAGTGCTGTTGCTGCAACGAAAAGTCCAGTCATATTTATTGGTACCGGAGAGCATATAGAAGATTTTGAAACTTTCAAAGTTCAACCATTTGTCTCCAAACTCTTAGGAATGGGTGATCTTGAAGGCTTAATTGATAAAGTTAATGAATTGAAATTGGAAGATAATGAAGATTTGATTAAAAAATTAAGACATGGCCAATTTACATTAAGAGACATGTATGAGCAATTTCAAAATATTATGAAGATGGGACCTTTCAATCAAATCATAGGTATGATACCAGGCTTTGGCCAAGATTTCATGTCGAAAGGAAACGAACAAGAGTCTAAAGTTCGTTTAAAGAAATTAATGACCATAATGGATAGTATGAATGACCAAGAATTAGATAGTTTTGAAGGAGCAAAATTATTCTCCAGACAACCTGGACGAATAAACAGAGTTGCCCGAGGTGCAGGTGTATCAAATAGGGACGTTCAAGAGTTGTTAAACCAATATACAAAATTCGCTCAAATGGTCAAGAAAATGGGAGGAATAAAAGGATTATTTAAAGGAGGTGACATGTCGAAGAATATAAATCCAAGTCAAATGGCAAAATTAAATCATCAAATGGCTAAATTGATGGATCCTAGAGTCTTACACCAAATGGGAGGAATGAATGGACTGCAGAGTATGATGAAGCAATTTCAGGCGGGAGCGACTGGTAAATTTCCAAATATGATGGGATAGAAGAAATGAGTTTGTGCCACTGTTTAACTGACGCTCCTTGTTTATTTTATGAATTTGTAAACTTATTCAAAAAATACTGTAATGTTAATGTAATCTATATTACTCTGAATTTCACTTCGTTATTAAAAAAAAATAAAAACTTCCTTTACCATCGAATCGCTTTTATATTACTTGTTTTATATTAAGTTATTAACTTTAATAATATTTTCCACACTATAAAACTCTCGTAAATGATTGACAATAAACCAACTACAAAAACGGTTATGTAAATTAAACACAGTACCATCCGTGTACAAAAAAAGCATTCAGTACAAATTCTCGTACATTATATTCTCACATTTGATACATTCGTTTTATATTCAAAATCTTTCCCAATCTTTGTTTTGTTGTTGATAAACCCTTTCTAGCTTTCTTTTGGGCTTCTTTCTTCTCCATAGGCGATGCTATAATTTGATAAAACAAAATGAAATACGCATAAAATACTGCTATTCACTCTATTTACCTGTATCTAACCAATCAGTCGTTCTGGTCGGCGAATGAGATTTCCGCTTCTTCTTCGACTGAGCGTTATATTGTCGTTTAACCGGCTAAAATATTAAAATAAAAACTCAATTAGCTATAATTTAAACTAAACGTTTTATTATACATGAATTATTCATTATACTGTATAATACGAAATAAATTTACTGATGGATTAGCAGCCGCTGCGGCCAAGCCCTGCTCAACAGCTTCTCGTTTAGCGTTAGGCCGCTGGGGTCTCTTTTCTTTTGGGGTCAATAAAGGTTGTACTCTGGCTGATAATAAATATTGAATAAGATCAGTAATATTATTATACTATATCAATTACACTATAAATGACTCACCTCTTGGATTCCAATTGTCGTCTTTCTCCTCTTTAATTTTTGCTGACGGCTTTTCTTCATTGTCGGATAAATCGAGCGAAGGATAAACTGATAAAATGATTAACAATTAACAAAAATATCAGCAATAAGAATATATTGAAAATATTAAATAAATTAGCATGTAGCTTACCGAATTCTTCATCTTTGTATACATCTCGATGCGTTGGTGACTCACTAGACTTTTTCTCTTTTTTTTTGGAAGGTAACTTCGAAAGGAATTCGAACGCAGATTCTCCACTCTCTGCTGAACTTACATGTACACCACGAGACATTGAAAGCATTCCCTGAACTGCATCTCGCGTATGCGTATCGGCCTTGACCCTATCAGCCATATCTTTGCTATAATGTGTTAATGTACTACTCATTATTATTCGTTGAGAACCCCCCCCCCTCCTTTATGTTATATTAAAATTAGATAGCTCACCTGTATGGTGTAGTATAACCTTGAGTTAAATTACTCGTATTAAAAATGTCTGCCAAATTCGTCGATGAATCGTTAGATGCAGATTGAGCTGTTGATAATTTTAGTTTTAAGCCTTTTTTAGGCCGTTGGTCATCTATGGTTAGCGAATCGCTACTAGCTGTTTCTTCTTCAACAGAATTTCTTCTTTGAGAATTGTCAGAATTCTCAAACATTGAGAATGCACTTGGCCAAGGCAAATTATCCAAAGACGACTTGTCGGGATCTTTCGAGCTCTTCGTCTTTTCTTTTTCTTTTTTCTTTTTTCTTTTCTCAGCCTTTCGTTTCTCTTCTTTTTTCCAACTGCTTTTCTTTTTCTTTCGCTTTTCCCTTTCATCGTTTTCATTAATTTTACCGAGGTGGATATGTCTCGTTAATTTGTACAATTCTTTAAGAATTTTCGCATACGGAATAGCCTCTGGTATGGTATTCTTCAGACCCACGTACTGAAATGAATGTATAGGAGACGATAACTATAGTAAGTACAGATCACAAATCTTTGTGATCTGATAAGGTGTAAACAAACGAAAAAATATAATTTCGCGTGTTAGGGATAAAGAGATGGGAGCATATTTTAGTGGAAAGATAATAATAGCAATAATAACATAATAGTAATAATAATAATAAGCAAAAAAATGACATCAGATATGTATAAAATATATACATCAGTATATACTATATTTATATGATTTCGTTTTTATGCTTTCATAATAGACCCTTTAATAATCACCAAAATTAATAGATGAAAAGAAAAAATAGTTGTTTAGCTAAGGAAAAAACACTAAGCAGGATTACAAAAGCGGTTTCTATTAAAAAAAAACTTTTGTTTTTCATTAATTTAGTGAACAGATATAGGTTCAAACACAGGGCATTAAGAAACTAGTACTACAACATCAAGCATTCATGCTACCTTATGTTTATATTGTATTATATATACTGTATATATAGTGTATATATATATATATTAGTCTATACTTTTTATATACTTTATATATAATACTTTACAGAAATTGTAGACAATTGTTTAAAATTTTACCACTAAAAATATTTTCAATTAAGCCAAAGTAAGTGTAAATTAATTTATCACGGGCGAATAGCGCAATATACAGTATATATACATGTATATTAGCATATGTATATACATTTTTCATATTCACAAGTTGTGATATTTTTTATCTAATTATGTTCCCTTCTGTTCGATCTCTTTCCTTCTTTTTAAAGTTTGTTGAATGTAAAACATTTATAATATATACATATAAATATATACATATATATATATAAGAATTTATATATATATATATATATTGATGTATGTCTATGTGCTTGTTTATGTTCCCAATATTTACATAATTTATACAGACATAGATATAAATATAAGTAAAAGTAGAAGCACTCACAACAGAGCACATGTTGAGCTGTCGAGAAGTAAAAATGAAAACATTTAAACTACTGATAAACAATTCATCTAATTTCAAATGTGATGAGATGATTTTTAATGGCGATTTATGCATCTTCCGCTCCATTTTAAAAAAAAATGAAGTTGTTAGGCTGTGTTTTCATGACTCTTTTAAAGCACAATTAGTATATTTTGTCTTTTTTTCATATTTCAACAAAGAAATTAAATTCATCAAGTCACATCAAGTCACATTTTGTCATATATGCTTTTTGTAATAACGTAACGTGTTTATTTTTTATCTGTTCAAGCAAATTAGAATTGGCATTTTGGTGATCATTGGACATTTTAGAAATATTTTGTCATTCATTAAGGTGCAATGTTTATAATTTTGATTTGTCTTTTTTTTGATAGTAAAGACCGATGCTTTTTAAAAATATAAAAAAAATGATAATAATAAAAAACACAGCCGGAAAAAAAACTAAGGATGAGGAGTTTAAACAGAAAAGAATAGCAATATGTTATTTAAAAATGTCATATGCACATTCATCCAACGAGTGAAAATGAATTAACTTCTAATTAATTTAATACTCCTAGTACTATTATTTTTCTTTTTCTGTTACATGATGTATACTTACATCCTGCTTCTGGGTCCATGTTTTTAAAGCAACTGCAAGAGCCCTTCCACCCTCCATTATATATTTGGGAGGCTCTTTCTCTTCTTCAGCATACTCTAGAATTTGATTATATTATAATATTAATGCCGTGCATAAAATAATGTAATATATCTTTATACCTTTCAAAGTATCCAATATATGTTTAGCCGCGTACCAATGCAATACTTCATAATTTGGAAATAGATATTTTTCAGGTGTATTAGCCCGTTGCTCCATCTCGTAAGCTCTGTACAAATTTGTAATTATAATATCGGCTTTTTGTGGAAAAGATTTACATACTGTATCTGAAGTTCTATATTAAAACTGTGAAGGAAATTTCCACCGAACACTAATGAATCTGCTGGCGTTAGAACCGCATGAATCCATCCAGTTGGTATAAATAACGTTGACCCAGCCGTTATGGTTACTTTATAACATTTATCAACTTGATCTCCAAAAAACATTTCGCCTTGGTTAGCCGAAGATACCCATTGCTCGTAGAGTAACAAATTGTTACTAGTCGGTTTTATTAGATAGAAAATTTTTTCCCCTTTTAAAATGTGATACCATACGCTTGTTCCACCGAAATCAACGTGGAAGTCCGTATAAGAATCTTTAACCCCCATTAAGCAATATCGTTGAACTTCCGGTTTTTCAAATTCTTTATCCTCTGGAACGTGTTCTGGCCAATAATTAGAGACCCAGCTTAACTCACGAACAATCCTTGGCGGAACAACTAATTTTTCTAATCTAAAAATATATGAATTTCTTATATATTCTTTTAGATTTAATTATTGTATTTACTTACGGAGTATTGGAAAACTCCAAACTAATAACGTTCAATATTTTTTTCTTGTTAGCATCATTATAATACTCTGTCCATTCTCTCATGTACATCTTCATATCGTCCTGTAGAGCAACATCGATGACGTCAATTTCCCTCATAGAGCCGACATGTTTTTCGACATCGTTAACAGTAAAATTTGAATTCGGTACTAGTAAATCTAGTCCTCCTTTATCTTTAACCAATATCGGATAACTAAAGCCGTTTTCTTCGAGGTATTCTTTCGTTAACTCATAACCCTTTGAGAGTTTTACAACAACATCCTGTGAGCTTTAAGGAAAATAATTTTGTAAATTGAATAGAATAATAGCAGAAATTAATATATTCTCACTCGTGAAATGTACGGTTCTTCAACTCTTTAATGAAGGTTGCTGTTCCAGTTTTAATTTTCGTCCCTAAGGCTATACCTTGAGCGTTGTGTTTGTTCTCAATATGTGGACGACTCTTTACTGCGAGATAAAGATTATTTATTTATTTATTGTCAAGTATTCAATCCTTAAACCTATTAAAAACAAAAGATACGTACAAACAAGAGGACCATATATTTTTTCACAATTTGGACAATGGTATCTTTCAATATCCTGCTCTTGCCCTTCTTTAATCCCGACGCAACTATTACATTAAAACGAAAGAGTTAATTCTATACATTTATGCATAATGTAATTAGAAAAAGTAAACAAGAAGCACACCTTCCATGAAACCATTCCTGGCAAACATCACAACCAATCATAAAATCATTGGAATTGTATGGTTTCCGACATAAGCAGTATAGTTTATCAGGATCTTCATTAGACATATTTAATAAATGGGGAAAGTATGCGGCCTGTCACCAAAAAAGGAAATATGTCGGAATTTATAGACGAGTCAGAGTCTGCTCAGTCTCAGGCTGAATAAGAATAATAATTAAAAAACCATATTTATGAAATAATTATAAAACAAGCTATACAAACTTTTATCCAATACGTTTGAAAATTTGTTTAAAAGCATATAAGCTGTCTTATTTTCTTTATTTCCTAGTTGCAAACTGTAAGAATATAATAATAAAAATACATATATTCTAATATTGAGAAACGCATAATATAGTAATAACAGGACAAAAGTAATACAATACTATATTATTGTTCTTATTATTATTATTCGTCAAGCAGATTTGTTCTCTTTTATTTTATACAATATTTTTCTTAGAATATAGTTGTAAAATTCATGAAAACGCAACTGTTTTGAGATATATCTATATCAGTTGTTAAAACAATCAAAGTGCTGAGCTGTGCTTATAAAGGTCAAAATAGGAGAAAACTTTTGCTACTTTCGTTTAATCTCTAAACGTCGAAGACACTCTACACATTTCAATTATGTTATCATATAAAGAATTATTATTTAAAATATCGTTTTTCACTTAGGTTTGTATTAGTTATAAGCTACAATAGTATACGACTGAGCTAAAATAGTAAGTAAGCTGTTACGATAAAAATATGCTCTGCACATTAAAAAAAACGGTTAGACCAGCTACTTATTTATTCCAAAAATAAGGTCAATTGAACTTTCTACTGTTTTAAATCTTAAAATGACTTTATTTTCAAACAATTTATCGTAATAAATTTTTTGTTACTTTGTTTGTATCCGCGGCTTCGTTAGTTTTTACTAAAGACAAAGCTAAATTGATAGAATGGGAAAATTTATGTTGTTTCTTAAAACAGAATATACATGGCTCTTTTCTACGCTATGTACAGTTAATGATTATAAAATATTTTACTTGTAACACGAGAAGAAAGAGGTTATTTGGAGAGATTTAATTTCTTCAAAATGGCGGTGCTTCAATTTGATTTTCGTATAAAAATTTTAATTTTTTAATCTAATAATGTTGAATTCTTCTGTTTAAAATAGCAAAAAAAATTTACACGTGACAAGTTAAGAAAGTCAGTTAGTTTGTTTGGAACGAAGCATATGTTGACCTTGACCTTCTTTTGCTTTAACAGTCATTTTCTTAAATAATTGATTTGATTGAATAAAATAACAAATGATTAACTCAAACTATTTTAATTCATACTGAACAATATATTTAATCAAAGAGTCTCTGAGTAAAGTTTATACAAGTCATCGTTCTCAAAGAATACTTAGGCTTAAATTTATAGTTTATAAACAAGTTGTCAGCTGAGTGTAGTACTGCATAATACTATTACATTTACTATTACAAACTACTACATTGTATGAAGAAATGGTTAACAAAGCAATTTTTATTGTCGAAAATACAATATTTATTAGAAGTATTATCTGACATATGCTAAAGCTTCATAAACACATATTTTACAATTTTTTCTTTTTTAAGCCCATCTTCAGACCATTTTCAATAAGCAATATAATTTCTTCATCAATAGAATCCGCTAATTTTGCTCTTGTAAAATACTGAAGTCCGTAATTCACAATTTTATCAGTTGCCCTTGAAAATATGTTCAAAATTTTCCTATGTTCTAAAGAGCATATTTTCTTCAAAAGATCAATTAGAATCTTTTCTAATCTTGGATTTAATTGTGTAAAGTTAAGTTCTTTCAAAATATTCAACCTCAAAACATCATTTAACAAAAGTTCATTAAGTAAGAATGCCAATCTTTTATAAGTATCATCCTTATCGTGCTCTTGACAAATTTTTTCTCTTACAGCAGCTGACAGAATGATATTATATTTTCGATCAAAGTTCGATAGCGATTTCAGAACACTTAAGACAAACCAATCATTTTTTTTACTTCTTAATAAAACGTCAAGTGGTACGTTGATAAGTTCTCTTTTATGAGCGGCTGTATTCGCTAAACTTAACATTTGTCTCACAGCATCTTCAGCATCCGATGCGCTAAACATTGAACAGAATATCTGTTTGCGAATGTCAGTATTCATCCTCAATTTCACAGCCAGCTTCATAACTTTATTACTGTTTAATCAACAAAAACATCAATAGTTAATTATTTACTTTAATTTATCTCGCTTTCCTCGTCTTACCTAAATTTAGATTTTGTTATTTTTTCTTTTTCTACATCTTTAGTGGATTTATCACCTGTCCAAGCAGCGCCTACAAGCCACCATTTACCTCGTTTATCAGCTTCAGTGATATCTTCGAGACGAACATTTAGCGGATTAGCTTGTAATAAATTTCTTTGTTTAAGAATATTCTTATAGGCTTTAAGGACGTTTGGAATCAATTCTTCGTCGTAATTAGGCAATTTTCTTACATCATTGTTTCGCACAGCTAAAAGGCAATCCATCATAAATTCTGTTCTTGAATATCCTCCCTTATTTTCATCAATCAACTGAACAGATTTTTCTTTTACAAGATTAATAACATTTTTTAAGCCTATAGGATCATCTTTTCTTAATATAAAACCACATTGTGTGACAATAATTAGGATAACTTCCACGTGAAAAAGTTGATTACTTGAACAAATATGACCAAGTAAATCTAGTACAAGTGGAGATTTCAATAACTTTAAATTATATAATGCGCAAATAATTTGAGTACAATTTAGTAGCTTTTTATCTTCCTCATCGCTGTCCTTGCAAAGTTCTATCCACTTCTCGGCGACTGTCTGTAAGAACATAGCCGAAATTTCAAATCCTATTGATGAGCTGATGATAGCTAATAGTTCTATATAATCACTTATAGATTTTTGGGCTACTTGACTCTTTTGTAAACATGATGAGATTATAGAAGACGTAAGAGCCTCTGTTACAATAGCACGACTATTTTCCCTATAAACTTGTTCAATTTCTACCGATATCTTTAATTTATTTGTTTCGCCTAAGCGATTTACCAATCCTTGGATTTTTCTCTTAACTTTCATATCTTCGGAAGAACTTGTTCTAAGCGCCGGAGGTACATAAGCTTTGCTTACTTCTTGACCGGAAGAATCAAAAGTTCTTCCGTAGATATCTTCTTTCATTAAATTCTTGCTGTCATCTTTTATTTCTTTTTCTTTTGAACTCAAGTTTATATTTTTTTTCTTTTTTTGAAAATCGTTTACGTTATCCACATCGTCCTCGTCCTCCTGCTTCTCCTCCTCCTCGTCAAGAATATCTTCACTCTCCGATTCTTGATCACTCTCTTCAAATTCTTCTCCCTCTTCATCGCCACCATCTTCACTGTCGCCTTCAAATTCTTCTTCCATTATTTCATCGCTAAGAGCGTTAATGCCATAAATTTATAATACATATGAAAAGAGATAACAACCTTTCATCAAGTTCTTCTTGATCGGAATTGTCCAGGTTTTTAGAATTAGAGTCTTCATTCGTAAAAGCATCGTCTCTGTTTAAATTAGAATTAAAAATCTAATATCTTGCGTTACGAAAAACTAAAAATATTACCCATCTTTTCCACTTCCTTCTAATACATCTAGTAAATAATCGAGTCCTTCGGCGGCAAAAGACTGTGGAATCTTTTTCTTTCCTTTCTTCTTTGTCATATGCAATTTCTTTTCAAGTTCTCTAATAATTTTATCATCAGCTTTATTAGCCATTTGAATTTCCCTCTCACGAAGCATTTCTTCGTGTTCTTCCTGCTCTTTTTCTTCTTGAGCTAATCTTTTCTCTTCTGCCTTTTTTTCTCTTTCGATTTTACGTTCCAGCTTCTTTTTCTTTTGTCTTAACTTTTTTCTAACTTCTTTTTCTCTTTTAATTTCTAGTCCTTTCTTCGTCGGAAGTCTATCTCCTCTTCGATGAGCATTTTTTCTCATTTTCTTCAAATTTCTGTCTTCTTTACGTCGTTTTTTTCTCAGCGATTCTCTTACAATAAAGGTTTCAGTCTTTGATGAAGATTCACCTGCTAAACTTTCAACAACTTTCCTCAACCGCTTTAAATTTGGTTGCTCGGCTTGAAAACTAGCTTTTCGTTTTTTTCCAATCATAACTTAGATAGTTATACCTTAATATAAAAAGATATATTTTTTAAGTACCATGTGCAAGTAGTATCTAGCAGACGACATTGTCGACTATTTTATCTGCTTTCATAGTTATTTTCGTAAAACTAGCTTAGGAAAGATTTGTACGCATTTGTTCTAGAAATTAATTGCCTACATGTTAATTCCCTTCAATAGATTTACTTTTCTAGTTTTACAATAAACTTTTACTTTAGTAGAGGAGCCTCTGGCCTTGACCTTAAATAATCTCTATTATCATGGGTCATATGTATTCAGCTTATGTAAAATCGCCTGATACTGCCCCGGATTATAACAAGCCACCAACATTCGAGGCTAATTATGGATTTGAAAATGGCAGAGAAGTAAGAAGTAAGTAAACATCAAACGCTCGATTTTCGTTGCTAACCTTAAAAATACGCTAATTTCGCTCAACTCTTCTCTGATCTTTTCAGAAAATTATGCGACAAAAGAAGAATTGCAAGCTGCAAACATAAAACCACACTTTCGTGATTATTGCGCACATCTTTTACTACCCTTCTATAAATGTAGGAATGATAACTGGCCTTGGGTAGTAAATTGCAAACCGGAGTTACATGCTTGGGAGCATTGTCAATATGAAGAGTAAGCAAACTTTACAATAATTCCAATAAATAATTTGAATTAATTGATGGAAATATTATAAACTTTTAAACAAAATTATGTAGAATACTACAAAGTAAATAATTAAGAGTTTATTTTCATTTTTTCCAAGCTTTTCGTCTTGCCTTTAAGAGTGGAAAGAATTTTAAAAACCGGCAACTAAAACTTGTATGTATCTATCCTTACAGTTTCGTATTACGAATGAAGGAGTATGAGAGAGAAAGAAGGTTATTAGAAAGAGCTAAAAGAAAGAGGGCAAGAGAAGGTCGATCCGCAGAAGAAAATATTGAATAACTGATTGAAGTTTATGTTTTGCCCTTCATTGTAAAATTAATAACTTCAAATACATAAATATTAAAAATTGTTTTTGAAATAGCTTAAACATCATTGTATTATACTAATGCATCTATTTGAACAGAATTCAACCGGATCCTATAAATATTTTTTTGTAGTCTCTCGTCTAGTCTCTTGTACTATTTTGCTTCTAATAGCTTATCTTTCTTTATCATTGATTTTTCAAATATTATTCGAAATGCTGTTCCTTGATGCCAGTGGGAAGTAACCTTTGCTGGCTGAATAGTGAAGAAAATGAAGAAAAAGAGCATTTAAAAGGTAGTACATATTTAAAATTTTGTTCAAACTTACAAAATTGCAACAATTCAACACTTCTTCAATTATTCCTGAGATAAAAGCCGCACAATTGACATTGTATGTTTCTTTAGCTACAAAATTATAAGATTGTCAATAAGTCTTGTTGTTCACATTTAGAAGCAATTTGCAATAATATTTAGATCTCTTACCATGATCCGTATTTAATGAAACAAATTTGTTGACTAAAGGCTCCTTTTCTGTTACGTAATCTAGAGATGAAGCAAGAATGATACTATATAATTCTTAAACAAGTATATTTAACTAATTTTTACATATATTATCCTCTTCATTATCCTTTTCTAGACCATCAGCTTCCTTACCAAAAAGACTCTAACATTTATAAAATGTATTAATTAATTAATACATTTCTTCCTATATATGACAGTTTTATACCTTCCATAGGTTCGATTTGATAAATAATAATACGTTTAGGAGCTTCGTTTCTCTTTTATAACTTCTTTCCCTAAGAAACAGAACGTCAACAAGACGACTGCCGACGTGTTTACCAAAATCGGCTAGTCTTTAAAAATAATTTAAAATTGATTAGAACTGTATTAAATATATCTATTTCTTACTTATCGTGGAGTTCATTATTCGTTTGTTGCTTCACTCGGGTTCTTGCATAATGAACTAATTCAGAGAAAAGGAAAGCGAAAGTGCTAATATTAACCTATTAAAAAAAGCAATTTATTGTTAATCTTATTCAATATAGATTACCCCCTAGAGGGAATGTTCCCTGCTTACTTCACTTTTTCCTTTTGATAGTGGTCTATCAAGAATATTTGCAGTTTTACGCTGGCTGCTCATTGGGGCTTGCGAATTTCTTCTTATTTAAATGAGTCTGTAAGATATAATGTTAAATTGTTGATGAAATTTCTCTTGCTTTATATGATAGGTTGATTTCTGTACATCAAAATAAAGAAAGGAACAAAAATTACATTGAAAATCGACTCCCTTAATTTTTATGTTGTCTGCTAATATTTTTGGTCTTCGTATTAAATATTCTCAAATTATAATGATTGGCGATTATCTTTTTAATTTATATTTTATCTCTATGTGTTTTTGTATGTGACTCTGAACTAAATTACGAAAACTTAAATTCACTTCAAAATGGCGGCTGTCGATCCGAGTGGAAAGGTTAGATAAAAGTTAAATACTCGTGTAGTTCTGTATAATTATTCATAAACATTTGATCAAACACTTTTAAAAACAAGGAATGATTGTTTCTCATTGAAACAATTATTTAATTTAATGGTATATTATAAGCAAGTAAAAAAAAAGTTAACTAGTTGAATTTAAATCGTCTGCTAGCACCTATTCTTTCGTTACTTTCTTGTAATCTACCTCTTTTATGACCCCACTGCAACTCACTTTAAGAAACGTTTTAAAAAGACCGTAAAATTCTAAAAAATATTGTTTAATAATTTTTTTCTCTGAGATATTCTATCATGTTTAAAGTTTATAACTACCCTAAGGGTTTAAATGAAAAAAAGTCGAATAAAAAAAATATTTTCTCTTTAAAGTTAATGATAAACTTCTCGGAAATAATTAAAAGATATTATTTTTCAATTAGAGTAGATGCTTATTTTTAATAAACAACATTCACAAGCGATCTTTTTTAAAAACATAAACATACTCTACAGTCGGTAAATGTCTTGTTTTTGTTGATTTTCCAGCCTTTTCCTCCTCTTATCAATGACCTTATCCTGAGAGCGGCGAGAGGTGAAAAAACGGAACATGTTCCCGTATGGGTAATGAGACAAGCGGGAAGATATTTGCCTGGTTAATTAATAACTATATAATATAGAAATTTGTTTTATAAAAACAATTAATTTACGTTCTTTTTTTTCAATTAGAATTTCGAGAAGTCAGGGCAGAAAATGAATTCTTTAAAGTTTGCAGAACTCCTGAGTTGGCCTGTGAAGTGACTCTACAGCCACTGAGACGTTTCGATCTGGATGCAGCCATTATTTTTTCTGATATCTTGATTATACCTCAAGCAGTTGGTATGGAAGTTCAAATGGTACCTGGAAAGGGTCCAACCTTTCCACAGGTCTTAAAGGAGCCCAGTGATTTGCAACATTTAAATTTAAACTGTAATGTTAAAGAGGAACTTCAATATATGTTGGACGCTTTAACCTTTACAAGACATACCCTGAATGGAAAAGTTCCCCTAATAGGTTTTTGCGGCGGTCCTGTAAGTCTTTTTATACAAGTAAAAGTAAAATTAAATTCTACTAAGTTTATTTCTTCTCTAAAAGTGGACGCTGATGGCATATATGATAGAAGGAGGTGGATCTTCAACCCAATCGAAAGCTAAAGCATGGCTATACAAATATCCTGAGGATAGTCATATTTTATTGAAGAGTCTGACGAAACTTTTAATAGAATTTTTAATAGATCAGGTTGTCGCTGGCGCTCAAGTAAGAATTCACCTGTAGGGTCTATTACCTCCCTAGATACTAATATCATTCTGTCCATTTCAGATGTTGCAAGTTTTTGAATCACACGCTGGAATTTTAACACCAGAATGCTTCAAGACTTTCCTCTTACCTTATATTAAAGAAATAGCTGAAGGTGTTAAAAGTGGTTTGAAAAGATTAAATATCGATGTGCCAATGGTAATATTTTATTTATAATATATAATTAAAATAAATAATTATGAGAAGAACAACAAAATTCAACGTTGAAACTTGCAGACGATATTTGCTAAAGATGCTCATTACGGCATCGAAGAATTAGCCACAACTGGATTTGATATCATCAGTTTAGATTGGACAATTAAACCAATGAGAGCAAGGTTTGTTAGTATATAAAAAAAACCATCTTTTTTCTGGTTACTCTCTTTGTCTATGTAGACATGAAGCTGGACAGAAGGTCACCTTACAAGGAAATCTAGATCCCTGTGCACTTTATGGGTCTGAGGTAACTATGCATTACTTCTTTTGACATTCTGTTCCATTCAACTGTATGTTTCTCTCAAACCAGAATGATATTCAAGACAATGTAAAAAAGATGTTGAAGAATTTTGGAACTCAAAAGTATATTGCGAATCTTGGACACGGAATGTATCCTGATATGTGTCCTGAAAGTGTTCAAACTTTTGTCAATGCTGTTCATAATTATTCCAAGTTAATGAATGAGTCTTCTTAGGCAAATAGAACTTATAAAATAAAAATCAGCGCAAGACGTGATTGAAACGAGGTTTTTGATGAGATTTTTATTTTAGCAAACATGTCAAATTTTTTTTTTTAATATATAGATTAGCAGAACATTTATGATAAATAATGCAAACTACACAACATGACGGTATCTTTCAAATAAGACTTGAATTTCTTCACAAAGTCGAAAGCAATAATTAAATATTGCGTATTAAACAATATTTCACAAAAGTACAAAAGCACAACACCACATTAAACAAATCACAATTTAAACAATCTACAGAACACTACATCCACTCTTCTCTTGGTATGGATTATCTTTCTTATTCGCAAAGCCGATAACAAGGAAATCCTTATTATTATTCTCCTCCATAAAATGAATCATATCCTTAACGCATTGTGAGACAGCTTTTCTCTCCATAGAGCATTCTAGTCTTAATTGCTCAACCATCTTCTTTTGTTGTTGTACATTCGACATGACTGAAAATGAAAAATCGACATTGTTCCAAGAATCAAAACAATAAGGCTCATCAAGTTTTCATTACATTGTACATTTAAAAAGATTTCAGCAAATTCAGAACCATCATGCGCTACTTTACAACAGAATAAACAAATAGCTTTAGTCATGGAGGAATTATTATATCATTATCGGTAAAAAAAAAATGTTCTGTTAAATAATTCGAAAAAATTCAAGATTTCTCAGTGAATTCTTAATAATTCATCCATTGTGATTTTTTTCATGTTATGATTTGTTTTTTTTCGTTTTTATAAAGATATATCTCGTTTAGAAAAAAAAGGTATTATAATACCATGAAGATAATCATTTAACCTTAAAAAAATAAGCAATCATACATCATGCACTGGTGCTAACAAAAATTTACAAACAACACTTTAAAAAAGCACAATAAACTACAAGATAACGCAGGAATTCTTCTCTTGGAAAGGATTTTGCTTCTTATCGATTCCAACTAGAAAGGGATCACTAGATCCTTTTGAATTAACGTAGGCCACAAATTCTTTTAACGACTTTGAAAGCTGCATTCTTGGCATTTGGCTTTCCACTCGCAATTGCTCGAGAAGTTTTTGCTGCTGAGTGGTGCTGGACATGCTAACAAAAGAGGATAACTCAAAACACACAACTAACATTCATTTCTATTGAGAAAGAAACTGATTTAATCTAAATTAGAAACAATGAGATTAATGAAGCAATAAAGTTCTTGTATACGAAAGTAAATATGTTTTATTTGAACTTATCTGATAAAAAAAGCTTTTTATATAATAAATTAATTTTATTCCAGGCAATCTATGATATTATACATTCATCAACAGAAATAAGCATATTTCTAATGTTATATATTATCGTTACCATCCCAAACAAAGTAATAATTGAATAAGAGTATATGATGGTGTAAGTAACAAAAGATTTGATAGATTGAATATACATATGTTCTTAATCTCATTTTTATGATTCTCTATTTTCTATAGATTGGATCAATATTGAAATGATTTCTTTTTTAAGCGTAATATAAAATACTTTTTATAATAAAAAAAATCTATAACAATTCCTTTAGTTTTCAGGAAGTAATATATCTGATATATAAAAGAAAGACGGCTAATCATTTTTCATCAATACTGATTCAACTTACATGATAAAAGTCTATAACATGCGTTTTAATAGAATATACTTTAAAATCTTTAAAAGAATGAATTACCTGCTAGGTGCTATGACTGTGTTAGGCAACAGTTTGGCTGCTTAAAATTCAAAGACTGGCCACCTGAAACATTTAAATGTTTTATTTATACAATTCAACGTAACTTAGAGAATTGTATGCTCAAGAGAGATAGAGACAGAAAGAGAGTGAGAAATATATAAGGAGGAGGGTGGGGAGAGGCAAGGAGAAAAGAAATAACAGCACTCACCATCAGACAAAATATTAAACTAGTAGGTGTTAAGGATATTTCATTTATTGCCCTTAATCTAAACAAAAAAATTAAGCTGTTGGTTATGATAGAAAAGAGGGTTTCAAGTGCAAGATGGTTATAGAAAAAGAAAGGTTTTAGTTGTACTAATAAAAATTCTTAAAATAGTCAAAAATATTTAAACTATATTAGGAGAAAAAAAGAATAAAAAGCTCATTCAAATCTTTTGATAAGAGAAAACTGAGCTTTTTTCTTTCGAAACTATATTAAAAAAAACGTTGGTTTAGAGTTAAAACTGATATCGAATTTCGTTCAGTTGATAAGCGCATGAATAGCGACAATTTGTTAAAGGTAAATTAATTTATAACCAATTAAAAAATTGTATTCTTTAAAGAAGAATGTTATTCAAAATCAATTAAAGAAAATTTATAAATTATTGATATAAGAAACAGAATTCGGTACCTCGAAGATGACAATATATCTAAAATAGAAGCAACAAGTACAACAGTGATTAACTACACGTCCCTTTAGTCCCTTTACATAAAAAATTATATAATTTACTTACAATTAGCTGATAACCGGAATGATTATTGCAGAAACGCTTGATCAACGCTGCGCAAGCACTATGTATATCTCAAAATGGCTCCTAAGAGATGATGTTCGAATAATTTTTTTTATAAATTTAAACAAATACTAACATTTCATGAATTTTATTTTAATTAATTTACTAGATTTTTGTCAAAGATAATTTATTTAAGTAAATATTTTAACCATTACAAATTTTCAGTGCGGTCCTGTTTTGTTTACAAATGGCTGATATTAAAAGCAATTTACAAAGTTTTTAGCGAAATACGACACAAATGCCTCCAAAAAAGACAATTCCTGTAAAAAGCACAAAGGCCTCAGGAGCAGTTAGTTCTTCTAAGGCAACTCAAAAGAAGCCTCTAGGTACTCATTAAACAAATATAAATTTGCACATTTCTATACTACTTAACATTCACCTTAGCAACCTCAAAAAAAGTACAAGTTTCAAAATCAGTACAAAAAACTCCCGCTAAAAATGCAACTGTATCTAAAGAACCTCCAAAATCAGTTAAAAAATGGACCAAAGAAGATGACGCCGCAAGTAAAATACAGAGAGAAATAAGACACTTTCTTGCCAAAAAGTCTTTGCAGAAAAAAAAACAAGAGAAATTAGAATATGAAGAATTAATGGATAAGTTAGAGAAAGAAGCTTTTGCCAAACTAGTAAAAATGGAACAGGAGAAATATGAAAAGCAAAGAAAAAAAGAGGAAGAGGAAAGAAACCGAAAAAAAGAAGAGAATATTAGAAAAAAGAAAATGTTAGAAGCTTCTTTCGACGGTGATAATGCCGTCATTGAAAATTTACTTAAAGAAGTTTCAGCTATGGACGATAAATTAAATATAGGTCATGATACTGTTGGAAAGGCGCTAAGAAATAAGCATCAAATGAATTTGATTGACTGTGAAGACGCCCATGGTAATACTCCACTATCGGAAGCAGCAAGTAATTGATTACCCTTCAAGAGTAAAGTGTATGAAAAATATTTTGATTAATTAATAACTTTAGGTGGAGGTGCCAAAGACACAGTTCGTTTACTACTTTTAAAAGGTGCCGATCCAAATTCAAGAGGTCAATTCGAAAGAACGCCTTTGTACAGGGCGGCTTTTGCGGGACATTGCGAAGTTGTCGAGGTTCTTTAAATTTTTAAGAACTTTAACTTTGTTATGAAAAATATCATTTATTCTTCAAGGAACTATTAGAAAGAGGAGCAGATCCTAGAATCTATGCAAATGACGGACAAACTCCATTACACGTAATAAGCAATAACAATTTAACATGTTAAACGTTAACCACAGTACACACAAAATATCATTCGCAATTAATAACTTGCAGATAGCATCGAAGGATCCTATTATCAGTTTATTAGAGAATTGGGATATTAACAGAACGGAAAAACTTTTAAACAGATTGGAAGAAGAGAAAAACAAAAGATTGGAAGAAGATAGGAAGAGGAAAGAAATTGAAACAAACAAGTATTTTAAAATTACTTATGTTTATTTTTATAATCCAAGAAATTATCAAAATTTCTTCTCAATTTAAAGATTGGAAGATATAGTTTCGAACAAAGATAAAGAGTATAAAGTACTACAAAAACAAGTTTGTATTGATTTAAAAGAGCGTGCCATATTATGCAAATATATATCTCTATATAGGTGTGTAAACTATCCTGCGAATTAGAAAAAAGGATTTATGAACACGATAAGGCAGTTGCTAATGGATTTGACAAACTTTCAATTACTATTTCGGCAATAAAAGACGCGGAAGCAGAACTCGAAATGGCTAAAGTACAATTGGAAAATTCTAGAGAAAAATTAGCTGAAGCAAAATTGGCATTAAGAGAAAAACAAAAGGAAGTTATTGGTGATGAAAACGAAGAAGAATTACCTGGATTGAAGGTAAATATAAGAGAGTTGGATGACGTTTTACTTAGAGATGTTGGAAATCGTATCAAGGAGTCGGGAAAGTAAGTGGAAATATAAATAAAATGACAGATAGTTTAATTATTATTGTTGTTTTTGCTAAAGATGGCCATTAATTATTGATATAAGTGGACAAGCTTCAACATTTCTGAGATATCGAGATACAAATTACTTGAATGCTTTAAATCTAAGCGAAATGGAACCAGAGAAAATTCGTTTGTGCATCTTAGGTGCTTTAAGGTATTTGTGTTCCTTTTAAGCCCGAAGTAATTAACTTACACACACACACACATACTATTAACTACAATTGATAAATATTTAGATATGGTAAACCGGCTGTCTTAGATATGATGGAAGTTGATATGTTTGATACAGTTTCCGATAGATTTGATGAAATTGAAAAAGGTTTAATGAATTCAATTATGGATTGGAGTATTTTTGAAGAGGAAAAGTAAGTTAAAGTATTGTTCAAAGGGGTAAAATATGCTTATAATGAGTTTCTTTATTTAAAAAAAAGATACACGAAACTGATTAGAAAGAAGGATAGCGATGAATATCAAAAAAATCGTTTTATAGATATAAGAACAAAGAATTTCAAATTCTTCATCATTACAAAGAATCCTTACCCTCCTCAGGAACTTTTGGATAAGACTTATGTCATAAGAATACATATTCCTACGGACTGATGACCTTTAACGATATCTATTGTCTTTAATACACGAACTTTAAACTTTGAATTACCTTAGTTGAACTTGACCAATGGGTCATATATCGTTTCTTATGTAACGACCACAGACGTTGTATAACAAGTAAATGTTATATAATACAGGTCAACTAATGGTGACAAGGTTACCCTCTATTGCATCTCGTAACGACAATTCACGGAGACACCCCTCTGGTGTCCCCCATTAGCTATCATTATAAACTTACCCAATCTGGTTCATGTAAAGTTCCTATGCGAAAGAAAGAGGAGGAAAGTGAGGAATTGACCTACCTTTTACCCTTAATCTAACCTTTTTCATCGGATAGCACAAAGGTAACAAACTCATTTGACCTCGTCATGAATTAATTCATTCAAAACGAAGGAGAAACTATTAATAGCCGGAAGAGAGAGTAAATTAACCTAACTAACGTTAAGTTGTTTTAATATTACTAATTTAATAACGTTATGACAACAGTTTTTGCTTTCTAGAAAGGTGAAATTTTAATTTTATCAGTAAAAGATTATATACAGAAATGCTATCGTTATCGAAGAGCTGTATATTAAGAGATTAGATAATCAAAAATGTACCAATATATACTATATATATTATATTATATTTAGTTGAATATAGTAATAGTTAACAAGTTTTAAGCTCTCTCTTATACAATTTGTATTCTTAAAAAGTTTATATTGTCTAAAAAAGAAACATTTAAAAGAACTAGACTGTTAAATTAGCTTTTTCTTTTTAATGAAAAGTGAAAATTATTAGCAGAATGCAGAATAAAAAAAAACAAATATCTTTATTTTCCATTTTTATTTGTTTCTTTTTAACGGAAAGTTAACAAAGAATAATACGTTACGTATTTATCAAAATGTAACGAGAAGTAAGATTTTATAGAATATACGAATATTTTTTAGTAGTATCTTTTCTCTGCTTGCTAAGATCTTTTGAAAAAAGTATTTTAGTAATTATATATAATATAATAATTATATATAAATATTAATATTCCGTGTTAGTAGGTAGACCAAAAAAAATATAACTATAATTTTTTAATTTTCAAAGTCTTTAACGATCATAAATCAGGCGAATGTTTTCTTTTTTTTTTGTGGTTTTCGTTAGGTAACGAACTGTTTTTTTAGACGTGTTAACAATAATTTTTTTTCTTCTATTACATAATAAAAAGTTAATAGATTCGTAACGAAGCACTCTATCACAATTTTGTTTTTACTCTGGGATGGGAAAGTAAGTTTTAGGATAAAATATGTTTGTTTGTTTCTCTCTCTCTCTCTCTCGCTCTCTCTCTTTTCCTAGAACATCACAGCTTAAAGAAAAGCAATTATGTGATAAAAAAAATAGTAGTCAAAGCACGAAAAGTCGTACAAATAAAAAAAAAAAAAGAAAAATATGCATAGAGAAAGAAAAGAATAATAAAAAAGATTATAATTTTTTATGAAAATACATCTTTATAGCTTGGTTCGTTGGCAATTTCAAACTCATCAAAGAAATGATATATATGTTCAAATGTTGGCCTTCTTTCTGGGTCACGATCCCAGCAATTTAACATTAGACCGTATACCGAATCAGGACAATGAAAAAGTCCCGAAGAACTTGAAGGCTTCTCCATTCTATAACTTCCTGAAACTTTATTCAAAACCTCTTGTCCCGATAGCGATGGATAAGGGACTCTTCCAAATGTCATTATTTCGTATAGTAAAACTCCGAAAGACCAAACATCAGATTTCGTAGAAAATTCTCTCTTAAAAGCTGCTTCTGGCGCTGTCCATTTAATAGGGAATTTCATAGCTATAAAACAAGTAAAAAAATATTCAATTGACGATAAAATAAGAGAAAAATAACTGGATTTTACGTTCGTCTGCTCCGTCGTTTGTATCGTCCACCTTAATTTCTTTAGCTAAACCGAAATCAGCAACTTTAACTTCATTATTTTCTCCTACTAGAATGTTGGCCGCTCGTAAATCTCGATGAATGAAATTTTCCTTCTCCAGATATTTCATTCCTTCAGCAACCTGAAAAATGATTTGATTAATTGTTTTTAGTATAAGTTATAACAATATTTTACTAATAATGAAAAAATAATGTAAAATATAATCAAAACTCATAAATGATTAACTATTTAAGTTTTTAAGCAAATAATACTTAGTTGGGGTTTATTAAATGGCAATTAAGTAGATCGTAAGTATATAGACCTAAATAATATAATAAATTATAGTAAGTGCTATGCTTTTATACGATTCTAGGGCCTGTTAAATGTATTTAGTTTTTTTAATATGGTTGAATATCGGGAATTATAATAAAATTTAAACAGGAATGTTTAAACAAACTGAATATAACCAACGTACTGCTATCTCAATAGTTAGTATAGGACTAAAAACAATTTTTAGTTATTTCATAAGTTGTCCTTTTTTTTAGCCTTTTCGCACAGAAAAATAAGAGATAAGAAAGTGAAAACATTAAAGACATATAAATATATTTATATATAGATATAAATGTACTGTGTGAAATAGGCGATGTTCTAGCTGCCTATCCAAAAGTCTAAAAGCTTTTGAAAAAACGCATAATTATCTGGTTATAAAAAATATTAAAATCAATATTATTAGCCAAAGATACTAACCTGTGCACATATATCAATAAGATCGGCGAAGGGAAATCTTTCTAAGCTCTTCTTTTCTCTTAGATAGTCTAATAAAGATCCGTTAACCATTAATTCTGTAATTATTAACATTGGCTCGCAATCTGTACATACACCCATTAATTGAACCAGCTTAGGATGCCTAAATTTATGCATTCTCTTGGCTTCTGCTAGGAACGCTCCAGGAGGCATCGTTCCTGGTTTTAAAGATTTAATTGCTACATCTACTGAATTTTGAAATTTTCCTGCCGAAACTTCACCAAAATTACCTAAAAAAGAAATGACAAAACCCTTGTATTATTTTCATAGTCAGCCAATATATATTTCGATTTCTTACCATGTCCAAGTCTTCGTATCCTTTTCACCTGGGATCTTCTGACCTAATTGAATAATTCAACATTTTTAATTAGAAATTAAAAAAAGTAATGAAAAATCAGAAAAACTACCTCTAATTGTTTAAATGGAACAGTGGCTGGCACCTTTGGACAAGGTTTTTCTAACCTACAACACAAACCATCGGCTGATGCCATATAATGTCTAACTAAGTCCATCATACTTTTGAATGGTCTTCTGGCAGCAATAAATACACCTCCTTCGTCCATTTTTCTTATTTTATAGTGCTTTATACAATGTTCATTTGTCTCCTTATTCAAATCTTTCACAGTAAGTGCATAAGCTTTATTATCGGCAGATTTTCTAATCAGAAACGTTCCAACTTCGTTTCCAACCCATAACAGTTTACGTTCAGCATCTCTTCTCTCTATACCGAAATACCATTCTTGACTTTCAATCTTATTTTCATCATCATCGGTAACGTAATTCGAAGGTATGAAACCAATAGAATTTGAGTTAATTCTTTTGGCCCTCCACCAATCAGCATTATCGCTAGAAAAAGGTTATATATAATGAAAAAAAGATCCAAAAATACATGATGGTCTTATAATAGATATGTTAAAACATCTTTGACTAAAAAAAACTGCATTATCTTATATTTCATTTTATCTATGAAACTTACAATAGATAATATTTTTAACTACTTTAATATACACATTTATATATATATTGCTTATAAAGGAATATTACCTGTCCATATCTAATACATCTAAAATTTCGCCTTTAACAAAGCTTAAGTCGTCTGGGGTTCGCCCTTTATAATCATACATTGCTCTAACTCTTTTAATAACGGCCTGTGCTCTAATCTGCGGACGAGTATCCATAGGTAGTAAGGTAACATCACTTGTTTTAACAGGAGCACTAGCTTGAACATGTCCATTCCCTAAAGACCTGGGAGTTGGGTTACAACAATTACCCATGTCACGCTGTGAATTGTAAACAAAAACTCGATTATTAAACTTTTTCAAGACAATTATGAAAATCAATAAGAAAAATACTAACAAATCGGTATGTAGTTGATGATTAAAGGTCTGGAAGAACCTGATCAATGATTAAGCCTTGAAATATTTGGCTTCGTATTGTTGTCCTCCCCTGTTAGATGACTTTGTTCGGTATATCTTATTTTCCTACATCCAATTCGAGTATCTATGTTTAAAGAACTTTATAAGGAAACACCTTGACTATGTGATATGACTTGTATTCAATCAAAAAAGAAATTACTGCTTAAGTATTTGAAAAATCGATACTAGACAACATAGTGAACTCATTGACATTCTATTGTTATTGAAGTAGATGCTATAAAAATTTCCTACCATATTTTAAAACTTTCTGACACGATACAAGCTTAGTTAGAGTATATTAAAGAGCATTTAAGAGGATGGTCAATCCAAAGAACTCTGGTAAACACCCAGTTTACATCGTGCATTTTTACATTAAACTGCTATTAGATAATGCATATAATAATGATGATAACATACTTTATTTGATTATTAGTAATATCCAAGATATTCTTCGTTTTCACGCCTTCCTATCCCATATGAAAAAACACCTTTAAAACTTTTTTATTAACCAGGAAGGTCTGCTACAATATGTGTATTCGAATAGGCACTGTTTAAGGTAAAAAAAAAAAGACCGATATTAAATGTGACAAAAATGTTCTCTGTAGCGCCCCCTGCTTCCGTGTGGAAGCCGCCGGTAAGTTTTTTCAAAGAATTATCTTGTAATTTATGCCTTTATAGACCTGAAATATTATTCTATTTAAAGCAAAAAATTTATTAACAGTTTCATATGCCTGCATTAAACTTTATAAAAGCACTATCTAGCGTTTAATATGAAAATTTCGACTTTTATAAAGTGGACAGCGGCCATGTTTTATTTTTTCACTGTTGAAGAAAATAAATTGTCATATATCAAACAACATTCAATTAAACTAGGTAGAGTTAACACCTAGATACTAACTAGGATGTATTCCTTAAATTGCCGAAATTTTATAACCAATTAAGTAAAAAATATTTTTGAACAAAATTGAATTTTTCGTTTATTAAGTATTTCATATTGAACTTTAACTGATTAAATGTAGATTTCTGTTTAATAATAATAGCTTTCTAAGTACTAAATATATTAACATCGTTTAAAGTTTACCTTATATTTCCACTTTATTAGTATTTATATTTTTATTTGACTTTATAACACGATTATATTTGTACAGAAATGGAATGATTGGTGCTGCCGCTCTGCTCGAGCTTAACTAGTTGTGTTGGTAAGCTATCGTAACTTAAATTAATCTAAAATTTAAGCCTACGTTCATTGCACTCTGAAGTTGTTTTTTTATTATTAGGGGAACGGCTTTATCGGCCGTTGAAGCAAGGTTTGAAATAAAGATCTAGTTCACCTTTGCCTGGGAATCTTTGCAAAACATGAAAACGACGTTATCCCATTATTTGTGTATAAGTACAGCTGGAAACAGATTGTCGCATGGTTAAGCCTCGCTATTGTTTCAACATTGTATTTAGGAAACTTCTCCCAATGAGATGAATCAATGACAATTTCATCAAGTACGTTATTGACTGAATAAGGCATCTTTCTTTCACGACTTATTTCAATGGCATGGGCGTTGTACGATTAATTGGTGTTTTTTGTGTAATTTTCTGCATTGAATTTTTTTTTTCGCAAGCATTAAAAATAGATATTTTTAAAATCATCAATAAACTAACTTGAACAAAGAAAATCTGCGTTATTTATATGATAAACAGAATGTTAAAAAAGTCTAATATAATTAGTCCTTTATCCCCTATTAAAGTCAAATTTTTCGTATTAATCCATTTTCCTATCGTAATCTTTGTTATCGTATTCTGAACCAATTTACGACTAACGTATTTTTTTATACAGCGGAAAATACATGTGAAAAAGAGAAATTCTTCACAAATTAATTTCTTTACTGCTCTAAAGCATTCCACCAGAACAATCGACTCGTTTTATCGAATTTAGGCGAGATAACTCTCCTGTTCACGTTATCATACTTGATAAATAACTTCTGCTAATATTCATTAATAACTTAGGACTGTTGGATAGAACAAGAAATGGAATTTGACGATGTCTTTAAATATATTGGGGAAATTGGCTTTTATCAAATTATAGCATTTCTTACTTTAGGAGCAGGAGAATTTTTTGGAGTTGAAGCATTAGTTATGAATTTTGTGGGTGATAAGCAAGACCACTGGTGTAACGTTAAAGAGCTTTCGGGATTATCATTCGAACGTCAGAAATTAATCGCTATTCCAAAAATAACGGAATCTGGTTCGAGCAAACTAGTTAATAGCAAATGTGATATGTTTCCTCTTAATTATTCACAATTTAGCTTTGATGATCTCTTACGTTGGAACGATAGCGATAGAAGAAGGGTAGAGAGCATGTTTCCCAATAAGAACAGCTATATAAGTTGCAATGATGGATGGGTTTTTGATCAGGGACTATTACTAAGCACAATAGCCAGCAAATGGAATCTCGTTTGCAAAAAGTCCTGGATGGTAAGATTAACTTCTACTATTTATATGTTTGGAAGATTTTTCGGCGCGATAAGCTGTGGTGTACTATCTGATAAAATCGGTAGAAAATATACAGTTATTATATACTTATTTTTTAAAATTGGCGGAGGTTTCTTGGCTACCTATGCTCCAAATTATCCGCTTTTTTGCATTGGTCGATATATAATAGCAATCGGAACAACGGGATCAAATTTAGCGGCTTATGTATATTGTAAGTACTATATATATGCATTATAGAGGATCATTCAACTACGTAAATTTCTTAAAATCAGTAAGTGAAATTACTGGAAAATCTTACCGAGCTGCTATCGGGGTAACATGGCAGATGCTATTTGCTTTTGGTTATGCCACCTTACCAGGAATCGCCTTCTTTCTTAGGGATCATGTCAGACTACAATTGGTAATAACAGCGCCTGCAATTATATTGTTCGGCTATTTTTTGTAAGCCATCAGACCACCTAGCTATTTCATTCTCATACTCGTCTAAATTATTTAATATCTACTATATATAATATATAATATAGTTTTATGGACGAATCTCCGCGCTGGCTAATTTCTCAGGGAAGGTTTGAAGAAGCAAAACAAATTGTAGAAAAAATTGCGACAATAAATCGTAAGCAATTACCGGAAGACCTTAATTTTTCCCATCCAGCCTCAGATGATAAAGAAAAGGTAATGGAGACCAGAAAAGGAACTGTTAAGGATATTCTTGTTTATCCTAATTTAAGGAAAAAAACACTAATATTATGCTTCATTTGGTAAGTAGGAAAATAACAATAATTTATTTTAATTGTACAATTTGTTTCCAGGTTTACGTGCAGTCTGATGTATTATGGATTATCGTTGAATATAGGAACAATAGCTGGTAGCATCTACTTAAATACATTCTTATTGGGTATAGTTGAAGTGCCAGCTCTAACTCTAGGTCCATAATAAGATGTTTTTGAAATATAATATCTTGATATAAATTCAACACTTAGGTATCTATCTCATGGGACGAGTGGGAAGAAAGCCTACGGTTGCTAGTGCTTGTCTATTTGCTGGCCTCTCTGGGTTTATTTTGATTCCATTAATCTTAACTGATGGTCAGCAATTAATTATTTCTTTGATTGATATTGCTGAAAGAAATTTTTCCTCTCCTATTAGCTCCGAGTGCATCGAGAACTGCAATGTCGATTTTAGGAAAGGCCTCTATTTCAATGGCTTTTGCAGCTATCTACGTCTATACCGTTGAACTTATGCCAACTGGCGTAAGGAATGTTGGTATTGGATTTACATCTATGAATGCAAGAATAGCAGGAATGGCTGCTCCTTACGTTGGTGGTCAATTAGTCAGTATTTCACTTAAATACTTTTGCAATAAGTCATTATTTTGCAATATTAATATATATCGCATACTTTCTTAGAGCGATATATGGAAACCATTCCCCACAACTATTTTCGGAGTCTTTGCAACGGGGACAGGTATTCTAACATTACTATTACCCGAAACTTTAAATAAAACACTACCAGAAACAATAGAAGAAGGGGAGTCTTTTGGAAAGTAAGAATGAATATTAACCTTTAAAAGCAGGTTACGTTTATAACAGTATCAATTAATATATTATTCTATTACTCGAAATAGAAAGGTAAAGAAGAGTCAAGTAGAAGATATAACGGGAAAACAAGCAGAAGCGAATTTGAAATTAGAAGAAAAATATTAAATATTTTAATGAACAGTGTACCATTAGTGAAAAATCGTATATCGATTTTATCTAGTAGTCAAACGTTTTATGATATAGGCATTTCATGTACTTTTTTCCAATATTTGTTGAATTATAACTGATAATAATTGCTTTAAAATATTTGGCATAGTTTAAATTACAAAATGATTAATAGTACTCTCCCCCCCTCTTCCTCTCTCTTTCTCTGTATATACATTTATCTGTTAAACACTGAAGAATAGTTTGACGACAATCAAATTTTAATGAGGTCTCCTTACCTCCATAAATAATCGACCATTGTTCTCTTGAAGATGTGATATGGTCACTTAGCAAAACATATACAATTAAATCAATGATACTTGAATAATTTATTGTTAAGCTCTTATCTAAATTCTTCACTAATCAAGAAAAATATTAATAAAGATAGCAATTAGTTTCATATAATATATTAAAATTATCAGCTGTATATTAATGATACATAAGAGCCATAGACCTGTAAGTTTATGTTAGTTAATAATTTTTAAAAATAGTATAAATGTTTATTCCAATAATTAACCACACTATAGGGTATATTTTAATGGTGCCCAGTCCTTGGTCAATGTTGTTGTACACTTTTAATTATTAAGAATAATAATTAATATACCCTTGTATAATTGCATTTCAATTAATTAAATAGTTTTTAACAAGTTTTAATAATCATAATAGTAATCGCATTTCATTAAAGATTTTTTGTAATTGGGTAAATTGGGTAAAAGTCATAGATTGCGCCCTCTACATCCGGATGTTAAGCCAGTAAGACCTCTATTATTTTCTTTGTATTTCTTTGGTAAATTTATCTTTTATCTACTTTTAAGAATGAAAGTTTTTATATTACATTGACGGTTAAGTTTTCGACTTAAAAATAATGTTATCTGATATATATTTAATTAGAAAATTGAATATTTCTGTTTGTCGCCATGTTGAAAGCGGTAGTTGCGTCATGTCCAATTTGGGAAGTCGATATTAGATATGTCAAATATCTTGATTAATATATCCCATATAAAGACTAAATATGCGAACAATATCTCTAAATGACTTTTATATAGTCTATATATTTATATTTTTTCATTCTTTACAAAATCATCGAGATATTCGCGATTAAACATTTTCAAATATTTTTTTCAGCTTCGGCGAAATGTCCAACTGCTTCATTTAATTGTAGCAAGATAATTTTTTGTTAGCCGGTAAGGAAGGAATAGTTTTTTTGTTTTTTAAAGATAAATTCTTGGTAATTAAAGTTTTATTAGTACTTAGTGACGGTCCTCTTTTCATGGAAAAGTTTGTCTAACTGGATATCCAACCGCCATTTCAGAAAAGATAGATATTAAGAACGAGTACACCATCTGAAATATATATGATATACGAAGGTTGGAGCCTCTTGCGTTTATTATCATGCCTAAATAAGCAACAGAACGAAAGAGAGATAAAAAAATACTTCTTTTTAAGATATTAAGAAAGTGACCTTGAAATATTCTATTCTAATTAAATGTCAAATTTATAGGATTTGTTAAAGATGATAATTGGAATTTAGAAGAAGCTTCTCTTCGAAATAAAAAATAGAATGACTCATCCGCCCCTCCATAGAACATTCCTAAAAGACCATACCTTATTCAATATGATTTACGCTCATAATACTGGTTTATTTATATATTTTCTTACCTCTATCTTTTTGAAGAAATGGCCCCTCTGCAAACATTAATATAAAATATCTCGTAACTTCAACTACAGTGCACCTGTTAAAAGAGGTATGTCTTATTTTGTATACTTTTTCTATTGTTAATAAAGAAATTATTGTAAGTAAATATATACCTATATGTTACAGTTTTCAAATAAATATGATAAAAGAACGCAGAAATTAATCCTATGCAATCCTCGGAAAAAAATTATACAGTTGGTAAGAATAAGTTCTTCGATTTGCCTCTCGAATGAACCTCTCTATACGACTTGGTTTTGAAGGGAAACGCTGATCTTGACAGTTAAGGATCGACTTTTTTTTGTACAATATTGGGCACTTGATTTGTTCCCTTCCCCTTTCATAACTAACACTTAATAGTAACGACTAATTCTCTTTTCTTTGGTACAAGTTTAGTCTGGTGAAAATTTTAATATTTACCATCCTAGACTAAGCTACACATCGTCTATTAGTATTCTATAAGCATCATATAGAAATTTGCTTGCGTTGCAAACTGAACGAAATCGTGACATGTAAAATCTGGTTCGTCATTGATGATTATAGTTAGTTCGTAATATCGGGCAAATTGATTGATTTCCTCAGATTTTTTGTTTTCCTTAACATTACTTTTTCTTATTTTTGATTTGAATAAAAAATTCTCTTTGATTACGGGAAAAAAAAGCAACAAAACACTTGACTTAACAGTTCAGTTTAACTTATGATTTGTACGTTTGTAGCAGCTACTTCTCACGTCGTTGGCACTACGAATTCTGTTTCATTTGTATTGTAAGAATGTAGATGGGAAACTTTTCAACAAATCCATTTTTGTTGCGCATTGTAAAGGAATGATTGTTTGCTTTGCACGGTACCATCCGGGTGATAATGAGCTGTTCACAAAACAAAGAAATTTAATAACAATTCTACGACTAGACAATTGTTGATATGTTTAAAACTACTATCTCAACACTGGATTAACACTATTTGTAAAAAGCATAATATTTTAAAAGCCTACCTGGCCCAGGGAAATCTGGATTTCTTGCTTGACTATTCCATCGGCTAGACGAGCTAACAAATGCAGAATGGGTCATATAATGCTTCTCAGTTTCTATTTGGCCTTTAATATCATATTGACCGGGTCCTGGAAGAGGTGGAGTTTCTGGTAAGGGCATAGCCGGAGCACTTATACAAAGATAATGCTGCTTCGGAAATCCCAACTTTTTATTCATATCAGCTTTTTCACCGGGAGAATAGTCAGCAGGACCTGTATTGCGAATAAATAAAACGAGTTTTTCTATAGTAATTCTGTATTAAATTGCTAATAAAACGTAATCATTTTTACCTGGTATTTTTGGTGGTGTTGGAGCCATTTGTCTTCGAGTTCTGGATTTAAAACTGGAAAATGGAATCTTAACCGATTGCCTTTGCAAAGTATCCTTTACGTCGTATTGGGTAGGGGCAACTCTATCCGAATCTTTCAATACAAGTAGTTCACGCTTTGATTTCGATTTAAAAGCAGCATCTCCGGAAACGTTATTTGTTTTATTCGTCCATTTTGCCGCAGTCGCAGTTTTATAAATATTTGGTCCTGGAAGCGAGTTTGGCTCTCTGGTCCCAGAAACAACTGGCCTGTGAAAAGAACTAGTATTTGATGTGGAAAAATCGTGTCTCGACTTGAGAGTTGCAGGTAATTTGTAGGATCCAACTCCTGGATGGTTTTCAGCTAAATCCCTCCTAATTCGTCTACTTTTGGACGCAAAACCTCCCGTACCCTTTTTCGAAAAAGATGTAGACTTTGTTTCCGCTTCCGAATGTCCAACGTAATTTCCAGGTCCTGGACCTTCTGTTAAATGATTTTCATAATTGAATCGTTTAGCTTGGGAACAGAATCCTCTTTGTTCGCTGTTACTAATTACAACAGTTTGATATTTCGTTGGAATTGTAGATCGAAGAGGAACGATACTCCTCCCTGAAAAATTTCATAGAATAACAATTAACAGAGAAGGCTGTGATCTGTTTTCAATTCATTGTAAATAATTTCTACAATATTTTTTATAACTGCAAAATGCTATGAATAATTAGATTTTTAATAATAAAATGTATTACCTTTGTGAAGATTCCCAGATTTCCTTTTACCGTTCAACCTTTCCCCAGGTTCTTCATCCAAATATCGTATACTATCACTCATTATTCAACTAAAATAATCATATCTTGTTTTTTAATAAAATATTCGTTTATCACATTAAATATATTCCCTAGCAAGCGTTATTATCCTTTCTCTCTCGTATACAATATTACTTTTAATACTGAGCTATTATTAATATAAATTAACCAATTCAAAAATTTTGTAGAATTGAGTTTCTTAGCGTTGAGCGTTGTTATTGACAGCGGAAGTCGCATGGGCGATTCTATATTTAAAAGGTGGATCTATTTGTGTAAAAAGAACGATTTCTGGATGTTCTCTTAACTTTTACCAACATCAGTCGATTTTAAAGAATCATTTTAATAGCTTTTGTCGAATAAAAGTTGAAAAAATATATTAAATTTATTATTGAAATATAGTGGAAAATTACAAATATCAAATTTTACACTTTAACCAATCAGCGTAGCCTATACAATGTCAGCATCTTATAACAAACTGAATGATTGGTTTACGCTCCAAACGCGCCATATTCTGGCTCAGTTCAACATTTTCGCGCAAAATTTGTCATTAACCGCTTTTCTTTCTTCCAGTCGAGAAAGCATTCTTTTTCTAAATTCATTTTAGAACTCTTGTTTCTTCGACTTTACTACAGAATCGTTCAAATAATGTCTGCAACCATCAACAAAGAAGCTACAACCGTTTTTAGAAGAGAAACCGATGAAAACGTGGTTAGCTACAATACACTACACAATATTCTTTTTTCATTATTTTTGAAATACCCTAATGAATTAAACTGTTATATAGATACCTGTAAAGCAGAGTGGTAAAATTTTGAGTGATAGTCAATTAACGGTAAGTTGGGAAATTTGTAACAATGTTATATCCCTAAATGCCCTCACTACTTTCAGAACATAAAAGCGAGTCCTACAAAAAGTCCTATAAAATCACCCAAAAAGGGCAGCGAAGTGGGCAAAGTAAGTACAACTGGCCCCCTTAAGGCTGAAACTCTAGTTTGGCCTAGTTAACGCTCGATAATAAATAGTTCACATTAGTTAAATAAATAATATTGTTATGTTTTTAAATGTAAATTTCAGAGAGAAGAAAGGAGGAAATTGAAAGAGTTAGAGAAGGAGGAACCGCTACTTTCCGATAATCCAAACAAATACGTCATCTTTCCAATCGACCCGAATTATGCCGATGCTTGGACAATGTATAAACAAGCTGTGGCTTCCTTCTGGACAGTTGATGAGGTCGATCTAAGTAAGGATTTAGAGCACTGGGCCAATCTATCAAACGACGAAAGGCATTTTATTTCGCACGTTTTAGCGTTTTTTGCCGCTAGTGATGGTATCGTCAATGAGAATTTAGTAAGCGCTATAGATATTGATTTTAGTTTGAAAAACTAAACCAACTTTCGATCTTTAGGTTGACAGATTCAGCTCTGAAGTTCAATCAACAGAGGCTCGCTGCTTTTATGGTTTCCAAATCGCTATAGAGAATATTCACAGCGAGATGTATAGCATTCTTATCGATACTTATATAAAAAGCAAAGAGGAAAAAGACTATCTCTTTAATGCCATAGAAACAATGCCTGCTGTGAAGAGAAAGGCTGAATGGGCACTTAAATGGATCCACGACGATGAATCCTCTTATGCTGAAAGAGTTATTGCTTTTGCTGCCGTAGAAGGAATTTTTTTCTCAGGTTCATTTGCTGCTATCTTTTGGTTGAAAAAGAAAGGTCTCATGCCTGGTTTGACCTTCTCTAACGAGTTAATTTCAAGAGACGAAGGCCTTCATACGCTTTTCGCTTGTCTAATGTTCAAAAAGCTTATTCATCGACCATCTCAAGAACGAGTTTACGAAATTGTAACTGACGCCGTTAAAATTGAGCAAGAGTTCTTAACTGATGCTTTACCATGCGCTCTTATTGGCATGAATAGCAAATTGATGAAGCAATACATAGAGTTTGTGGCTGATTGGCTTCTAGATCAATTAGAATGTGACAAGGTATATGAATATTTTATAATAATAATAATAATAATAATAATCAGTAACTTTTATAAAAGACTCCCCTACACACTATATACTCTTTTTTAGCAGACAAGAGTTTCCCTTTTATAGTTGATCAGTTCATAGCTTAATAATAACTTGTTAATTAGGTGCTATCAAGCTTTTAATTAGATCACTTTTAGAGATTGTACGAATAATAGAATCAAACTATTTTTTTTTCGACAGTATTACAAGAGCGAAAATCCATTTGATTTTATGGAAATGATTTCAATGGAAGGAAAAACTAACTTTTTTGAGAAAAGAGTAAGCGAATATCAGAAAATGGGCGTCATGAGCGGAGTTGGAAAAAATGCCGCCGACCAATTTGAATTTACTTTAGAAGCCGACTTTTAAAAGAGACATCTTTTTCCGTTCAAGATATTATAGATATGAAGTAGTTTTTATCCCGTTTTTAAATTTATACATACTGCTTCTTTAGAGAATATGCTATTTATATTAAATAAAGGGAACGAGGAGTAAAAAATATTAACCGGCTGCCAAAAAAAAAAAACAAGTACCTTATAAAAAATGCTCTTATTAGAGTAACTAAATAAATGATAGAAGCCGAAACGTTTGTAATAAAAGGTTCATTTTTTTTACAACTGATCTTTTTTTTGTGCTCTCTCGGTTAAAATTGTTATTTGGGATTAAACTAGGTTGACATGTAACAAGGTGAATAATTTTGAAAACACATAAAGGCGTAACAGAATTATTAAGGTGGTAGGGCCGGTTTGAATTATCGATTCATGCGTTATTGATGTCTATTGCTAGTAGGATATCTTTGGGATATTTTTTATTCTACGTAAACTGAATGGCTTACACCGGGTTGATGCAATTCTCATGTTGATGTAATCTTCATTTTAATTGATAATATTACAGAGTTATATAGATGGCGTTACTGAATATTTAAAATTTGAAATTAATATTACGGCTTAAATAAGGATTTAGAGATATTTAAGATGATAATTTTTCGAAAAAATAATTGTTGACAATATTTTTAGGGAATAACAGCAATAACTAAACTCAGCATAAACACCCAACAAGATTGACAGGTTCATTTGCATAATCACAAATTTTCAACCCAAATATTTCCTACACTAAAGCTTAATACGTTTAAATAAACGTCGTAACATATTTTTTAATGGACATGGGAGGAATTGTCGTAAAAAAATTATTTCATAACGATTGAAAATTGTCCAAACTAGCATGTAAACAAAACTGCAAAGCCGGCAACTGACATGAATATTAACAATATAATCTGACGTTATTTCCGTCAGAGCAACCAATAAGGCTTCTATAAACAACGCCACGTGATCAATTTTGCATTGCGCCCGCCCATTCTGGAAAAAATCAAAACAAACCGGCTTCTAAAACAGCTGACTGTAGATCATACGCAGTATTTGGTCGAAAAAGGCTCCGGAAAACGAAAGATTCACCGAAATTTTTTTGTGAAACGCTTGTCTGGAATGTAATCTCTATATTCGTCCATGATGTTCGGTACAAAGAGGTTAGCAAAGAGGTCGATCGTTGGCACAAAAGTCTGCGCACCGGGCCAAGATGGCCGCTTTTACGCCGGTGTTATAAATAGTACTAAAACTGGCCCCCGCGACGAGGATCTCTACGTGATCAAATTCGACGATGGAATCCTAAGAACATACGATGAAAAGAATATATATGGAGGAGGTTTCCAGTCGATTACCTCCTGTCAACTTCCGGAGGGACAGCAAGTATATATCACCTACAATGGTAGGGAGCTGTGCGGTACAGTTGATTCGCATGACGATGACAACCAAGTTTTAATAAGCTGCATTCTACCCGATTCAACAACTATACAAATTCAAAGGCGTCTGGAAGAAGTAAGGTTGTTGAGGAGCAGAAAATCGGCAAGACTTTTAGATCAGGACAAGGATTACTGTAGATTGGCAGATGTGCATTCAGAATCAAAGAGGCGAGCTGTATCGAGTTCTATCGATGTCCCAGCAAAACAGAGGTAATTTAGGTCTTTATTTGGTGACTCATGAGTGATCGTGAGACCTAAGCCGGTTCGTACCTTCAACCTTATTATAGAAATATGATCGACGGCGAAGTCATATGACAATTAGTAAACGTTTAACAAATCTTTTTAATATATGTATTAATCGTACTGTGGTTTATTGAAATGTTTATGGCCCAGAACAGGCCACGTTGGGGTGTCACCCATCACAATGCTTATGCGCCATGGGTACTTAGTATTTGTTCGATTTTTTTTTATATTAGGTAGGACTAATAAAATTCTATTATTTTTTTTCTTTTTTTTATTATAGACGGGGTTCAGAGGAAATTATGGATGAAGAACAGGCAGCTATGGTTCTTACATCCCTCAGCTGTTCGCCAAAGCTATCTTCCTCTTACCAAGGTAAGCTACAATTGTTTTATCACGTGACAGCTTGCATCAAGACAATATGCCTGCAGATAACTCGGGGAGTGTTTCAAGCGGAGTATTCAGTATGCCATCCGAATCGCCCCCATCGTTACTATCCACTTCAGCTCCACCAAATCTGCAAGATGATATGATCGACACGATGTCGAGCTCTTCAAATGAAGAAGACGAAATGAAGGTTAGATCCTTTTCCTTCTAATCAATGGTTAAAAAATGTGACAAGGGTGGTCCAAAGGTTACACGATAGAACATTGCACTACAAAATAGGCCTATTTTCGTCAAGGACAGATGTTGGCCTAGAGAGAAGCCCTTAAAAACTAAACTATTCATTTTTATAATTTTTCACTTGATAAGATAACAGTTGAAATTGTCAGCTACACATAGGGGATGACATATGTCATTATTGCCACACGTGGAAAATATGTGTAGGCCTAGATTACCGGCTGTGCAATTAATGAAGTGTTAATTAGCATAAATTATTTAAAGTATTTTACGTTCGATGACCGCCATTACAACCACCTTAAGAACGTCAATCCTATTTTGAGTACAAAAAATTGCAGTTCGACGTCCTCTCGTACTGCAGTATTTACGGTGTGATGACCGGTTACTGGGGTTGAAGACTGGTTACCTGTACAAAACGATAGAATGCAACAGGGAACCAGTTGAAAAAGTATTTATAGTAACCAGGAAAACTGTATGCCGGCATATAAAGGCAGCGGTTGTTGCCTGTGAATAATGCAAATTTAGGACTCATGGATAATGGGCATAACCCTTTTGAATATTAAAAATTTATTAACGCCATCTATTGATATTTCAGGGAACCAGGACGGTTTTCCAATGCACTTGGAGAAATTGTGAAAAGATCATGAGTACAAGAATCATGATTGAAAAGCATATTCGACAGGAGCATTTGGGGTGGGTTTATTTATACTGTTACATAAAAAAAGTGTTATACATTCGGATACTGCCACACTACTTGGAATTACATTACATTCTATCTTATCATCCAAAAAATAACCATTTAGCCTATAATAGCACATATAAAATTATTGCATAACGAGTCGGATTGTTTTTCTTCAGATTAGATTGCTTAAAAAATATCTTACGCCAGCTTGCGTCACTAAAGATTTATATAAATATCAAAAAAGGATAGATAGAGAGAAGAGAGAGAGAGAGAGAGAGAAAAGCATAGGTAGAAAAAGAGAAATAACCTTTTTCTATATCAACAGTGAGATGCTAAAAAGAAAAAAAGTTTTTTAATTTTTTTTTTACAGCTTTAAAATATTGATATTTTCTATTTTGAATAGAATTCAGCCTTGGAATGTAGACTTTAGTTTGTTATGTAATCTTTACACATGTTTATATTCGTCACTCTAATAGGGTTTAGTTTCTTTTTTTTTAGACCTATATATAGTATCTACTGTAGCCATGAGAAAAAAAACTATTCCAATTCGAACGTAGTATTTATGTATATATATATAAGTATGTAATATATTATATATAGAAAGATTGAACGATTATTACTGATGTTTGTTTTAAGAGTAAAACAGTTCCAAGTAGCGATCTATAAATAATCGACTCGTACGTAGACGTACTTTATATGTTTAATATTTAATTATTGAGATATATACTATTTGCCATATTGAAAAAATAGATAAAGCGTTTCTGTCATTAAACTTTCTTTATCTCTGGTTAATATTTTTCTATTTAAGAAGATAAAATAAAAATTTCCCTATTTAGAGGTGAAACAGTTTTTTTTTCCACTTTATTGATTAAATACAAAAGAAAAGAAGAAAATCTTTAAATTTCATTCATAAAAATTTTTCCAAGTGTTTTTACTACTGTTTGTTATTGTTTGGAATTTATTGATTGCTTCTAAAAGTAGTGTTCTTTTTTGCATTTGTAATAGGAGAGGAGCTGACGAAGACTGGTCCGATCACGAAGAAGATTTCTATTACAATGAGATAGAAGTTTCGGTTGATACTGTCACTGATCAGTTGGCTGATATGCATACTTACTCAACGTCCCCGCCATCTTCTTTTGTGGAACAGAGTCGTATTTTTATTCAAGACCACGACTACCAGAGAAAGGATCACCCTATCCGCCCGTCTAAGTCACCAAGATCCTCAAATACGCATTTGGCATCCTCATTTCCAACTTCCGGTTATCAGAATGGTAACAGCGGACTTAGTCGATCTTATACCTGGGGATCGGTAAGTTGACGCAATAATTACAGCAAATCTATATTTATATCGTCTAGGTACCTTTTAAAAAATCATCCACAAGATGTCACTCTTGAAAATTTATAGCCCCTAAACAATATGCGATTAAGTAGAGGCCATTACTTAAATAATCGAAATCCTAGATGATAAAAGAGTTACTTTGCACTAAAAGATAAATAATTACAATTGCTTTTTTTCTTTAATTATTATTTTAGAACTCTAAACCATACAAGAGCTTATACTCGACTGCAAAGCTGCTACCCATGCACAAAAAGTCAAGATCGGATGTGAAGAAGTGCAGGAAGGTTTATGGAATGGAAAACCGAGATATGTGGTGCACCCAATGCAAATGGAAGAAAGCCTGTAGTCGTTTTACTGACTGATGTATTTTACTATACTACAAAAAAAAGAAGATATATCTAAGTGTTGGGTTCTATGGGCATTATCAGGTTTTAATGAATTGTACATATACATATAAATGATATTAATTGTAAATAATTTTAGGGATAGCTATATGATTTAGGTATAGAAGAATCTAATAATTTTAATTCTATTGATATATTTCTTTTTATGAGATTATTCCCAATTAGAACTTTTAAGTTTTTAATTTCCTAACGAGAATTTAATGAGAAATTCAATTTTAAATGCAATTTAATGATATATATGAATATACGTAAAATTGAGAAAACAATGCTTATTTTGTCTGTATCTTTCTCTGTTTCTTTTGTTTTGCTATTTATGTACAGTAAAATAAGACTGATATAGTTTACAGTATATAAAAGCAGTATCTATAATTGGATATGCTAAAATAAATGAAATTTATTATGATCCTTCTTTCATCTGTTAAAATCCGTACGCAATAAGAGCAACGACCTTCCCCTAGTTAATTTCTTTTGATGCTCAAAAATAAATAGAGAAGAAGAAAACAAGTCTCAAATTAATAATGTGACAAATGTATTCTCGTCCAAATACTTTTAGTTACAATTTTATGATTTCATATTTTACCAAGCTTCATCATTGATTTCACCGCCTGGTTTGACTGACTGGAAGACACCAGCTTCCCTCATTCTGATAAATTCTTTGTCGGCATCCAAATTTCTACAATTTTAGTAAATTACTTAATCTTTCGTTAATAATATAAATTAGTCAACTTACGTCAAGAAAGCTTCGTAGCGTCTTTTTCTTGGTAGAACAACGACAGCTTGCCACATTACGGCGGCTCCGACAGACAAAACGGCGGCGATGGAGAAATCACGTTTCAATTGGGATTTTAATAATCCTCTTAATTGGGGTCTTGCAGCGGACATATCTGTTCAATAGAAATTAAATACTTAAGATTGTTTTCTTAGCTATTTACGCTTTAAAACATGACATTGAGTGATCTTGCAGACGACGTTTGTTAAAACGAAAAAAATACGAACTTATGATTAATAAAAATTTAACAATTACATAAAATAAATTATGTTTGATACTTTACTTGAAATAGCCTAAGTTAATATCATAAATATAATTGATAAAAATTGAAAAAGTTACCGAGTGGTCTATACAATGTCAAATAGAATGACTTCTCGTGAGACTTGGCGAGATTAATATGGCACCTATTCGTGTCTTGTATAAAAAAAAACAAACTACGGAACGTGGAATGTACTTTAAAAAACTCTAGTTTTTCTTTATTCTATTAAAAGTAAGCGATAATAATGAAATTTAATCTCTTGTAAATATTTACCTTTTCTTTTAAATAATCATTACATTTTACACTTCTACTAGAAAACATTTTGAGTGAACAAACTATTTGAAGATTTAATTATAATATAGAACGAACTAATAAGTTCAGTTTAAAAGAAGAATATAAAGATATTTCACTGTATAAATCATTTATAAAAAACCTTCTTAGCAAAAGAAGACAATAAAAGTAAGAAAAGTGGACCAGAAATTTTTTTTAATGGCGTGAAAATAATGTTCGCATTCGAATTTTTTCTTTATATTTTTATTATCTTCAAACTTCATAGAGGGTATATTTATTATAAAACATAAATATTTGGATGTATTAGCTGTTTGTTATACGACGTAAATTTTCAGACTTTGTTACGATAAACTAGCCAATTTGACAGTTAAATTTAATACAAAACAATTTACGTGCTTCGAAAAGTAAGTGATTAGCATAATAAATTACGTTGTGTTTTTTCCATCGTTCTAAATTTCGAACATTCTCTATTCTCTTTAGAAAAACTTCAGAATATTCTGATCAGAAAACAATCTTATGTAACAGCGGAATTTCCAAGTATTATATAAATACGGTTGAAGTAGTATTGGGGAATAACGTTCAAGTGAATTTTATATGTAATAAAACAATTGTTTACGAAATTGACAGCATCATCGATGTCCAACTGACAACCGCTTCAAGAAGTTTTTATACTTTCCTTAATTTTTATTTTTGTTACAATATCTACCTGACCTATTTCTCTAAACGAGTTGAGCCGTCTATTTACATTATCACTGACCCAAACATAAAACTTCCAAGACTTTGCCTAACAAAAGCAAGAAATACAATTTGGGATTTGCAAATTGATTTTGATGTTGGAGGACAATCTTGCATACTAGCTCTGGATCAGAACAGATGTAAAAATGAATTTAAATGGGATATTAAGTCTCTATTTGAAATGAATGTAAAACTTTATAGAATTATTCAAATTAATCGCATAGATTAGCTATTACTACAAGATTTTGATAGACGAAAAATTTGAATAATTACTACTTTCAAAACATTGATAGTCATTGGGAAATTCTCCCACTCCCATCTTCCTTCAAGTTGAAAGGATGGCAGAATTCTTTACTTTTAGTAGAGATACAACTATTAATCTAAACGGATATTTTCGTTTTGATTTTTCAGATGATAAGAAGATAGAAAATTGGAAGAGATTTTTTGACTTATCGTATAGTTCAATTTTAATTAATATGTCAATTTCCATGAATTAATATATTCAATTAACATTTTCAGGGAATATGTTGATTTCCACTTGAAAAAGAGATGCATTCACGAAATGGATATATACATTTACTGTAGAATTTTAAGCGATAAGATAAATGCCAATGTTATCTTGGAAATAGAAGACGAAAATGCGGAAACAATCGATAAAGATTGTCAAATTGGTAAAGAATTTAGCAGTTTTTTCAACTTAACAAAGAAAGGGTATTACATCAAACTATCCGAGTGTAAAGAATATCCTCTTTCGAAAATTTCTTTTAAATCATATAAAAAATCCCTAATGTTGAGAACGGCCCTTTATAGAGAATGTTTTAACAACTCTGACTCGGATGATTTTAAACTGGAAGTAAAAGAAGGTAGAGAAGAGAAAGTAAATGACGTTAATGCTCCCGTATTAGCCATTGTTTTTCTAGGTTTAACAATACCAACTTACTTGTTGATATGTCTCTTTTTTGGGACAAAAAAATTGCCCCGCCTAAGAAAATAGAAGAATGCAAGAGTCGGATTCATAAAATTTCCCTTAAGATGAATTATAAACGCTAAGTTTATTTTTTAAAAGTAACAATATTTTTAAAAGTTTGACGTTTTAATACTTAATATATTCTAAATCAAGCGAGGATAAATTAACGTTTCAGCATTTCTAAAAATAGTTCAATTATGTAACATTCTATTCGAGTTGCCACTTGTTCGAAAACTATTTTATATGAATTAGCAAACGAGAACTATCTTATAAATATGTTCCTGTATATGTTTTATGCGTTTCGTCTTTCAAGTGTATAATACTAATAACAAAAAATCAACTTAGTACTCACTTTTACTTTTAGCCTAAACATAACAGTTAATCGGTTTTTCTTTCTTTTTAAGTTTTTACAATGGAGAGAGAAGGTCTTTTTTATAAAGGTGTTCTATTCATTTTGAAATCTAATGAGATAAAATTTAATATACGTATGAAAGGCTTTAATCCATTAATGATATAATATTGTTTGTTTGCAGTACATTTAGATTCGTTAAGATCATCAGAATTCTACAATTGGACATTAACGCTAATAATTATGTTTGGACTATCCGCAAGCTTGTTTAGTATAACTATGGCTGTACTGTTTTTAAAAGAAAGAGAGAGGAAATATACGAGAAAATTGTCAACTTTGCCTGTTTACAATTTTTTTCGACCGTCTATTTCAACGAGAGGTTCTACGGACAGCTCAGTGTTCTCTTCATTTCCCGGTTCAACGTTTAGATCCGTTAGACAGTCTTCGATTAGATACCCATCGTTTTCTGGCTTTCCTTATACTGAATAAACTTTTGTGGATATTATTGAAATATGTCTAAAAAAACGTCTTGTTTTATATTTAGCCACCATTTATTGAAGCCGTTTAACAAAATAATGAGTAGTGTGTTAGGAATAATTGGAAAGAATTTAAAAACAACTGGTTTATCACTTTTTTCTTGTTTTATTAACAAACAGAAGGTCTGTGAAGTTTCTGGTAAAAGGTTTCTTTAAAAACACTACTGTATTATTAAGTTTTCATGTAAACTAGAAAAATGTATCGCACACCAACATTAGTATTCAAAATTTCGCACTAATGTTAATTCTAATATACGTCATAGTTATCTATTTATGAGTCGTGATGCTTCTAGAAAAACGGAAGACTAGCCAGTCTAACCATACTATTTTACGAAAGAACATCGAAAAAATGGTAAGATACCTTCCAAAAATTTTGAACGTTTTGAACAAATAATTCAATCGGCTAAAATTTAATATAGTTTTATGAGATAATGAAAATTTAATAATATCTTTTAATACAGGCAGCGAAATATTTTAGCGCAGCTGATATTGAAGGTAATTATTCTTACATATTAGGACACACCCAGGTGTTCAACATACCTTTGTGATTCATAATTATCTTTATAAACAATTACAGAATTTCGTGACTGCTTTTATTTCTATGCAAAAGAGAAAGTTATTTCCGATACGAAACTTTTATCAACTGTGATGCGATCCCTTGGTTTCAGTCCAACGATTACCGAAATAGATCAATATTTTAAGAAAAACGAAAAAGGTTAATGTTCATCGATAGTCATCAAGTGAACATGGGGTGTGGTGTCGGTTTGCTCATTGTTCTATTTCTTTATACAGATAATCGAATCGATTTTGCAACATTCCTTGAGGTTTTACATCAACATATGGAAAAGGAAAAATGCCAGCAGGATTTACTAAATGCCTTCAAAGCTTTTGATAAAAATCAAACAGGAACTATCAGTTACAATGACTTTTATCATTTATTAACGGCAACTGGAGAAAGACTGAGCGGCTCTGATGTTGACAAGATTTTCAAAGAAGCAGGTGTATCTAAGGGTCAACCTATTAAGTAAGCTTTTCCTGGTGATGAACACAATATTTATGATTCATTTCTTTTATTCAGATATAAGGAATTTATGAAAGTAGTATTGACCCCTCTTCCAGATTATTGAATCTCAAGTATACTATCAATCACAATGGGTTTATAGAGAATATGAATGCGTTTCAACATTTTTTTTAAAATTAGATATAGTTTTTGAAATACAGAATTTTCTTATTACATATGAATTGTTATAGATATGAAAATAAATTCAAAAAAAGGCTTTTTGATTTAGGAATGATGTATTTAGCAAATCTGTTGTATGACTCTGGCCGATTTTTTGAGAGAATCTGTTTAGCAAAAACTTATATACAAACGATGTGGGTGCAGAGGGAAATAACAAATATGAGCACGGTTATACAATGACTCCACGGCATGAAAAAAATTCCCTAAGTCGGGGTTAGACATTAAGATATTGCACACTCCATTCACAGCAATTATTTAGTAACACATTTGCCTCGAGAAACAAAGAAACTTGTCAGAGGGGTTTAGTTTCAATAGTATTACTAAAACTCTTCAGAATTAAGTGTTGCATGAATATCATCATATACCATTAGAAAATGTTAAACCCGGCTCTAAAGAAAAAAACATAAATCGCCTACTGCGAAGCGCATGCAACCTTTGGTCCATGTCCACCACCCATTTCGTCCTCATCAGAATCATAAGCATTGCTACTTTGTCCAGGTTTATCATGTCGTACGTCAAAAGGCATTAAATTGCATTCCTCAGCGTCAATTGGAACAGTAACAGCCTCCCTAGGAGGTAGTAGTTTTTCCAATTCTTTCAACCTATCCAAAGAAATCCAGCTGTTATCCGGGAAGGTAACACTGAACTGTATGATGAGACGACCTTTTTCGAAAGGATTTCGGTGTCTTGGCATTCCCTCTCCTGGTATGCATTTTATGTCAGAATGACGGATAACTTCTCCGGGTATTGATTGGATGACGATATTACGATCATCTAAGGTTTTAATAACTCTTTGAAATCCACAAAGGGCTTCAGTAATTCCTATTTCCATGTTCATAATCAGGTCCATATTTTTGCGCTGAATACAATCTCATTAATACCGGTGCTTAATACAAACTATTTTTAATAGATTAATTACCTTAAACGTCTCATGCTCTTTTTCATCCAGCACTATAAGAATATCTCCAGGTTCTAGACCAGGTACTTGATCGCCTTCTCCTCCAAAACGGATTTGTTGGCCATCTTGCATTCCCTTATCAACGTGTACCTCTAAAATTTTTCTTTCCCTAACAGTTTTTTTGCCTGAGCAATTTTTACATCTATCTCTTGGATTGATTCTTTCTCCTTCGCCATTGCAATCAGAACAGACCGACTGTATTTGTTGAACCATGCCTGGAGCAAGTTGATGTATACGTACCTGAAATCCAATTTTTGATAATTAGAAAACCTTTTCAAACACGATTATTGCCCTTGTACTCACCTGCATTCCAGTTCCTTTACAGTTCGAGCATGATTGAACAGCTCCTTTTTTACCACCTTCTCCGTCGCATTTTGGACAAATAACATTTTTTTGCAGTGCTAGTTTCCTAACGGCCCCATTGTACAAATCTTCCAAGCTGACTTTCATTTGGTGACAAACATCTTTACCTTTTTGTGGTCCTCGTCTGCCTCTACCCATACCTCCACCACCACCAAAGAACATGTCGAAAATGTCCATAGGTGAAGAGAATGAGAATCCGCCACCACCAGCTCCTTCTTTAAGACCTTGTTCGCCGTATTTGTCATAAATTTCACGTTTCTTAGGATCAGCCAAAACTTCATAGGCTTGGCTTATCAATTTAAACTAAAAAACATTCATTCATATAAAGGGAGAAAATTTCATAGGAAAAAGTGAGGCATGTATGGTTTAAGAAAAATTACGACGCATTTTATGTACAAGCATCATTTTAATAATTTTAAAAACGGAAGCCATTAATTTAAGAATATTTTAAAAAACCATTCTATATATGTGCGTTTTTGTTTCATTTATAAATTTTTTGAAAATGAAAATAAAAAATCAGAGGTGAATAAATAGTCCTTCATACTTGCGTAATAAAATTAACATGGCTGACTTACTTTTTCGGGTTCTTCTGGGTTTTTGTCAGGATGGTATTTTAAAGCTAATTTTCTATAAGCTCTCTTAAGTTCATCTGCACCAGCTGTGGGGTTAACCCCTAAAACTTCATAATATCTTGTTTCTTTCACCATTATATTTCGTTACTGAAGAATCACGCTTTTTTTAAATTCAGTTTTAAAAGGCAAAATATATGGAATTATGACTTTTAAAGTAAACCTTTAACAACTTACAATCGTTTCTTATGGTTTTCAGCGAATAGTATATGTTCTTAGTCGACAACTCGGCTGGAATTGATGACTTTTTCGATGGAAAGTTCCTGAACTTTCCTAGGCGAAGATATAATGCGGATATTGCGCACCGGAAGAAAGGATGGTTGTATGAGAAATTATGGGATGTGTCGTAAAAATGCTAGGTATTTTTTTTAATTCGAATATTATTACTATATTATTTATTTCAAAAATATTAAAAAAAAGTATTTTTTAGTAAATCTTTTAGAAATAATAATATAGAACTACTTTTCGCTCAATCCGTAGCGATTTTATTTAAAAGATCCTGTCGAAACTTGTCGTCAAATAAAAATGTCTTTCTCCAGGTAAATTGAACCTTTTAGATTTACCATTTAAAAAAAATATATTTTTATATGTCGTTATTTAAATTTTTTTTTCATTTTTAAATGCATTTTATCTTAGTTGTTAAAACCGCTGAAAAAAAATACCGCACTTTTTTTTCCCTCTAAAACGATAAAAAATACCCAAAATATGGATATAAAAAAACTCTTAACTAAACATTAAAAGAATAATAAAAACAAATTTTTAAATGAAGTTTATAAATTGTAATATAAAATTGAAAATTAGCTTTCAGCTTTTATCAGAGATGTAAAACTTGTTTCTTTAATAGGGGTGATATTACTTTAGAAAAATTGAAGAAGAAAAAGCGTAAAGAATTAAGCGAAGAACAAAAGCAGGAAATAAAAGAAGCGTTTTCCATGTTTGACGGGGATAATGATAATAATATAGACTATTACGAATGCAAAGTAATATCTCTTTTGCATATTGCTGAACTATATTAAAACATCTAATGACTGTTTTGTGTATTTAGACTGCAATGAAAGCTTTAGGATTCCCTGGGAAAAAAGAGGAAGTTTTAAAAATTATGAAAGATTACGATCGTAACAATTCAGGGAAATTATCATTCCAAGATTTTAATGAAGTCAGTTAGTATTCAGTCTGTTTAACATTCTAATAAACTCTATACAATCTTTTACATTTTTTTACTTCAAAAAGTGACTGACTTAATACTACAAAGAGATCCTCAGGAAGAATTTAGAAAAGCCTTTCAACTATTTGACGATGATGGTACAGGTTCAATCAGTTTGAGAAATCTTCGAAGGGTAGCAAGGTATAAGACAGTAGCGTGCCTTTTCCAAAAATCGTTCTAATAGTATTATCAATTTATAGAGAGCTACAAGAAACAATGAATGACGACGAACTTCGTGCTATGATTGAAGAGTTTGATCTAAATGGAGACGGTGAAATTAATTATGAAGAATTCTTGGCCATAATGACTGGAGACTTGTAGAATAAACAAATTGGAACAGAAAACAGAAAGAACACTTGACAATAACGTTGTATTATTTATTTTTTTACATTAAAGAAAACTGAAGAATAGAATCTTAGTTTAAATAAAGTTTTTAGATACAGAGATGACTTGAAATTATTTCATCTTAATAAGAACAATACAAAAATTTGTGTTTTATCACTATTGTTCTGTTCAATAAGGAGCTATTCGTAACATTCCTATTCCTTTATCTTTATCCATTTTAAAGGCGAATTGTAAGAAAAACTGCTTTGTTTCTTTATTCCAATGGGTCCAAAATCTTCTAGGATCTTTGTCAACTTCTCTACTAGGTACCTATAAAGTTTTTAAAACGGTTTCGTTAATTGAGACAATGAATGTTATATTTTAAAATTAATACTTTAAAAGCGATTGTTTCGTAAGGTTCTGCTGCAAATAGTAAATATTGCCATTTCTTCTCAGGAGGTTCAATTCTCTGCTCGTATGCTGCCATAAATCTATGTCTAGGTATTACACCTTCAACAATCTCGGGATAATCTATCTGAAATAATAGCGACTGTTGGCCTGTTTCTGGATCTCTCTGCTTGGTCACTTTATAACCGGGTCGACCAATCTTAACGAATCTTTTAATATCGACCCGAGATTTTTCAGTTGTTGGCATTGCCGGAGCATCTTTTGCTTCTTTAGCTGCTCTTCTAGCCAAGTTGGCTTGATGTTTCTTTCCTGTATTTTATTTAAATATTAAAATAGTAATTACCTACTAAATTGACGCCTGTATGTACCTTGAGTATGAGCCAAATAGCTTCCTTCGTTGTTGTGTAAAGTTAAACATAGTTTGCACTCATAGGTACCAAGATGGTTTTGCATAAAATAAGGATCCTTGGCCAAATCGATCGTTTCCAACGCCAATAATCGAAGACGCTCTCGCCTGTCCTTATTTGTTTCGGATGAAGAAGCTACTCCTCCGCTTCCCGTTTTACCTCCTGCTCTATGCTGGAAATCCATTGCAAATACCTGAAAAAGGGTAAATATCGCTCATGAAAACAGTTTTAAATAGAGATTCAGCCGGCAACTTTAGATTTCTTGAAACAAGACATAAAGCTAATAGTAGATCATAGTTGTATATATTATATAAAAAAATTACAAACCTCCTGATTATTATTCCAAGCAAAATGTCAATGAATTAAACGAGATCGTTAGTAAACCGATTGGTACGGCTCTACAATTCGATTCGGTATAGTATTAAAATTTCGGAAAACAAGTTTACCTAATTTCACACTATATTTCACCTTTCACTACGTGTCTATTACTATATTCAATATTCTCGGACAATACATTATTTCATTTAGTGAAATAATCTGGTAATTTGCTTGGACCATAAGCTGGAAAATTTTTTATTATGATATCAGACTTAATTATAGCTGGGTACGTTAAAATTATGAAAGCATGTTGAATTCCCGTGGAGTTCCTTACTTACGTTTTTTCCTTATAGAACTCTACTGATAAACGCTGCAGCTATCTTAAATTTTAAATTGTAAGTAATCGTTTTATAATACGCTTATACTTATTCTGCAACTGATCATTGGTAGACAAGGAAGATCCAATTATCATTCTACTGACGAACTAACTGTTGGTGATAAAATACGCGAATTCTTAAAGAGCTTGCAGTTTTTTCGAATTTTTATTGCTTTGTGGAATATATTTATTATGCTATTGATGATTTTGTAAGTAAAATGAAAAGAAGCTCATTATTGAACTAACTGGCTAGAAAGAAAGATTCTTTTGAATATTATTGATTTGTTTTTTTAAAGATAAAACAGAATATAGAATATTTTCCTTTTCAGCTTTTTTGGCCATTAAAACAGAATGACAGAACCACAAAAACCATTAACATTTTCTCAAATGGTCGATCGTATGATCGGCGAAAATCGGCAACCACGACAGGATATTTTAAGTAAAGCTGGACTTGATAAAGTGCAACAAGCTCCACAAGAAATAAGAATTCAAAGACTCTTTGAAAGTTGTGTGTTTAAGTCAGGACTTAGCTGTGTTGTTGGCGGGGGTTTAGGAGCTGCTTTTGGAATCTTTACTGGTAAGTGAATTGTCACTTAAATAGTTGAACACATTGTATTATGCATGACTGCAATAATATAAAAACTTTTCATTTATGTAGCTGGTATTGATCCCAACATAACTGGAACTCAAACACCGACGGTGAAGCTTGTATGGAAAGAGATGAAATTCAGGACAGTTTCGTATGCAAAAAATTTCGCTCTCATTGGCGCTATGTTTGCCGGAACGGAGTGTGTAATTGAATCTTATAGAGGAAAAACTGAACTTTTTAATGGTACAGCTAGTGGAGCCATTGTTGGAGGCGTTATCGGTTTCAGAGCGGGGCTTCAAGCAGGTTTATTAGGAGCAGCTGGTTTTGCAGCCTTCAGCGCAGCAATAGATTACTATTTTAGACATTAATCTTGAAAAAATTTTCCAGTAGTAATCAGCACCTTAATCATTTGGAACTTTCGTGAAAATAATCTAATCTTTGTCGATATTTGCCGAATACAAACATTTATTATAATACATGAGACTAATATTTTTTTCTTAAGAAAAAATATAAGATTCTAAACATAACCTATAAACTGGTATATTTTCACACAAAGATGTGATACAACACAGCTTAAAACCTCTTTTAATCAATAGTTTAGCATTCATCTAGATAGGTAGGTAACTGCGCACGCGTGCACACAAATATAGAGCAAATTGCGAACTGAGGTCGGACTAATTTTATCTATACATATTCACTTGGATAAGTAAAATCTATTGAATGATTTTTTTGATATTATGGCCTAAAATATAGGTATAGAGATTGAAGCAGCTTGCCTAGAAAGTACAACTGATCATACGTTTTGTCTTACAGCATATTTACAAACATTTTAGAGTAATATGGTGTCTATGAGAACTCTGCTGTTGGTTGTTTGCCTCCTTTCTTCTGCTGTTGAAATGAAAAAGATTCTTTTTTTACCTTTTTCTTTTACAAGTCATATAATGGAAATGATTCATGTTGCTGATCGGTTGGCAGCCAAAGGTCATGAAATTCATTTCATTATAGCTGATACTTTACCCAATGCTAATAGCCTAAAAAAGCAGTATGCACAGTTTCACTTTCATCATCCTATTAATAAATATGACGACTATTCAAAGCAAGGTGATATGGATAGTGCAGACTTGTTTGAAGCAGTTTTGCGTATAACACCAATCCAAGATATGCAACATAACTACGTTGGCTATGAAGAATTATGCTGGAATGCTCTCGAAGATGATATTCTATTTAAAAAGCTGCTCAACATTAAATTTGACTATGCTATTGTTGACTATTTTATGATGGCTCGTTGTCTAGCTGTCATACCTTATAAACTAAATATTCGATTCTCTAATATAGGAACATTTTGGGAGCCGTGGCTCTTTCGAGTTCCGTCTCTTCCATCAACTGTACCCTTTGGCTGGGCGAATCCATATACTGAAAAAATGTCACTCATTGAAAGGTTGCAGAATGCCTGGAGCATGATTGCATTCTCAACTTATCAATTTTACAGAACACCTTACTTGAATGAAAATATGGTAAAAAAGTACGCACCAGAAAAACCAGAAATCTCTTTAACGACCTTACTAAGAAAAGCTGATATATGGTTATTCGATTCAGATGTTGCAATCGATTATGCTAGACCTTATTATCCGAATATGATAGAAATTGGGGGTCTCTCAACTGCGCCGTCTAAACCTTTGCCAACAGATTTGGATGAGTGGATATCATCGGGAGAGAGCGAAGGCTTAGTAATTGTTTCCTTTGGAAGTTTTGCGTCAAGTGTACCCCAAAAGATAAGTGAAAGGCTACTTGACAGTTTCGTTCAACTGCCTCAGTATAAATTTATAATAAGGTTAACTAGTCCGGTGAAACGGATACCAGATAATGTTAAAGTTGTAAGTTGGATGCCTCAAAATGACCTTTTAGGCTGTAATAAAACAGTGCTGTTTATAACTCACTGTGGAGCTAATGGACAATTTGAGTCGTTATATCATGGAGTACCCATGTTGAATTTCCCTATATTTGGTGATCAGCCTTATAATGCTAAAAGGTCTGAATATAAAGGATATAGTAAAACTCTTAGTTTAGAAAAGTTCTCTCCCGAAGAACTTACAAAAACAATAAAAGAAATAATTGGAAATCCATCCTTTAAACAAAAAACTACTTCTGGTTCGAAAGTCTTCAGAAACCGACCCATGATACCAAAAGAAAGGGCTGCATATTGGGTAGAACATGTTATGGATAATGGAGCGGAACATCTAAGATCTTACGCATTAGATATGGAATGGTACAAATTTTTAATGATTGATATGGGATTCGCTGTGTATGCTATGTTTGTCGTTTTCGCATTGTTGACGGCTTGTATGTTAAAGTTATTTCGTTTATCTTAACACTTTAGGTTTTAGATTTATTACGTTACGTTTACTTTTTGGTGAGAAATCGTATTCAATATTTAGTGTGTGTTGATTGCTAATATGATGCTTTTCATCATATTTTTAGAAATTGTAAAGAATTTTAAAATTCAAAATATATAATAATCACGGCAGTTTATAGACAATAAATGGCATTTATCCAGGTATAGAATATAATACGATATTAAATATGGCTTAATTCCGAAAAGGAAATTAGACTAATGAAAATTACCAAGCTTCAAAGAGTTGACACTACAAAAAAAAAATAAACACTAGTAACGAAATTGTCTAAAACAGGAAACATACGAAAAGATCACTTAAATTACAATTATGAATTAGAAAAATCTTGGGTGGGAACAGAAACTCCAGCTTCGTTCAAAGATTGTCTTAATAAAGTATTTTCAGATTTCAGCTCTTCTAGTTGTTGTCTCAATAAATCATGACTTTCAACCATTCTATTGTTGGAGGTTCTTAGCTCTTCTATGTACTCGCAAGCTTTTGCTAAAATTCCACCTTTACTTTGAGTAGACATTTGGGCTTGAGAGGAGAAATCATACAAATTTAGTCATAGACTCGATTGAAAAATTAAGAATACAACTCACTTCCTTTCAAACCGTCCATTGCACAGTCTGGAATTAGCTTTGATAATTGAACAATCCAATTATTTATCTTGTCCCTTCTTCTTCGTTCAACTTCATTATGAGTTGCCCTTCTTCTTTCATCTCGAGATGTTTTGCCAGTATCACCACTTATTGTTCTCGCCTGAATGGATCTACTAAAAGAATTTGAAAATAAATATAAAAACACTGTTAATACCGAAATTATATAGATTCCATTAAGATATTAAAAATAGAAACCTTGGTGCAATTGTTCTAGAGGCTGGGATTACATCTTGTGGATTCATCATCACAAAATAGTGCCCTTGAGGAGTTTGTACTTGAGTCAGGCTGGCAGCTTCTACGGTTTGGCTTTCAGTGTTGCTGCCCGAAACGTAGGCAAATCTGAATGGAAATGTTTTTTGTCATAAAAATAAAGCCTTCTAAAACTTGAAAAACGTAATCAATTGACAGTAGAGTGAATATATATTTCACCTAGTTGTATTTGATGCATCGTCATTGGAGGGTGAATTGTTTGAGCCATTGGAAAAGGCGTTCGATTGCAGTACTTGAGTTCCAAGTATTTGGGACTGGCTACCTTCATTGTCCGATCCAGATCCAATTTGAATAACTCTATAAGTCAGTTGACTGCCAGCTAAAGTGGAAATAGTGTATAATATAAAATAAAGGTTAAATGAAAATAAATAAAAGGAGGGTGGGAGGTGTTTTAAATAAAAGCCATTACCCACCATTACTATCTTCTGTAGTTTCTCCTGTAGAAAAAACAGCATTTTTTTTAAATACAGAGAACTACTAGCGAAGAAACAACAAAAACACTAAGCATGCTGGATAATTTTACAACTACTTATATTTTTCAGAAACATCGGTGAATTTGCTTTGTCTGTGAAAATTGAATAAAATTCACAAACTAAATACTTTTGTACATATATATGTACATATAAAGTATATAAAGTACTTTCTTTTACAATATTTATATACAAATATATACATAACATGTACAGTATTCGGTATTGCTTCTACAACAAAATTTTAACCTGTATTTGTTGCATCTTCTGTTATTTCAACAGCTGCACGATTTTTATATATTTATATATACATTTATATATAAATATATATATTAATAATATCCTTATAAAGAATAGCTTTATATGAAATTCTTACCTAAATCCTGGGAATTTGTTGCTAGTTCTGCAGCATTAGGCTTTGATTCTCTGTGAATATTCATTGTGATATTAAATTAAATATAAAAAATTATATTTCAACTAAGTATTCCCGGCATAATTCTACTTTTACTGGCGAAAGATAGTTGAGCTTATTAAGAGAATAGCTTGATATGACAAATTTAAGCGTTTATATACACTTCTCTCTTTCACAAATTACTCGTTTTCGATTATAGACTGTATTATATACCTAATTAAGTTAATATGATTACAGTACACGTAAGAAATCCTATCAAAAACGTGACTAGATCATGTGACATAGCGCGCCAAAATAAAAATGGCGGAGAAGGAAAAACTAGGCCACTGCTTGTCAGGTAAGGTGAAAAGCGCAAAAACAACGGGATATATCCACGATTTTTACTTACTGAGAGTCTAGACCACTATCTAACATTTCCATAATGAATTTCTAGTTCGTAAATTTACGGCTCAATCGGCTAGTCACGGGAACAAACAGTCAGTCATGTGAGGGTAACATGTGACAAAAATGGCTGACAAGATGAAAAGATTTGGTTATAAACTGTTACAGCTCCATCTAGCGGGAATTTCCAATGACTACAGAATTTTTATCGATTTTTTTTCCTGTATTAAAAGGTTGAAAGAGAATCATAGGCAGGAATAAAGTTTAATTTTTTCTTTTTAAAATTTGTAACTAAAATAAAGGAAAACTAATTAATAACTGTGAAAAAAGAGAAAGAGAGTAAAAAAATTGTTCATATTGTCACGAACGTTATTCAGAAGAGCTGTTTTTTTATCTCGAATACAAAAAAAAAAAAAAAATACGAAACTTATATAAAGCAATAAAAATCTGTCGCACGAGTTATTTCAGTCGAATGAGTTTATATAATAAATACGTAACGTTATCAACAACCCGTTAAAAAAAATTCATCTGAAAGGCAGAGTGAGTTACATTTTTTGTTTCATGTTCTCTTTTTTTAGTCAACATTCTTTCTTCCAATAAACAAAAGATCATATCTGATGAATGATATTTAAAATGTAGATAGGCTTATTCTTTTTAAGGGCTTCTCTTTCTATTAAGAATATTTTTAAATGATAATAGAATCATTCGTACTTGATAAACTTTTTATATAGTTATGAATATACCAGTACGTTTTTTTTGGTTTATAGTAAATAATCTATTTTAGAATACATTTTAATATCGTATTGAAAAAAAAATTAAAAAATTAAACCTGTTCTTTATTCTTAACGGAAAACATTCGAGAATTATTCCGCTTATCTCTCTTTGTTCCATTATTGAGTTACTAACATGTAATAATTTGTTTAATATATGTAATAAAGATAAGTTTTCTTTTAAAGAGTTAAACATTTCATTTATTTTAATAGCTTTTATCGCTAATTTATTTGAGAATTGTTCCATTCTTTTTTCTCTTAAAAAAAGAATAATTTTCTATTAAATTTGTTATTCCATTAGGACAAAGCAAATTTTTCTCTTTCTTTTTTAATACAATTTTACATTATTTCGATGGAAAGTTTAAGGTTTCTTTCTACTTTAAGCGAATGAGAAATAAAGTAGCCAGACTGCGTTCCATACAGTAATATGCATTTAGCATGTTTGCATTAAATCTTGTATTTATTCAAGGGGTAAAATGCTTTTAAAAAAAAAACACCTTATAATGTTAGGCTTGTTGGATTAAAAAAAAGTAACTAATTTTGATTGGTATTGAATTTTTTTAATGTATAATTTGGGGATATTTAATAGCGGAAACGGAAATACAAGGATCCAACGACGCCGTATCAACAAATCAATATAGCGACCGCTTCGGTGCTTAATAGTATAAAGTAGAGAATGGCAGTTAGTTTCAACTAATGTACAAGATGGGGTCGGCTCATACTAAATCTCACCCAACAAGAGGAGTTCCAGTAAATCCTCGAGTCGAATATCAGGATCAACTATCCAAAGATAGTAAAGTGAGTCTTACATTATATTATTGCTTTTAAGATAATCATAACGAGCCTATCTCATAGGGTGCTAGACTACTAGACGCCCCAGTATTAGTAAGATTGCCATTCGGAACAATTCGATATCGTTATGGCGAAAAGAGTAACGAAGTTTTAAAAGATAGAATCGAAAAACCCCACGAAGGAGAAGATCGAATAGGAAAAGAAGGATATTTTTACCATAGTAGACTTAATGATTTCAGTCAATGTTCGTATTTTATTGAGAGGAAATCTGAGTTATATATTCAAACTTGATTTCAAACTTGATACTTTTTTTTACCATAGATGGAAATAAAGAGAAGGAAGATGCTCATAAGTTTTGTTACGTTTACAAAGGACCAAATTCTACAAGTGATAAAAAAGTTCACTACGTTTTTGGTAAGGGTCTTCAAAAGACTAAAGTTGATGAAGATCGGAAGAGAACTGTAATTTTTGATTATAGGAAAGCCGGCCATGTCTATTATATATTAACCTTTACAGATCAGCGTAAGTTTATAGTTTTGGTAGCTTATTGAACATTTCTTATTAAAAGTATCATCATATATAATATCACTAATATTAAATGTATTTAGAATCAGAAGCAAACGACAGCGATGGTGAAGAGTATGATGATGAAATTGAGAGTTTTTATAATGAGAAGCTTATACAGTAATCTCTTTACACTATTCAAATATTTCACTTATCCAATAAGATTATATCAGCTATTTGCCCTTTCAGAATAACCATGAACAAATCACAATCAATTGATAGATTAAAGAGACGTTTAGCTGTAAGGGTTATTAAACCACTGGGCCATATCCATGTTTATCTTGAAAGCTTCGGTGAAGAATTACAGCCGGAAATGAAAATTTCTGATTTACTACCAGCAAACTTACGAAAATTTAACAAAATTCAAATTCGACTTGACGAAAAGTGATATGTTACGTCTTCTCCGAAATTATTCTTCCACAAAGCAAAAACTAATTATTGATACTCAATTAATTAAGGATCTGTTTCTTGTTTTACTCATAAAAGTAACTTCCATTATATATAATTATATATATATATATATACAGTATATATATATTTATATCTTGTTTTCCTTTCTTAATCGTTTGTTTGTTTTTTAATGAGTTTTACTATTTGCTATTTAAATACTAAATACTACAAATCGTTATGCAGTTTACATATGCAGTACAGTACAGTATATACATTTATCATTCTATTAATATCTAAAGCGTATTTCAATTTATAAGGAAGAAAACGTTCGAGAAAGTATATTTGTGTAAGGGTTTTAACACGTTTAACAGTTCAACATTGTTTGATTTTAGTTTAAAAAGCTACTCTACAACTATTCATGTTCAACTTTGAGTAAAGATTTTGGTCGTTTTCATTTCGCTTTGAAATGAAAACAAAAGAAAGTCTTTTAAAAAGTCATAGAGAGGGCGCTTAAGAGAATATTGGTAAATATAAACTTTTACTCTTTCTTTATTATATCAGCAATATTTCCCGCTGCCATTGCAGCGGAATGATAGTAAAGAATCTGCCATAATTACTGCCACTGCATAGAGTTGTCATTCATTGATTGCACTTCAAATGTTACCCGAAGGGTAAAGGATGGTGAAACACAGTGAATAGTTTTGAGAAAATGTATTGAAGGCATAAAGAATATTTGATTTCATTCGATAAGATAAATGTCGAGCTTGTAACAGTTCATGATTCCATTGAGACATCTAGTGATCTTTTGATTGGTTAAAAATATCTATTTGAAGAAAATTCAATTAAATAGAGAGAAATCTTATTTTTGTTTATACTTTTTTCATAAAAGATGTTGTTATTATTGATTTTGTCGACCTTGTCGCAGAAGTTTTATCGTTCAGTATGTAGTATGCCTTTAATATTTTGAGAAATTAACTCTTAAATGTTTATTAACTTTTAAAGGCTTATTGCAATAGCTTACGGAAAACGAATCGCAAGGTTGAATTGTTGGGCAATCTTTCCGTGTAACGTTTCCTTTAACAGCTGAATTAAAAGCGTATATTTTACTATTGTAATTGTTATTTGTTGAAATGAATAGCAGATGATTGTGTAGTTTTAAGCCATTGCCAAAATTTTCAAGCATCTCGTCTCCTTCGAATTTTGAATAATATTTAAAATTTTTTAAAGAATACGACACAACATGACCAGCGTCGTATAATTGAATGGTAAAATTGTTCCATAACTTGCTTTTAACATTTGAATGACTAGCAGAAATAAAGATATAATCGTTATTCATATCCAAATTTATTCCAAACATTGAAAATGTTACATTATTCCAAATATGTCCAAATTGATAAACATTATTACTTGTTACGTAATAGATTATTACTTTACCACTTGCTCTATTAGAGTAAAAACTGTAAATACTTAAAGAAAAGAAGAGAAAACCAACTTACTTTGTAATTGTATTGTGTGCATTTGGTGAACCTACAGCAATCAAATTTCGATTCGAAGATAAAGAATATCCAAACCATTCATAGTCCTGATAGGGGAATAAAATGAAGTATATTATACTAGTATACGCAGTAATATCTATATAAACCTGATTTCCAGTTATTATAGTAAAAAATTGCTTTTGATTTACATCAAGTTCTTTAAAATTGCTCAAGTTTGAATTAGCTTTTAAAACAGCTATAAAACCAACTTGTGACTTATTGTTTATTGTTGAAAAAGGAGCGGATATTATTAGACCAATTAATCCTTTATAATTAAATTTTACCATTTTCCAACCTAAATTACAATAAGTCAATTTGCAGGTTATCGTTGTTGTATTTGGCCAATTCCATAAATATTTACTGCCCCAGAAAATGGTTAATTTTCCCTATAGAAAATAGGAACAATATGTTTATAATTAAACACGAATAAATGAATGAATTATTCAATTATAATCACATAATAATTCAATGAAAAGCGTTTAGATCTCGGAGACGAAACAACTAAATCGTCATAACCATCTTTATTAATATCAATAACAATGATAGAATGACCAAATTCGCTTCCTTCCTCTTTACCGTATATTGTATACATTTTTTCGAAACTATTATGTTGAATTTTATATATTTGAATTGAGCCTACAGGAAGATTATCTCCATAATGAAACAATGGAATACCGACGATTAAGTATAAATTTCCCAGAGTTTTATAGAATATCATATCTCTATTAGTAAGAATATAGAAACGGAAAGGAATAATAATCATAAAACAAAATGGGATAATCAATTTCTTCTTACCTTCCAAAATCTGAATTTGTTTGATTAGAATAGATCGATGTAGATGGAAATATGTTCTTTATTTCATATGACTTTTCCTTTACTATTTCCTTGGTAAATTCGTTTTTTAATAGAATTCGATGTTGAAAAATAATTCCATAAGTTTGTTTAATAATTTTACTAGTTTTTCGATAAAACGTTGAATTTAGAGTGCTTAAAAATTCGTAATAATTGCTATTAACAGTCTTTACTCTTTTAACAGTTTTCGTTGAATTTCGGCAAGAGATAAACAACGGATTATCGGGCATTTTACAAGACCTATTTAGATAGATGATAGATGAAGTGTATCTTTTTCTATAGATGTATTATGTAAACTAACCATTTTCTCTGCTTTAGCAGTAGCGCAAGATCATTCCATATTTTCTTCGTCCAAATTGCCATATCATTGACTCCTCCGATAAAGAAATCGTTAAGGAAAGATGGAAGGAATGGTCCTGTTGCAGTAATTGCTGGATATATCTGGAAATGTTTCTTATTTAAAGGTGAAAAAATAAGAAAACTTTATGTTACCTTTCCTAAAAATTCAGTTTCGGCTAATCTAAAATAATTATTAAAAGTGAATTATATATTTATGAATATTCATTATTAACTAATTACCTTTCAATATACATTTCAAATGAACAGGCAAATATCACTTCAGTATTAATTTTCACTGAATTATAGAGTATTTTATAGATTTCATTCAAATCCTCTAATGGAAGATACCTTTTTTGCGTGAAAACTGATATTTATCTTTCGTACATTGACAAAGAAACGTCTAATCTACTTTAACGTACCACTCAAGAATAGGATTTATGGCTGCTTCCTGATGTCTATAAAGGGCAATTACGTCACCCCCTGCATCGGCAACAGTGTGAGCATTAGCGTAATTACCATCGAAATTGACCATTGACATAGTTCTGATAAATCCATCATTTACACCCAAACTGTGCCATAAAACATCAGCAATCTGATGGCTTAAAACCCCAAAGAGGAATGCAGTTAATTTTTGAAATCTCTATAAAGGAGAAGATACTTCAATTGGTAATATTTCTTATGAAAAGATGAAAATTCATTAAATTTCACTAACAGGCCTACCTCAGTTTTTAAATACGGATCCTTTGTCCAAATATATTCTAAGGATGCGTTTAAAAACGGAGTCCAATGAGTATCCTCAGAGATTTGATGATATTTCCCTAAGAGTATTATTATTGTTGATAAGAATGAAATGGAAAGGGAGCAATATCTTTCTTCTTTTATTAATACCTTTAAAACATATTCCAGAGTAAAACGTATCTGGAAACGTTAGACCGCACTCGAATGAACTTTTATGCCTTTTTATTATCTAAAATAAACAAGAATTTAATCAAAAATGCCAAAGATATGTTTATTTATTTATTAACTGACATTGTGAAATCTCGCTTCGTTTCCTCCAAAATAGTTAAGAGCCTGATATCCTTAATTTAAATAAACTATGATAGGTTAACGAATATTTTCTTTTATTCATAACTTACCTATTTCTGTATGTAAGATTGATCCACATCCAAAAGCGTTGCTTATACTGAGTGATAATACAAGAATCGAAACAAGCATTATTGAACTTTTGTTTAAATAGTAGTTTTATAATAAATGTCTATCTGTTGCTTGACAGTTATGTTATATTTTCCTATATAACATTTTAGACTATTTATCAACAACAATATATTTGTCAAATTACGATAAAATCAAAAAAAAGGTATACAGCTGAAAACAGATTGAGCATATGCGGTGTCCACAAAGTTTCGCAAGTGTTTGAACGAATTTTGGAAAAGGTTAGTAGGAAGAAAGTGTGAATGCTACTTGCATTGTCATATCTACGTTCTAATAGCTCTTTTATTCTACATTTAGCACCCTGATTTAAGAGAGACAGAGAGAGAAACAGAGCGAGAGAGAGAGAGAGAGGTAGACTTTTAAAGAAAACAATCCATCTTGTCGGATTGGTTCTGGTCCTTACGGAGATAATAACCGACACTTATCAAGAATATAAGTTATGCATTCTAATGTATATGTCTACGGAAGATTTACCGCTAATAAATAACTGAAAAACCTTCATCCTATCCATCTTGTTGGGATTAAATCCATGATTTATACATTCGTAAACTAATCTTAGTACTTGTACTAAATTGCAAAGCCGTGTGTATTTTGAAGAAATGTTTGATATTTATTAATTTATTAATATGATAGAAGATTCTTTTCAATTATCATATTTCCGTAATCTAATTCCTTATCTTGGATGTTTCTATTGGACTTTAAACGATTTAAATTCATCGGTTGACCACATTTCAAGATTCTTTTGACCATTTCTATACAATCGTCTACTTTCTGGGAAAGCTACTTTTAAAGCCAAGAATAGCGGCAATACCATATTTTGAAAGAAGAATATTTGACCTTTATAAACCGGAGAATCCCTTTTATAAATGTCTAGAACTGGCTTCCCTTCCTTCCTTTCTTTATCACCTTGATCGTAAAACTCTTTTAGAACTAGACAAGCGGCTTCTCGAGCGTTTTCAAAATCCTTCACTTGATCTGATAAATCGGCGCACGAAATTATAAGATCCATAATTAGAGCGTCGTTATCTCTATAAAATGAGTTGATGTGATCTTGCTCCTTTACATTGTCCGATAGCTCTTTGAATATGCTAATATGATCTTTAAATTTGTCCATACTTGCGTCGGTTGTTAATAGAAGACGCTTTATTTTACTCAATTTCTTTCCCATACTAGTTTTTAGGCTCTTTAGAATTTCACAACCTTCTCTTCCCAGAACGTTCTCCGTAACGTAGAAATGGTGTCGCTCTTGAACGCTGTCCTTGACACTAGCCCTCGAAACGATTGATCCGTGTTCCCTGCCCTTGTAAATTGAAAGAGGGAATGGGTTAATTCAATAACTTATTTAAGGGAAGGATAAAAGGTACCCACTCTTTGTTCCATAAGATAAGGGTTAGTCAATGCTCGGTGATCGACGTCGTGGCAAATTGCAGCAATTAATAGAATACAGCAATTCGTATCCCTAGAAATGGTGAAAAAAATAAGAGATTTTGTCATTTTTAACAAGAATAGAACTAAACTACCCAATTCGTCCAATTAAATCCAGGTTCTTTATTGCAACATAACAAAAATGAGCTGTTGCAAATGCGTGAGTCCAATTATGATAATGATTCTTTCTATAGGAATACTTTATAGTTATAATAAACCTTGCTAACTCTTCTTCATTTATCATATTTAAGAAGCCTAAATCGTCAAACATTTTCATGCAAGCTAAAGGTATCTTTGCTTTTTCCACGTTTCTTGGACAATAAGTCAATTCGTCGAAACGCGAAGAGAATCTTCTTCTCGAGCTTGTCTTGTACTCTTCAAATTGGCTGATGAGATCTTCGACCTTTGACTCTTTCGCAACGGGAGCATATTTCTCGTAACTTCTTCTTAGTCTGTCGGACGACATCTTCAACCCCAACTAGATTGATTAATTATAACATTGCTCTATTTATAGTCGACACTACTCAACTCTTTTAATTAATACTATTAATTATAATTACTCAGTATCTTGTAATATATGAACTTGCATCTACATTTACAGGGTTTCGTTTCATATGTTGAAGTTGTGTATATTAGTCTAAAGTATTGCTGTTCTGTTCCGTTCCGTTCTCCCTTCCCCCCTCCCTGCCCTCAACTTCCCCCTTTCTCTCACAATCATTTCCCTTCTTACGAAATTTTTGTACTGTAAAACAATATTATGCTGTTTATAGGATAAAAACAGCATAAAAACGAAAAGAGAAATGTACTCCTAATCTTTTTTAGCTTTAGATATGTCATCAATACCGTCGGTACTCAAAAAAAAAATCCAGGTAAAGTAGCTTAGAGGTATAATCATATTATATAGAATTAATACATTTGATTCTAAAGAGAGAGAGAGAGAGAGAGAGAGGGAAAGAGAAATGATGGGAGAAGTGTACGAAAAATGATGTACTGTATATATAGTTTATTGGATATTGTATTTGAATAGAAGCATATGTAACTGTATTTACACATTCTCAGCATAAAACATCAATGAAAACTATTGAAATATTGAACATATTAACAAAAGTAAAAATATAAGAGAAAAAGATGCTTATTACGCAAGCTTTTTATGCTGAGAATTTATACAAGAACAAATACAATCTATATAAATGCTGCTGTTTTATACTAATGTATATTCAGTATATTGTATACAAGCAGAAGAAACCTTTTGTAAGATAGAGGGCGCTCTATTAATACTCGTTATATTTGATTGTTGATTCAGTTAGTTATGCAAATAGTTATTTAGTAAATGTTAAAGGTATTTAACAAGACTTTAAATCATCTTTGAGGGAATGAATTGCAATGAACTAGTTAATAGACGTACTGTACAATATATACACATATACAGTATGTTAGAGACAGATGAGACTATAATAGGATAATGTCGATTTGCAAACAAATTTAACTAATAAAAACACAGTAAATTGAATAGGGTTTGTCATGTGTAAAAGTGAAATTAGAATTGAACTAAGTGTAAAAGATCAAACGGACTAGATTCATTGACATACAACAATAACATCGAATTTCAACCAGGAGAATAATTCTCGCTTTCTTTTTTATTCGGCAGTGTCAATTGAAGATTGAAACTTGTATATAGCGTATATGCTGTTATTTTACTCTATACATTAGATTTTTCTTTATATTCTTCTCTTCTTTTCTCCAGTCTGATGTGGTTTATCCTTTGGGAAATGAAAAGCGGAGCCGTCATATTCAAGGGTTAATTAATTAAGAACAATAGGGAGGCGAGTAGGAGGGAAGGGAGGAGGTGAGGGTAAATGGGTAAATATAACGCAGAGATTTCCCTTTCAACTAGTGCCGCATTTATTCTTATGACGTAAAAAGAACTATCAAGGTCATCTAAAAGTAAATTTACACAAACTCTTTAGTCGTGCAATCGAATTTAATATATATAGTTTTTTCGAATAATCGACATTTTCGCAAGAAAACATACGAACAATAGAAAAATGTAAATGAGCCATCTGCCATACATTGGTATCGTCGCTTTACTTAGATTTACATAAAAATACTCCTAGACAACGATTCACTCATTACGTAATAGACAAATGTTAAAAATAACAACTACTATTCTATTTCAAAAGTAACGGAAATAGCAGGAAATGTATGAACAATGAATACATAAGTACACAAATATAGCATACGCATACAGATACGAATATACATCAAAGGAATAGAAGACTACAAGTTAAAGCTGTCATTTAGGCCTAATTTTCTCTTTTATTTAAAAAGAGAAACAAAAAGAAAAAAGTATAAAACAATCTTTTCTCTTTTTTCCTCTAACGTGTTGGAAAATTTTATTGATTAACGATAATGGAGGATTTTTTGTTGTTTTTTTTTTATAGATAAAAGTTCACTTTAAGCATATAACCCTACAATTTATCATTAACCTACAATAACTGTTTATATACAGAATATGAATAGTTTGTAAATAAGATAGTCCTATATAATGTAGAGAAATAGAAAGAGAGAAAGAGAGAGAGAGAGAGAGATATGGATAAAACATAAAAAATAATTATGAAGTATTTCATCAATATTAATGTTTATTTATTGATATAGTAATATACAATTATCATTTAAATTCTCTTATTCAAGTATTTAGAACGAAAAAAAAAAACAAACAAACAAATAATAAAAAAAACAAACAAAAAACAAACATTTTCTTTTTTGACGTTTAATATAAAATACATTTAAATACATATATTCACTAAATTGTCATGAACAAAGTAGGCCAACGTTTTATTTGATTAATTTAAGTAATTAACGTAATAAATATGATAAATTATCCATAAATTAGTAAAGATAATACATGTATATATACAATATAGATTATACAATATTATTCAATTAAATGATTAGTCGATTCGTCAATAATACTTATTAATATTCAAACAAACTTCATTCAAGTTTCATCTTAAGAAACTACAAAGTTAAAAGGTCGGAAGAGAAGAGGAAACGATAGAGTGAGAGAAAACTATATAATCATTGTTCAACGTTACATCAAATATTCAAATAACAAAAAAATAACGGGAAGAAGATTTACTAAATTGCTGTGTACCAGTTTTTAATGCTGTGTTTTCTCAATTTTATTTGAGCAAGCGTCTATTCAATATTTGTGTTTTTCGGCAAAGCCGTCTAGAGGAGAGAGACTTATGCGTCTGTTTAACTTAGTTTTTCATTTAACGATTTCTATATACAGTACAGACTGTAATATGGAAATTGTTTACGTGTTCAATCTGAATGGGCCTATGTATTTATTGCAAATTTTTAAAATCTTCTATCGGCCCCCCTCTGCCCCCCCCCGCCGTCGTCAGTTTGCCAATGTTTATTATTTTAAAAAGAATGATAGTTAGTTTATAGGCGTATCTATGCTATTCAAGTACAACGACCATGTGTGGTATCGATAGACTGTCGTCAATTTGTTCTTCTTATTTACTTCGAAAAAATAGACGAATGATTATTAGAACTATATAAATAGAATAAAAAATTTATACTTGTACCCTCTTTCTTTCTTTCTTCCCCTTCTTCTTCTTCTTCCTCTCTCTCTCTCCGTAAAGAAAGAGGAGGAAGGAAAGAAAAAAAGTATACAAACACCCAGTTACCCAGATAACATTCAGTTAGCTCACGGTAAAGTAATGGATTTAATGTTATTTTCGTTTCATTTAGAAGAAAAATCTATAATTTTCCTTCTAATTATAAAAGCTTTTGTTAATAGTTTTACTTTTCGTAATTTATATTTCCATAGAGACCTTAAATGACGTCATATGGTGTTGAAATACATGTAAATGTACGATCGTTACGATGGTACTTAATAGCGTTTGTTTGCATAAAATGCTCGTTTAGACGAATATTAAACTTTCTCATATCCCTTTGAATGTATAAACCAATTTCTGAATGGCTGGGAAATGATAGAGATATACTGATAAATTGATTGTCTATATTTTGTATAAAGAATTCAAAGAATTTTAGAAATTTTTTGTCAAGACAAACTAAAATAAATTTAGAAAAATGTCCAGATGTTCCTCCTAATATTTCTATTTATGCTAAATTAATACTCTTAGAATGAAATGAACCTTATCAATAGTAAAAATGTCATTAAGTATGACGAAAGAGTAGAGGAATTCCCTTAGGTACTCTATTAAAGTTCGATTGTAACGTATACATAAGTGTACATTTAGTGCATTAACCGTTAGTTTTTGTCAGTTAATATGTCTATCTATCTAACTGTCTGTCTATCTATTTCTCTCTCTCTCTCTCTGAATACGAATAAAGAAAAGGATAGATTATCAGTATATCTTTCTTTATGTATAGTTGAAAAGAAGAATTAAAAAGACTGAACGAACATAAAAAAAGCGATACAACTTATCTATAAGAGACTATTAATAACGTTTTAATGGATGAAATATATCCAAAATGCCTACCATTAATCGAAATCTGATAAAACTTTTACCTTGAATACTCTTTACTAATCTTTTCTTTTTAATCTTTAATTCCTTAAGGAAAATAAAAAGAAAATGGAGAAGGAAGAGTAAATGATTGGAGAAAGGGTGAAAAATAAGTATTTTGCTTTTTCGCCCTTCTACTGCTCTAACGTTCTTCCCTCTTTGTATAAGAGATAATCTTTGTTTGAGACGGTTTTAGTTAAAAGAAAAATATTTTAAATAGAGATTTTTCTTTTCTTTCAGAAAGAAAAGGAAATTTTGGGAAAATATAAAAAATTCTCTCACCTTAATTTGCTTATAAGAAAAATATAGTGAATATTGAAGAAGCTTAACAATTACACGATAAGAGACTGCAGACATTTAACATATATATTTTCTTCTTGTTGTAAGATATTTTATTTTCTCTTCCTCTTCTTCTTACAAGTCCGTTTCGCTCGCCCCTTTTGTAGCTTTTAGCAGACTAACTGTCAATAGATCCAGCTTACCCTGATAATCTTTCATCATGCCCGTTAAATCTTTAACAATAGCCTCTTGCAGCATTTGCAACTGATATTGACATTTGACCGCGTACTCCATAGCCTCTTGCTCGCTCTCTTTTGTCTCCTTTCTGTATAAATCATTGATTTTCTCATCCAAATAAGCTTTTCTCTCTAGTAGTCTTTGGTCTAAACGATAGCATCGGTGTGATAAAAGATCTTCGTAAACACACTTTGCTTGGGTTAATGTTTTCCAAGATTCTTCCGAAAGATGATTATTTAATCCGGGATTTATGTGTAAAGTATACGGTTGCGCTTGTATAGTATCGTTGCTGTGGCAACTCTTTTCAACCGCCTTTGCACTGTCAACTTTCGGTGGAAGACCATTGAAAATTTTATCAATATCATCTTTCGATTTCTCATTTTCAGGCAAGGTAAATTTCACCCTGGATGCGCTCATACTCTTCCCTTTTTTTAAGTTTATTTGTTAAACTATATAAAGTTACTGCTGCAATCTCTCCTTATCCAGTCTCTATTAAACAACTTTAGTATATTGAATTCTTTAACCTGGGGAATAGAAAAGAGAATAAGAAAATATTAAAACTTTAAAAAATATAATTAGATTATTAAAAAGGTACTTTTTTAACATTTGCCTAGAAATTTCAATGATATCATTATCTTTGCCCTAATGTTGAAAACGTTGTTATCAGATTACAAAGATCAAACAAACAGTCAGAAAGACGGACAGACAGACAAGGAAATTGAGAAAAATCATTCAAATCAATATATAAAAAGGGGAAATTGAAGTTCTGCCTAAGAAGTTTTAACTCTTATTAAAAAGCGAATTAGTCTAGTTAATGAAAGATTTTCTCTACTTTTTCCCCCTTTTTACTTCTCTCTCTCTCTCTCTCTCTCTCTCTCTATCATTCTTCTCCTTCTTCTTTTTCTTATTTCATTGCTATCTCACATAGGTTTAAATGCATAAAAAACCAAGTTTCAATAAATAAAAGACTAGTAAAACTTGTAAAGTTTTATATAAAAAGATATAAAGAATTTTATAAGGGAGAGGTTGTTTTCGTTTAGTAATAATGCAATTAGGCCTATTGTGAATAGGAGAAGATGATCCATTTCTTCTATTCTTGTGTATATTTTAAAAGAGAAAATTGATAGAGATATTCTTTAAGGAGGAGAAGAAAAAAAATAAATAAACTATTAAACATTATAATTTAAATTTGACCTCGTTTTTGTCTACTTTTGTTACTTTTTATCTAGTTTTTCTTTTTTTTTATTCAATTCACTAATTCAATTCTATTGAATAAAACTAAAAAATCTAATATCGAGTATCGTGTGAATCATTATATAAGAGTATTCAAATAGGAGTGATCAAATAACAGCGTGTAACTTCCAGGCCTATAAATCATTCCCATATATGTCCATGAAAATGGAACATAATAATGATTCACAATGATTAGTTTTTAGTTGATTTAATTAGTGTTTAGTGCAAAGATTATTAAGATATTTGCCAATAGAGGCGGATGAGAAAGAAAAGGAGAGAGAGAGAGAGAGAGAGAGAGACAGCTTATAGACAATTTTTCAGATATGTTAAATATTTTACAAACAAAATTTAGTATTAAATTACCAAACAAAATAAAAAAAAATTATTATAGGCCTATTAGAAGTGTTATAGATTAGAAAGATCTTTTTTTTACGGTATTTTTCCCCTTTGATAAATTTTAAAAGTAAGACGCAAATATAAATGATCAATAACCGAATCATACCGATCGATGAGATGACTAAGTGAGCTTTAAATTATTCAACATGACAAACCAGACTATATTTACTTTATCTAAATAACAGTTGTATGATAGAAGAGTGACAAATTTTTAAAATTCTGTTGAGAATAGGAAGAGAAAAGAAATCTCTTCATTTTTTTCCCATACTCATTATTTATCTTTTCTGTCCCTCTCTCTTTCTCCTTCCCTCCCCTCTCTCTCTCACTCTTTTCTCTCCACATTGTAAAAGAGGAGAATGGAATTATCGTGAAAACTAGGAATTTCATTCAATAACTTTGTTTATTCTATTCAACCTACTTTTGTTTACTTATTTTTTTTAAACGATATAGGCTTTGTAGGATGAGAATTTAAAACCTAAGATACAGCTCTCTCTCTCCGTCTCTTCTTCCCTTCGTTTTCAAAACTACACAAAGCGAAGAAACTAGAGAGAGGCGGAGGAGATAATAATGCCACTGGAAAAGAGAGATAATCTCATTCGCATATGCTTATATCCAGGCTTAACAGATTGTAGACGGATTAGTTTAGTAGACTGATAATTTTAACACGATTGTATGACATGTTAGATAGATATAAATATTTGAACTATTTCATGTATTTTAATATTCTATTGCGCAATACAAAATAGATAGGGGAGGGAATGGAAGACATTGCTCCAAAGTGTAATAAAATTCCTTTAATGAAGGCCGCTCTAAAAGTTTTGTCTACTTCTTCACCTCTTTTGTTAAATCTTTCATACCAGAAAAAAAGGAGAAAAAACGTTAATTGATGCTTTAAAATGAATAAAGTAACATTTTTTTTTAAATCACGTAATTATCAGTCCATTTTATTACGTAATAGTTAATTTAATTGCTTAGCGGAAGAGAGGGAAAGAAAGTAGGAATGAGGAAGAGAAGAGTGTAAAAAAAGAAGAATAATAATATCTAGGATAATTTTAAAAAATAAATAATGCTTAAACTAGTGTAAATACTAGAAATCATAGTTTTTATTCAAAGTGGAGATAAGATAGATAGTTGTGAGAGGAAAGATAAAAATATATATCCCTTACCTGATAACGGTTATCTCCCTTGTCAATAGAGTTATAGTATTATATTTAAAAAAAGACTTCAATGTAATTAATACGTAGAAATAGAGTTTGATGCTTTCCAAATAAAAATTGGATCTTTTTAAAACTCTATCGTCTCTTCTTGCTTTGGAATTTTCTTTATCGTTCCCTTCTCCGTGAGTGTAATGTCTCTCTCACGCGCGCGCGCTGGTATAACTTTAGCACTTAATGGTAGAAGGCGCTGGCAGTCTGAAATCGTATTTGGCAAAGTGAGTCATTAGCATAATCAAACATACAATATACAGTATATATATATATATATATATATATTTATATTAGTACGGTTATCAGTAGCGGAATAAAAGTTAGTTCAAGTGGAACTGTTTTCGCGCCATTTATAAATCGCTGTATATTGAACAATTGGTATCTTATTCTATGTCTAATTTTCCACCTTTATAATAGACTTTCAGCCTATTTATTGTTGATTTGTATGATACGTTTGAAAGAGGAAAGAACGGTTTTATAGATTTATTATTCGCAGTTTATATTCTATTCTTTAAAAAACGATAATAAGTGCTTAATTTCACGGTTCCTTCCATTATAATGGGGTGAGTGGAAAATTAAAGCTTTACGCTTCTTTACCCTTTTTAAACTACCAAACTCGCTACAATAGATACGTCTCTTTTTTAATTGGAATAAAGCGTAGAGCTTCGGTACTTGATTAATAATTGATTAATTGAAATCCCTCCTTTGAAAGTGAGAGATTATCCTAAGATAACTTTTTTTAAGCATTAAGAACAAATGAGATAAGGGAGAACAGCAGATAGAACGGGAATAAATAAAGATATAATTGATCTATCTATACAAGACATTAATGAATAATAAAGAACAAATTATCAATAGCTTTTGTATAGATAAAAAATCTTTCGTAAAGCGATATTTATAGACTTCTTTCCCTAATTAAGATAGTTAATTAGAGTATTAAGTGACGGTAATAAGAAACATACGCCTAGAAAAATAAGGCTAAATAATTTTCAGACTTTTCTTACACGCAAATCCCAGTTAATTAGGTATGGAAAATTGTATACAACCATCATATTTGCTGGCAAACAAACGATGATTACGTAATTAATTTATAGACAACTTCATTACTATCCCATTGTCTCTAATGAGGGTAAAGTTTGTCATAAATCTATTTTTCCTTTGCCATTTATCCGCTATAATCCTTAAGAGAAACATAAAGAGGGATAAGGGGAAGTAGATGTGCAAGTAGGAATTATTCGTTACTTTGTTGCTATTAAGGAGGATTAAAATAATAGATGATAACCGTTCTTCTCTGATCCGTAATTGATTAGAGAAAGGATTAAAGAAGCAAACCATCATCTAAAGTGTTGAAGAATGATATTTAACGTCTTTCAAATAGTAAATAATTGAAAAATAACAATCATAAATCGATTTTCAATCATCACGATTGAATTTCATCATTCTGTCACTCTCACGAAAAAGTTCAAAAGGTCAACATTTTGATTGATCTCGTTTTAAAAATAATTGTCAACCGCGAACCGTTGAATAGTTTGTTGTGGTAAAAAAAGGAAAAAAATTCGAAACTTGGACAAAAGGCTGCAAAGAATCAGCATTTGATTGTCAAGTGGAATATTGGACTTGGGGGCGAATCGACACCTAGTCCTCTTCCTTCGACGAGATTCAAGAATGCGTTATAACCAATTGTTCAATTACGTAATAGTCACTCGAATCCGTCGCGTTCTTAGCTCTTCAGGCGATGTAGTTTGTTGGACAAAGAGAGCTTTTTCTGAAAACGCTCGTTAAGGGCTATTTTGTTGGGATTTATTGATACTGCCAAGAAATTTTCAAGTACGACCATCTGGTATGTTCTTTCAATGTTTCCTTCGGACAATTGAATATAGAAACAAGTCGGGGAAGGGGTGACGGCGATGAACATGTCAAATTAAACAAAGAATGCCACCTAGCGGATTTAACGAGAAATAATCATTTGTTAAGTTGAGGAAGAAGGGTTGAAAAAAGGGATTACCCTTAATAAAGAAGAATTTTCTGATAAGTTGTAACTAAGCGAATATGAATTTGTCGCAATTATTTATGATATTTAATACTGTAAAACCTAGAAAGATTGAATATAACGCCAATTGTAAATAGAATAAATAAATATACAAAAGTCTTAACTGCAACTTTTCACCAATAACCAATAGAATAGAGAAAAGCTAGATTACAATAACAAAAATAACACTTCCGGTATTAAAAAGAAACATATTAGTATCAATAAAATAAATAATAACAACAGTAATAATAATAATAATATATAGGCCTATATGCTGTATATATGTAATATATACTCTTTAAATACTACTGTTTCGGAATAAAGATGTGATGTATTCAATTTAAAAATACTTCTATTTTATTAGAATAATAAAGATTCAATCCAAAAAGAAAACAAAGTAAGAAAGAAGAGAGATTAGGGTCAAAATTAGAGGAAGACTTACTTTAGGGTTAATTTGGTTTTACTACTAGGCCTAGTCAGCTTTTTAGCCGTTCCATTTTCAGTAGGTGTAGTTTGAATCCCCTTATCTTTAATCGCCTTTTTAAGTTCGTCTAGTTCCAATTGTTTCTTTCTAACTTCTTCTTGAATTGTTGACAGTTTAACGGTTTTTTCGGACAATTCACTCTTTAATTGTGTCATTTTATCATTAATTTCTCTGCTTGAATCTTCCAAATCCCATTTCGATTTTGTTGTTTGTTTTAATTGTTTTTCCTTTTCGATTAATTCATTATTCAACTTTTTCACCTTTTCCTCCTGATCCTTGAACTCTTGGTTTAAAGTATCGTATAAAGAAGAGGTATCCAACGGCAACTGCAATTTAATTATAAATGAAAAAATGACGTTATTTCTTATTAAGGAGAAGAAAGAAGAGAAGATAAAAAAACAGCCCATCCACAAAACAAAAGCACTACTAAACCTACTTTCAAGGCTTTTAAGCATCTTTCTCTGTCTTCGCTTAGTATGCTCTTTTCGACGAGGGTAGCGCTAAATTTTTTGAGTATGTATTGTACTTCTCGCCTGATTACAGGAAGATTATCACCGTCCTCTAAAAAAGGAAAGTAAGAGAAAAATTGGTTTATAATTACTAATATAGGCTTAAGAAAGTGTAATTTATAAGATTTTTTTACCTGTAGGAGCATTCAATAACTGCGTAGTTGTTTCCATGTCATGGGCGTTATTTGATAGCTTATCTTTATTGTCTTTAATATATTTGGATAAAGTTTTAGCAATTTCTATTTCTTTAGCTTTCCTGTGTTTCTCTAAATTCTGTTGATGTTCCAACTCGTCCCTGAGTTCCTTTAGGAAAGTTTAACGTTAGTCTAAAGAAGATTTTATAAATGCAGAGAAAGAGAAAATTCACATTATTACTTTTAATTCCGTTCTCCATTCTTCTTTAGAGATTTGAATTTTTAAGGCAATCATATCTTGAATTTCCTTCTTTTCTAATTCGGATAATCGTCTACTAGTTCCAAATTTTCTGGACAAGAATAAATAAAAAATGGGTGGAACTAAGAGTTTTAAAGGTAGGTTTTTCTCTTTTACCTGTGGACAAGCATCGCCGCCTCTTTAACAACATCAGGATCAATTACTAAATTTCCTCTTTCGGTTTTTAAATCCGATTGTAAATCTTTAGCTAACCATGGAAATGATCTTGTTAAAGCCATACATAATTGTTCAAAAAGTCCAGATTTTGAACAAGAAGTAATCATATCAAAAAATTTCATAACTTTTGAATTTTGAGTTCTTTCATTCTATAAGAAGAGAAAAAGACAAAGTAAAAATATACATATAATATATAATGTAATGATATCAATTAACCATAATTGCTGTACATTCTTCACTATTGAATATTTCATGACTTTTAATTGAATCTAAAAATGTACAATTTATTTCAACATTTTCAACAAAAAGCGATCTTTTTTTCTTAAAGACTCTTAATTCTAAGTCGTCCATAATTCTTCAGTAGAGAGGAATTTTTCCCTTTCCCTTTTCAAACGTCAACTGCATTTTTTTGCCGAATAATACATATATTTATATCTAACTAATGACAGTACTTACTTTTTATATAAATAATCGAATGAAAAGAAAGTTTTATAGCAAGTCATAACAAGTTGTATACAAATCAAAGAAAATGCCTCTATTCTCCCTCTTCTTCTTGTTCTTTTTTTTTTCCTTTAATAAAAGTTAGGCCTACTTTAAATAGAAAATACTAGAATCGTATATATATACATACAGGATATATACATAGTTTAAGAAATAACTAAGGCTATTTAACATAATTATTCACATAATTCATAATTTTCTTATTTTTAATTATATTCACCTTTTATTGGAGTTATTCAGCCTATTTTATGTTAGTTATTTTTAGTACTTCCTATTAAGATTAAGGTTATCCTTGACTCTACTACCCTGGAATATATTATATATTTATATATAATATGTATGCACTTGGTAGGGAAAATGAATCTTTGTCACGTCATACTTCATAAAACTGCCGATACAATTTATCCTCCAGGTATCAATTTCGTTTAAGGTATTAGTTATTACGTCAAATACATCATTATCCCTTACGATTATGCAATTAAAGAGTAGAGACACTCTTGGCAGTCTGTCAGTTACAACTTTTATGCTAATTAATATAAGTAGTTGAAAATTCGTTTAGATAAGAATTTAGCTAAAATTTCCGGACTAGAATATTTTCTCTAGAAATTCCATACATACTTAATTTTTCGTTATCAGGCTTTTAAATTATCTACTCTCGGTTTATTCGTAAAAAAACAGAAATAAACCTGGACGTTAAATACTTTAGCACAGTAGTTTGGTAAAAAAAAAAGAGGAAAAGAACAATTGATGCATAATAATTTACATTCATTGATAATCCAAACTTCTAGGAATTCAATAACGGTCTTGAATTTTATCTCTAATAATAAACAACAAAACAATTGTGTCATTTTTAAATGTATGTAACATATATATATATCTTTTTATGTAATATATATATATATATATATATATATATATCAATTCAATGTCTTCACAAAATGGAATAAGAGACGATTGCGAATAAAATCCATCAAGCTAAAATTATGATAATTTAATCTTAAGAAATTCGGATCATATTCGCTACTTCTTTGAGAGGGAGAGAGAAAAAACAAGATATCTAATGATTGAAATAAATTATGAGTTAGAGTTAAAAATTGTGGAAAAATAAGCACTTGTAGAAAAAAAACTGCACGATCTTCTTCAAGTCAAATAATCTGCTTATTTAATTTTATAGACAAAATCACTGTCAGAATCAAATCGATTTGATGTTTTCCTTCGCCCTTCTTTTGCAGAATTGTTTACATTCTGAGATTGTTTCACTCTGGAATCTGTAGCTACAGACTGTAAAAAAAAACAGAAAATGGTTGAATTATTTGTCTGTTAGAATAAGATAATAGAGAATAAAGACTTTACGAAACTTACGTATTTTGCTTTAACTCTCTTTGGTAATTCTTCACCCTCAATATAAATATCAGATCTCTTCACTGTTCTTTCTGAACCGTCTTCGAATTCAATCTAAAGATATATACATATATATATATATATAAATTAGTCTATTAACAGCTATTTATTTAGCTTATTTGGAGAAATTTCTCCAATTTTTACCTTACCTGATAAACATAGTGCATATTAATGCCATCAAAAGTTCCGCCGTATACTCGACCATCTGTCCATTTGACTTTAACTCTCTCCCCTCTCTCAGGATTCTGATTATCTTGTAGATCAGGTTCAATGAAATCTTCCCTGTACAAATTATTAGATTTGGTCCCATCGTCGAAATTACAAACATAAAAGGTTATTAGCTTTGAACTAACAACCTTTCCTCTGTAAAATCTGGAATTTTTATGTTTTGCAATAACCAAAGTACCATCGACAATCGTTGATAAAAGGGTGGGTTGACGTTTATCCCGAGGACGTTGACCTCTATGTCTGGCACAAACTGCATAGACTGGGTAGGGGACTTCTCTCCTTGTAAATGGTACGTTGGCTGCTAGAGCGCATGAGACGTGGAAGGCAGTAATACATCTTCCAGCTGTGCATTGCACACAAGCTCCACCAGTAAGTTCTGAGATGCAATTTTTGTTGACGGCACTGCAATATTGACAACGGAGTTTTTTGCGAGCATTAGTCACATAAGTATAATCGATGACTTTGCGGTAGGATGGCTCAGTAAATCGGACGTCTGGCAAAGCAAGCGCACATATAGAATGACACCAACAACCTTGGGTCGTCAACTGCAGAGCTCCACCCCTCAAAGGACAGGCGCAACATTCAGCACTGAGATCTTGTCTTGAACATCTTGCACATTGCCAGCCTGCAGTCTTTCTTTCGGGAGCTCTGTTAATTTGTTTTAATTATACGTTAGAATTTTTTCCTTTTCTTAGAATTAGACCTTACCCGTAACACCAAGCATGAACACAAACTCGACAAGTGTCGCATACAAGTAAACAGCTGTCCTCAACATCATCTTTATGTCGCTCCATACTACCTTTTTTTCTCCAAAATCTTTCTTTTACTAACACTTGTCCACGATCAGGAACAGATGAAACTGATTCAGTATCAACTTCAGCGCGGAATAATTGACAAATGGCACAGTGGGGTGCTTTCAATGACATTTGTTCATTAAAATCTCTTTCTAAGTCAAAATTTCCAGGTTGGAATGTCCAAAGATTATGGCGATAGTAATAATTTGCCCATTCGGGTACGGACGAATTGACAGAGATCGGAGAACTCGAAGTTGAAGAGGACGAAGTAAGAGATCCGTTGAGAATTGAACCTTTAAATATATGTTAAAAATGCTTAATAAAATAAAATTATTGAATAGAAATAAATACACTTACTGTCTGAATCATTTGCCTTTCGAGTTCCACTCGAACGTTTCTTCTTTATGGAAGTCTTTCTTCCTTTTATATTAGTAGATAGATTATCACTAACGTCAGATTCTGTCGATTTTCTCTTCTTAATGAGGGGTTGCCTCTACAAAATTAAATTAGAATTTTTAGTTAAAATTAATAAATGATAACCATTTATGATTATCTTTAATGAGAATGACTGAAGAATTTTTTTATAGATGAATATAATTTATAATGTATCCCGTGTTTATTTTTGAAAAGAGGGGTATAAAACATTTGTATAAAAACAACAAAAAAATTGGAATCTAAGGGAGACTTTTAAGTACTTGGTATCTTTGTATATACATATATGTATATATATATACTGTATAGATAGATAGGTAAAAAAAAGTTCACTATTTTACGTTTACGATAGTTATGAGAAATAAAATTAAAGCTAACTTTAGGACAAAATATAAACGATAATGATAACGTTGGAAAAGTTCATCAACTTTTTTAAACAATCTTTGACTTCACGTGAAATATAGTTTCGTCTATCTACTTTCCTTTCTCTATTTGTAAAATCAAGCCAGAAAGGAATCTTAAAACAGTTATTCTAATTCAAGAAACTATGAACATATACTATATATATATGTATGTATGTGTATATAAATATATACATATATACCAATAAAGATATGCTCATGGTTGTGATTTATATAGATGTATATATATATGTATGTAATTATATTTATATATGTAGTAATGATTTAGCCGTATAAAGACCGACTTACATTCTTCACTGAATTCGCATTTGAAGACACGTGGTCCATTAAAGCCTTACAAATATCTTTATTGTCATTAGGTTGCTGACTAGGATCCAAAGCCATACTAGCATGATCGTTTGTGGCATTTCCTATAGCCTCTTTTTGAGCGGCATGCTGGGCAAGAGAAGCTAAGAGAGTAGCTGTCTCTAATTTGGAATCGGATACCACAGTGGGGGCATTTACACTTGAAGTCGCTGAGGAAGATTTGGGAGTATAAATAAAGACTAGCTTATTTTCTTCTGTTTTCTGAGGGGAACTTTTCTGAGTCATTACAGTTGAAGTTAGGGCAGTGGTTGAGGTTTGAACAGGATGAACAACTAAAGTTACGTTTCTCTTTCCGCCAGAATGATCTTTTGCCAATTGCATCAACTGTTCGGCTAAACTATCACTTTTTACTGGGTCTTGCTTAATTTCAAGAACTGGTTGCACAGGCTGTTGTGAGACGATAACATTGGGTCGGACGACTTGAGGAGTCATTATCAGATTAGGTTGTGGTGTGACGATAACATTGCCTGAGCTGTTAAGAGTAAAAACCCGCTTTACGGGTAAAATGTTTTGCACTTGCGGGATATTCGGTGGCGGCTGTTGTTTCGGTTGGGCAACCTAAAAATATTTAAGTCAGTTATTTGTAACAAAATGATAATAATATAGAAAAAATAAAGAACCTGTGAAACGGGTACTTTAACTAATAGTTTTCCGTTGGCTAATAAGTGTTGCAGTTGTTTTTGATCTACACTTTTCGGACAAACCGTAACTATTTCTTGATTTTCTTCCTTAATTATTTTCCCCGTCTGAGTAGCATTATTTTGCAATAAGGGCAAACCGTTTACCACATTTGGTTGAACTAAACTCAAAGGTTTCTGATCATTAACGAATCCATCCATAAGAGCGGCCATTAATTTTGGTTTCGATGCGGCTAATTTCGACTGAGACGAAGGTTGAGCTGTTATCAAAGACATATTACTAAATTATTACCAATTAAATGTAGAAAAAAAATGGTAAGCATGATAGAATGTTCTTTAGCATGGTTCTGTGTTCCTACCCTATACGAAGATAAATCCCAGACAGTTGGTTTCCATAAAAAAAAACAAGAATAAATATTATTTTTGGACACGATTTTTTTCATCCATTAAACTTTAAAACTACCAAAAAATTCCACTAATAACATCACAAAACAATAAATAGCTTGGTAGATATTTGAATAAGAATATTTAATCATGTTCAAAGACTTTTGTACGAGTTCAAAGAATTGTATGAAAAAAGTCTGCCCTAGATTTATATTTACAGATTATTCAGTTGTTAAGTAAAAGTTAAATATAAGAGTATGCATGTATATATATATATATATATGTGTGTTTTATAGGTTTGTTCTAAATATATCAAAGCCAGTGAATGCTCAAACTGGGGAGAAAAAAATAAATAGCTAACCGTCATTCTCATCCCTTGTACCATCTAATTGGGGAATCTTGTCAGTGTCATGAGGAAATGAAGCAGGAGCGACACTAGGTGGTGTAACGTGGAATTTGTAGCGTTCATCGACTTTTGGTAACCTCGAAATTTGACTGGGTGGAGGTAAAGATGTTTTATCTCCTTGAACAATTTTAACTTCACATCTGTTTTCGGTTTTTGTTTGATGAGAATTATTTGTATTCGTCAAATCAGGAGGAGATTCAAATGCAAGCTGAGGAATTTCCGAATCGAATTTAGATAATTTTGGAGGTGAGATCGTTGATTCGCTACTGTCCATTTTGCGTTTTTCTTTTGTAGCAGCGTATTTTGCGCCTATAATAGCAAATTTCTCTTTTGCTGTACTTCTTATAGACGGTAACTTTTTTGCGATATTCGAAGTAGGAGGATTTCGTTTACGAGTATGAATACCCGAGGTTAATGCGGCGTTTTCACTAACGCTGATTGAATCGTCTTCAGGGTGGGGACCAAGGTCCTTACCCTCTTTCCACAGTTCGTATTTATCAGGTTGGTATTTCTTGACGAATGTATCCATGTTAATACGCACTCTATCTGAACTGCAGCTGCATAACAAACATCTTTTACCATATTCAATCCATCTTTGAGAAGCAAAGTTTGTTGATTCGGCACAATTAAATCCGTGATTGTAACCAGCATGATAAGCAAACGGAAATGTTATCATAAATTCATTTTCTAATTGAGTAATTTTTTTGAAAGGAATACCGTGCTTCTTCAGAAGATCGGGCTTGATAATTGTCATTTTATGGCGTAAAAATGCTGGACACTCTTGGTATTCATTCGGAAAAAGGTCTCTGGCAAGTCTTTCAACTTTTCTTCCGTGTTCCGGAGGTACAACATACCAGCTTTTAGGCGCCCCAAAGTGTATATAATTTATACTATATAAATCCATATCTTCCGTATGCCAAGCAAAAGTAGTTTTCCACATTCCGAAATATAAATATGCAGTATTTACTCCTTCAATTTTAACGTCGTAATCTGAACATACCAAATCAAGTATTGTTCCAAGACGATTAATATTCCATATAGTTTGATCCTGATCGTAGAGCGAACCAGAAACATCTGCTCCATAGATAGGTTGAATATACGTAACATTTTTCCAATATTTCCTCTCTAAATCTTTAAAATCCTCATGCCTCGGGGTTTTATGTCTGACAAAACGGGCAAAGAAACATGTAAGAATTTTTAAACAACGAGGCAAATAAAAACTATTTGGAAAGCAATGCTTTATTATATTACAATGATAATAATAATAGTGCAAACTAACATACATCAGTTCTAATGATTTCTTTAATTACCTGTTATCTTCCGCTAGTTTTTTGTAGTTGGCTACTGTTATGCCTTTGTGTTGAATATTAATTTGTTTGTAATAGCCTCCTTTACCAGTAACGTATTGCTCAATAGGAGCTGGAATGCGCATTGACATAATATCGTCGTAGTTACTTCTCCTTGGTTTCCATTCTTTTGGCGGTATTACCTATACAAACAAATGAATATAATAATTATTATATATTTAAACATGAGCAAACAGCTATGTGTCAATTTTACCTTTGCTAATCCGATTTTATGCGCTCCTTGACTCTCAATATAGTTTATATACTTTGAAAAGTCTTTAAACTCCTCCATTGTAGGCCTAAAAACCATAATATCAGGTATGTCATTGCCGCTGCTAAACTCGGCCATCTCCAACTTTAAAGAGAAAAAATATAACTACATTATAAAAATATATTAATATATTCTCCAATTAATATAAATAACATTTTATATTCCTTTGAAATATTCTTGTTAGCCACTCTTTCTTTTCTCATGCTTTTCTAAAGATAACTTAAATAGTTTCCAAGACATTAATTATTCTATAATCATTTTTGCAGAGGGTCTCCTCCCTTTTTTTTTTGGCAAATGAATAACCTAACCTAACGAAATACGCAGGTTCTTGGTTATCATCGTGGATAAGATATAAATATACCCTTTTTTTGAAATATTAACTATTGGGTATGGATTGAAAACAGCAACTCTCGAATTTAGAACAGTTCTAAACTATAAAGCGTAATAGAGTAAGGTGTCTCTCTATCGCGTAGAATTGTAAACTAAAATCTCTGAACGTTATTTAAAATTTAAATATTTAAAACTAAATTATTAATATTAATATAATTTCTATATTGAATATTTACATATTTTAAATCATATTTATTATATTTTTAATGATTTATTGCAAGAATTTAGTGTGTTAAAAATGCACTTTTCAATACTAAACAAAACGAATATAAAACTTTTCGTCAAATATTGTCCGCTCAGCGCCCTAATTAGCATAAAAGTAGTACCACGAAAAAGGTAATATTTACCGGCTTTCTTTAAAGTTATTTTCTAATGAATCCAAAGAATAGTAATTTCTAATGTTTAATATTTCATTATTTGATAAAAGTAAACCAAAAGTTTTGAAAAAAGTAAGTTTTATATAGCTGTATTTAGTGAAAAAGTATTCCACGAAGAGAGACGTTTTCAAGATGGCTGCCTGACAGGCAAGCACTAATCGACTAATAAACACAAAATGTTTATAATTTCAATTTATGTTGTCAATTCGCAAGCATAACGTCTTTAGATTTATCTTTCATAAAAGATCGATGAAGCTAATTTAGAAATTAAGTGAATAAAATCAAATAAACAAAGAAGGTTGAATATGAAAAAGGGCAATCACGTTCCTGTAATTAGTCGATTTTACAGGAATAAACAAATGCTAGTATTAATATACGATCTTTAAAGGAAAATTACTTACTTCACCTTCAGTTGAAGTGATATGGACACCGTAAACAAGTGTTGTTTCACGTAAATATGAATTTATTCTAAGTTGCCGTATAGTTTAAGTTTATCAAGAAAGATTGTCGACGTTTGTATTGCTACGCGGTATAAAGTTGTTTATCACGTGAACGCAAAGTTAATACGGCAAAAACGATACAGATATAAAACTGATATTTGCACCTTTAACTCTTTAATAAGAGTACAACAATTACCTTGTTTTATATTTTTATTAAAGAACTATTTAAAGTGATTTAACCTTGACCTTCAGTTACACGTCTATGTTAAAACGTACTGTAGAATAGAGTAGAAAAGTATTGCTCTATATAATAAGTATATTAAATATATATATATACATGTTATATGATGTAATGGAATATAGAATATTTTGATATATAAATATATATATACTGTATATATAGAAATAGATTTTTATGTGTATATTTCATATATATATATATATATATATATATATGTATATATTATGAAATGTAGACGGCCGAACATGTGTAAGTACATTGTATATACTTATGTACTATATATATATATACATGAAACACAATTTCTCCTAAAACTTAAACAAAGAGAGGAAAGATAAATAAAAAGACAAATAAGAAAATGATTTTTTTATATACTCTGATAATTTAGATAAGTTTTCCATTCGTCAAGTGGAGAGAAAGGAAAGATGGAAGAGGAAAACTGAGGAGAAAGGAAACAGTGACTATTTCAATTTAAAATTTTGTAATAGAATATGATTTTTTATAGTATCGTATTATAATAATGTCATCTTTATCTGTTTAGTTTTTTTTCTCTCATTCTCTTTCTCTAAATACTAGACTATGAGCATGTGAATGAATTTAAGCCTATAAATGACCTACAAACTTTTATTTTTCTTTGTTGTAAAGAATATTCTTGCGTAATACTTCTTTATAATATCAAATATTTGATATAACAAGATAATAGAATAGACTATTACTTGAATATACATACAGTATATATATATATATATATCTATATATCAGTTGTCTGCATTAAAAACGCTTTACGCCTATTGTAACTGAGTGAGAATGATTAGGGAAAACTTCACATACAGTTTAAACTTGAATAGAGAACTATTTAATAGCGAGATCTTCATTGATATCAGTTAATCCTATTTGAATAAAAGTATATACAATAAACAGGTAAATGGTATATAACATGGAGGGAGTAAGAAAGGGAGATTGAAAGAAAATACTGTAATAATGAAAAGTAACATTGCTATGAAATAATCAAAACAGTTTATTGTTACTTATTGATTTCGGATAATACGTTATTAATAAAAGCACGTAAATATTTCTTTCTAGATGGTTAATTCTGGAGAAAAAGTTAACTTAATCCAACTAGTTAATTCTGTAGTATATTTTTAAAAATAAACCCTGCTTAAAGAGATAATTTTAGACTCTTTCTAGAAAGAGGGAAATGAGAGGGCGATTTCAAGCGTGAAAGAGAGAAGGACACTGTTTTGTACCGCCATCTACTGCTAAGAAATGAAAGAATATTATTTTTAATTTAATTTCTACGAGAATAGTGTGAATTGAAGATTGAATTGCTTATAAATCTCTTTTATTATGTTTAATTTATACAACGACATTAATGATAACGAGTTTTGTGCATTAAATAATGAGAAATCAAAAACTTAATCTTTCCTCCTAAACGCTTCAAAGAATATCTGGAAAGGAAAGAGTGTGAAGGAATAGTATAAGATATTAAGAGTAAACTCATTCTATCGTATAATTTGTATTGAAATATTAGTTTGGTTCAACGATTCTTCTGCGTCCTCAGTCGTGTATTGAAGAAAGAGAATGAAAAAAACAAAAAAACAACAGAAAAGTTGATAAAAAGTCTTTTTTTTTTTATTTAAAGTATATTTTCATTTAGTTTGATCAAATTCATATATTATGGGGATAAATAAAATTCTGAGAATATAGTCAACAGTGTAGAATACTCTCAAAATAGGAAAACCATTGATGTTATCGTTCGACTAACTTTGTTAATATTATTGGAGGTCTTCTTAAACTCCTATTTCCGCAGCTTTAATTATTTCTGACTTGCCTTAAGAGTATATTGATTTTTTTTCTTTCTTTCCTCTTAGTTCATTTTATTCATTCTCTCTTTTTTATATTTTGTTATTCTTTACCCATCTCTGTTTTCTCTCTTTCAATTATTCTCTTACTGACACACGCATTCATACATACATACATACAGCATAATACTATCGACCTTTTCTTCCTCTCTCTCTTACTTCTTCCTATTTAATAATACATTATCTTTCTTTTACTATTACTCTGCCAGACAAATATGAAAATGTCTTAAAAGTATAGTAAATAAGTATAACTGTGCAATCTTGTATAAATAGTCTATTCTGAATATATTACTTTATCTCTCTCTGTCTCTCAATATATGCGTATACACGTACTGTATGTATAGCTTATTTTTACTCCTTTTATTACATATGACTGTTTATAATTTATTTGCTGGAAAGAAAGAATAGTACAAAAAAGGTAAAAAACAAAACCAAAAAAGTGTAGACGTATAGCTACGTACATATAGTTTGTAATTTAAACATTAATATATCAGAAATATACAGTATGTAGTATATTGTCAACGATACAAATAGAACTTTTCCCGAACGAATAGTGTTCGGAATGTTCTATATATAAATGTATATATATATATATATATATTCTTTCTCTACTTGCAATGCATTAATCAAGCACCGTAATTAGTTTAGACGAATTTCGGTTAAGAATGGACCACCTTGAATTTCGTGATGAGCCCACCTGATGCTTATATTATAGAACCCCGGTCGGTTTACAGTGAAGCTTATTTCGTATAATCCGTCTCCAGTATAAGTAATTATAATCTCATCGACGCTATAGCGAGCTGGTCCTTGTATATTGACTGATAGCCATCCGTTTCCCGATGAAGAGCATGTTAGCACCTTGAAAAAAAATAACAATCCAATAGATGGCGTTACTTAACGAACAACAGTTTTTTTAGTTTAAAGTGAGATAAAAGGGATAAAAAAGAGAGAAAAGAGTAAAGTTTTTACATTGAAAAATAAAACAAGAACTTTTTTTTTAAAAAAACAAAACAAAAAAAATTGAAAGTAAAATAAAACAAACTTGAAATCGATTTTTATCGCCCACTCGACCAGTTTTTAATCCATTTCCCGTTGCAAACACCCGTTTCGGATTCGGAACAACGACATCTGGACTATCAGTTTCCGCTTGTTTGTCAAACTCTGTGAAAAAATTGTCGAGGGAATCGAACAGCTTTTCAAGCGATTCCGGTGAACGATTGGAAGTGTTTCGGCGGTCGTCTACAAGCTCTTGTTTATCCACCTGTAAAAAATATAAAGAGAGCGAAAGAATAGAGTGGGAAAGAGAGGAAATATCTATCTATTTATAGTAAAGCTGTTATAAACTGTATATACTATACTTATTTATACACTATTATAGATTGTACATAGTAATAATATTAATGTATTACTCCAAACAGAATGGATCTTTAAGTAAGAAATAATGGAGCGATAAAGAAAGAAAGAAAGAAAGAAAGAATACAGGCGAGACAGGGGAGATAGAGAGAGAAAGAGAGAGATAATAATCCGATTCTCTCAATATTTTTAACGAAAACTTTCATCTAATCCCACAAGTAAAAGCAAACTCTTCATTTTCGTTATCATTTAGTCTTACTAGTCGTAGAATTCTGTCTTAGGGGAGATAATATAAGCAATGCTATACTCAATTAGAATTTGGCTATTATTTTGATAGAAAACAAATCATTATTACTTAAAGCCTTCAAAAGACATTTGCTTTTAATAAGCTTGAAATGGCTGAATGATTACGTAATTGTAGCATGAAAAAAGCATATATACTATATATATATACGTCTATATACTGTAAAATACAGTGCGTTCGTATACTTGGCACGAATCGAGTAAAAAAAAAATAAATAAATAAAAAACCTCCGTGTCTGAAAGCTCTTCACGTTCTTCATGTTGAACACTAATTGTGTTATTCTCAGACATCTCAGTTAATTCAAAAGTTCTAGAATTAAATTGGTCCATAGGCGCAATTTCGGATAAATTGATAAAGCTATTTAATTCGTCAATAAATTCCATCCGATTAGATTGACGAAGTCCAAAACCCTTGTACTCTTCATCCGAAACTGAACCAGTCGATTTGTTTATTGGAAAAGGCGAATCTATTGATGAATTTCCCCTACTAGAATTAGATCTTGATCTTCTGAATACAAAGATTTTTCTATTAAAAGTAATTCTTTTCTTTTTCACTCCACTTTTACAGCTTTTGAGGAGTTTAACGACATTCTTAGACATTTCCTCCTCAGATTGAGATTTTGAAAAGCTCTGTATTAATCGTCTATCTAATGTAATTCGTCCTCTATATTTATTTCTTCTGACCACTCTATGACCATTATTTATTTCTATAAATAATATAAAATGAAAACAATATGTTAGTTAGTCTATCCAACTCTAATTAATCCACTTATGGATTATTTAGATGATTAATAGCTTACTTTGAGGACTAAAAACGTTTTTTACTGGTGTTGTTACGTTAATATTTGTCTCTTTATCATTCGCTTCTAGCCTTTCGCTATTGTCCACGCCATCTTCTATATCACCATTTTCTTTTGACCAGTCTTCCGAAATTTCGTCTGTTCCATCCTCCTTAGACGTTTCCTCTTTACTTTCATCATCCGTTTTTGTACCCTTTTCAACAGTAACAATACCATTCTCTATTCCATTTTCATTCTCCTCCATATTTTTTCGTTTCTCTTCACTCTCGTCCGCCACCTCCTCCTTATTACCATTCACTTCTTCATTTTCCATCTCCTTTCTAATAATTAATCTCTTCTTCTTTAAGTAAGGAACATCTCTAGTCCAGCCAGTCTCAAATTTAATATCTTCATAGTTGACTTGGTTCGAAAAATCTGAAGCTGTTATTTTTTTCCTCCTTGAGACTGCAGCTGGTAAGCTAAGATAGTTTTTTTTTTGAGGTTCTTCGCCAACTCTGGTTACCTGATTTCAATTAAGCTGGTTTTACGTTAAATGATAATAGAAAGATAATTATTAAGTATAAAGAAATACAAATAAATAGAGTATAGAATATATACAGATAGTATTGTACATATTAAAATTTTCATTCATCTACTTATATATACTTTATATACTTTGTAAAACAACCTGTCGAACTAATGAGCCTTTGGAACTTCTTCGTCTTCTAGACAAACCAGCTCTTTTCAATGCCATCTTTAATTCTCTAAAGCAATCTTTCATTTCTGAATTATCATCGCTGGTCTCGAAATCAGCTTTTGAGGATATTGAACTTGTAAGGGAACTTTCCTCTGATACATTGATATCAGTATTTTTAAGAAAGACTGGATGGCCTTCGTTCTTTTGCGTCTTATTCCTTCTATCAGGATGCTCTATACCATTGGGTAATGGAGTTTTATACAATTCAAGAGGAAGGGAACGATTTGAGGATAATCTACGATGTTTCCTATAAATGCTTAATGGTCTGAATGATGGAATATCTGAAACGCTGCTAAAAGGACTGCTAATAAATTTTTTATCTTTCATAGTCTTTGGATTTAAAAGACCATCGTAAATGTCTTTTAATTCTAAACTATTGGAACGGCGGCGACATTGACTTTTTAACACGAGTTTGTTTGCTTCAAACACGGATTCTTTGACTATTACTGTAGCTAGGTGGCCAGCAATTAATTTTAAAGAATCAATTTTTGGGAACTTCTCTAGCTTTAGTGGTTTACTTAGGACAGGTGGACATGAAGAGTAGCTCTCTACGGAAGCTTGCCGCGTGCAGGGGTTTGTAGACGTAGCATCTTCAATTAATATTTCCTGTCCAGTTTCAGTGATAAATTTTCGTAAAATTCGTCTACATATTACTCGATTCCTTAATGGAACCTTACCAATGCTTGTGAGTGATCTCTGCAGAGATGGAGGGCGGGCTCTCGTAACGGGAGTAACTTCCGCTTCAGAGCTTTCTATTGACGATTCTTCTATCATTGTTCTGCTCTCGAAAATGCCAGTTTCTTGAGTTATCCTAGCTCTTCCTTGCTTGTTAAGCTCTTCAAGAGTTTCCGATATAGAAACAACATAAGGGCTTTTACCAATATGACGACCTTCGTACTTAACCGAAATAACATGATCTCCACTATTAAGAGGAATGTACGATATGATAAAATGACCTTCATCAATGCATTCGTAATCGAATTGAATAGACGCTTCTCTGTCCAAAGTTCGTTCTCTAACAATTCTCAATCCATTTCTAGTTTTACCTTAAAAATTAATTATTAAAGATATATTGAAATATTTAAAAGGAGAATGAAAGTAACTGTATCTAATAGCTATAATTTATAATGTATATTCTATTTTGTGCCTGTTTTACGCACCTATAAGTCTTTGATTAGGTCTCAATTCAACTTCATCTGGATGCCTTTGGAATATTGTAGACATTTTCCGGTTGGGGTATAAACTATATAATTTTTCCACGCAACTTTCATTATTTGGTCCAGCAATTTCAATTGTGACGTCAAATTGGTCGACGATCGGTAGATGTAAGGAAAATTTTGATTTTCTGCCCACAACACCAGCAACTAAACCTGATCCTTTAATTAAGCAATCTTCAGCCATTCTTAACATGGAAGACTGCCTTTGCAATTTTTTCCAATGGTCAACTGGTTGCCTAGCTACCTATTTGTTAAAAAATAGGACGTTATTAGGATGTATTCTCTACTTTATGGGCGTAACAGTGTGCTATTTACTTGTTTTTTAGCCGACCAACGAATAACTTTAAGCAAATGATACAGTTTGTTCTTTGACATTTCATCCTTTTGTTCTGCAATCTCCTCAGCCGTAATAATCGTTAAAGGAACCCCCAAGTGCTTGTTGGCAAGTTTTAAGGAAAATCTGCAGTTGTTTCGGCGCTGAGTTGGCTTCAAGAGGTCGAAACGAGGACAAGAGCCTGGTCTGCAGGATTCTATTAAAGCGCATAGACAAATTCCATCCGAAAAGCAGGTTGAAAGATCGTACACTCCTAACTTTGGTATTCTCGATTGGATCCATTCTAATAATTCTTGTTTGTTTCTTGTCTCTATAACAAATAATACGCTATATTATGCATTACAAAATAAACATTTGGGACGCCGACATCAGCCTATATAATGTAGTATACAGATAGAAGGGGGAGGGAAACGAGCTTTTATTCTACTCTTTAATAATTTAACTATATATTCTTGTTTTCCCAATTATAAGTGGAAGTTTCTATCGAAACAATACAAATAGTTTAATGACTCGATAGTTATATTCATATCAGATTGCTTTATGTCCTTTAGACAGACATATTCTTTCTATAGGACTAGAATAATTATTGTATAATAAAATGAAAGTTTTTTAGCTATTAATGTATTAATAGGTTTCTTTTTTTTTTAAACAAAAAATATAGGCTAGGCTATAAACTAACTTTTGAATCCCAAAAGTAAATATCCCTTTCCAAAGCTTATTTATATACTTGTAATAAATTATTATTCATATTCATATGCTATTATGTATCCCTATACATTTTTCTCATAGTTTCTCTTTACTAAAGGCTTTATAAAACAGTTATTTCTTTATTGGCCTACAATGTTATTCAATACTTTGTATAACGCAATTCAAAAGTAGTTGGAGAAAGGGGCCAATTACCTCACAACAGTGAGGGACATTTACTAGACTTCCTGTCAAATTCTTTAAAAGAAAGAAAGAAAATATAAAAGATTAGGTAAACTTACCGCCCTTAAAAAACTCTGATATTCTTTCACTCAAACTAGGCTTATATATCAGTGTCGTTCCTTCAATCCAGACTGATTTTTTTTTGTACAAAAAAGGATTTAGAAATCTCAGCAGACATAAAATCCACCAGATTCCGAGGAAAAAACATTTTATAGAGAAAAATAAACAATCACCAATTTCCTTCCAACCTAGCTGATCTGTAGGGAATATACACCTTTTCTCAAAGAATAGGCCAAATTTATATTTAGGCATGTGGGAAAAAGGGGAAGAAAAAGAATAGAAGACAAAAAAGAGCTGTACAAGTTTTTGGAAGAATCTCGTTTTAGTAGATATTTATATGTTCTATATAAGTCAATATATAACCTATATATAAGATTCTTTCGATTACGCAATATCTATTTACATTACAACACCATATATTATTATTATTATTATTGTTATAAACTATGTAAGTTCTTTCCTTTCTATTTCTCTTCTATTGTCTCTCTCTCTGTCTCTTTCTCTCTCTCTCTCATTCTTTTTTAATCTTTTCATCGTTAAACCTACGTTGTGGTTAACAATAGAAAAAAAAGGAATATATTTGAATAATAATAATAAAAATAAATTACTGGTTTACTTACTGTAAGCTCTGATTGAACTGGTTATTGGGTAAATTCTGTCTTTTATTTTGTTAATTCTAGCTTTCCTTACACTTATACAGTTGAATAGTGTTGAAAACTATATATTTAATATATGAATTTATTATTACGTAATCTCTATATAAATGAAAAATTTTCAATAAATTCTTACTCCTAAAGAATGACAAATATGATTATCTTTACTATTTCTAAGTTTATTAATTAAATTTAAAAGAAAAAGTCTTCTAAATATGCAGGAAAAATTTCTCTTTTTGCTGTTGTTGCTGTTGTTCTGTATTTTATTTTCAAGTCTATGACTATTCAAAACCATTTTCTACTAGATTGATAAATTAAAGGTGTTATTGGCTTATTCAAGACATCCTTTAATCGCGATTTATTTGGCGTTAAGATCGATGGCAGTGGACCGGTAAATCTCTGAATTTCCTGCATGGGTGCCGTTATAAAGAGCTTTCCCTCCTTTGGAGGTGATATGAACAGTTGATCTAAGCAGACGGACCTAGGGAATTCGATATCAATTTGCGTTGTTAAATTTGGATCTATAGAACTCCGAGTTTGAACAGCTAAAGTTCTATCATTCAGTTCTGTCTGAATATCATCGGTGAAGTGACCCAACTCAAGTTGAACTTTATACTTCTTTCCACCATTTTTTTTGCCTTTACATATATACGGTGTAACTGTAACTAACTGATGTTCGAACGCTTTTCTCTTCTTTGTCTCTACGGGTTCAACTTGTTTCTCGTCGTCATCCTTGACCTTAATTTCAGTAGATTCCAATAAACTAGGAGCGGATGAATACCTGTAATTTTATGCAATAAATTATTTAGTAGGTTAATTTTAGACTATTAGAGAGTTTTTTTTTAATTTGGATTCATTTCGTAGGCCAATACCGTTGGCAAATGTTAGTTAGACTAAATGTTTTTTTTTACTAATCCTATCCTCCTTTTATCCTCCCTCCTTATTTTTATTGTACTGTATAAGTCTCTTTTAACAATTACACCGTATACTTTTTTTATTGTGCTTAAAAAGCTTACAAAGTCTTTACCAGATACAGAGGGAAAAAGACACTTAGGAAGGGAACTTTTTACAACTGGGAATTTGTCTTTTTCTCTTCTTTCTTTCCTTACTCTTTTTTAATAGTTCACTTTAATACTTTTTTATTATTTTTTTGTTTCCTTCTCCTAATCTTGCTTCTCTTTATATCTTTACTATTCTATACATATATATGTATATATATTTAGTATGGGATAGATGGTTAGTAGACATAAGAAGAAGAAGAAGAAGAAGAAGAAGAAGAAAAGGACAAAAGAAAAAAAAAACAATAGACTAGGGTTATAAAGAGAAAGGTGTTTTCTTAATTAATTGACAGAGAATAAAAGAAATCATTCATAAACTATTATGAAGACAAGACAGAAAATAAAAATAATAGAAATAGTTCGTTGCACTGATTTTCCATTTTGCATTCAAATATTTTGTAGTTTATTAGAAATGCTCTAATAAACGTATAATAAGAGCTTTTTGAACCCAGTAAGGATTTACTGTTTAAGTTGAAATAAAAGTTAAAAAAAGGTATATCGTAATAAATAGATTGGTTTATTATTACTCGCCAATGCGTAAGCTTTAATCGATAGGGTAATTATCGTACAATTAAAAGACATATAGTGTTTATATATATATATATATGTATATATATATATACTGTATATATTATATAATATAAAAAAATGTAACAAACCTTGATAAACCTCTTTCGTATAAACTTCTACTTGAATTTCTAGCAATTTCATCCTCTAATCTTGCTAGTACATCTTCCCTTAACTTATGTTTATTCTTTTTAACTAATTCTTCCAATTGACCAACTCTGAGATCGACAAGGACTTCTAGACGGTCCTCGAGATGGCGTTGAATATTCTCCTCCTTCTCAGGATCATTAGCTGTAAGCTTACCAATCATTTCGCGTAAAGGCGATCGACTGCGCTTTTTTGCACTCATTTTATCATTCGAATTTTTATAAACCTTATCTAAATTTTATGCGAGAGTTTTCCCAGCATATTTGGCGAACTTCCACTGAGAGTAGGCCTATATTATATATATTTTTTTAGACCTGTCGTGCATTCTCCAAACTCATTGAAGCGTGTCAAAAATGAAGATATTGAAAGATATCGATTTAGATTTTGTCCGAACAATAAACAAAGTGTTAAAATTAATGTTAACACTAGGTGTCGTTTATTTACGTTCATATTTGCCCATGCTACGATAATCTTTCTCAACAAACATCGACAATTTTTACAATAAATTTCATTAAATCAACGAGATTCTTCTATAATGTTTTCAATGCTTTTGCATAGAAAATATAGTTTGAAAAGGGGAAAAAATTGAAAAAAAATCACTAACCAGCCTTTTTTAATCGAGTTCTCTTCTTTTTCATGACGTCACATGGGCGTCTACTCAGAACAAAATTCTAAATGACATGTTTTGTTTCAAAAGTAATCCTCGTAATGATATGCCAAAAAGTGGAATTGGTCTTATTAAACATATTAGTCCATCGAACATGAATTTCTATACTATCGATGTGGAGTGTCGATATGTGCGTCACCTGCTCATTTGGAGGCGTTTCTAGTCGTTTCTATGGTGACGTTCACTATGAGTGAATATTGTATCTATTTAAATACTGATAAACTTTCTCTCGTCATCGTTTGCTTACTTCTCACAGCCGACAAAAGCTTTTCTAATTATCTTTACAGCCAGAATCAATAGGGGAATCATTCAATTCTCTAAATCATTCTATCCAATATACCTATCTTTTCAGTCTAAAGAATAGATAAGCCTGTATTAAATTTTATCATCTCTGAATCATTTACAATTTCATTTTAGAGAAGAGTGAGAATAAGGAGAAGAATAGACATAAAGATGACTTGTTTTTATTGTATTTAAGAGTAGAAAGTAAAATTATATAGGCGGTAGTAATGTAATTCTTTTTCTTTTTATTTTTAATATTTTAATCGCATCATTCTTCTCCTTTTCTGCATGCTTTTTTATATCCTAAGTACACGATTTCTTTATAACATAGTCATTTTTAGTACAACTAAATGTATATTTTAAACGATAAACAGAGAAAAAAATGCATATTATACCTTGCCAGGTATTTTCTCTCTGTGTGTTTGTATGTGTGTCTGCGTGTACGTTTCTTTATATATGTATATTATATAGCTTATTTTCTAGACTAAAATTCTTCTATCCAGGTAACTGAATCGCTAACGATTCTATTACGACATAATATATAAAATGTATAGAAGAAAACATAATTCTCTTTCTTTTCTCTTCCTTTATAGTAACAATAAAAACAATTTCAACTTCTTGATCTCTATCCTTAAAAGTTTATCAATTGACCTATGTATTATTATTTATTAAGGATAATACCGTGTCCTCTTTTCTTTTCTCTTCTCTCCTTTTCTCCTCTTCTCTTCTATATCATTCGTTCCTTTAATCGCAAACAGGGTTTTTTATACTATATAAATAATTGGAAATAGGAAAAAAAATCGTATACATAATGTATAGGTCTTGCATAGAACTTGTTGACTTTGTTTATGGACATTGTATCTTCATATGAAAAACATAATCTACCGTTTTTGCTAATAATTGGAAATGAAAGATAATAAACTCTTCCTTAAGGAACGATAATATTTTACTGTTTGCTATTAAAAGGTAAACTTTACACTTTCCATTTCAATTTTAGAGTTTTCCTTTTTATTTCTTTACAATTATTGAATTATTTAAATAAATTTATAAGTAATTCAGTTAGAGTTTCTATTATACAAGCAATATTATTGTTTTGAAAAACTAGAGAAGATAGACAAAAGAAGAGACAGGGAGAGAGAGAGAAGAGAACTTGTGTGTGTGTGTGTGTGTGTGTGTGTGTGTGAGTGTATATGTGCATGTATATATACTTTATATATATATATATATATATATATATATATATATGTATACGTTGCGTGTGACTGAATATGAATGCAAGGAAAAAGAACAACGACTACATTTACTTTCCTATCACAATTTTTCTAGTTTAATACATTAAGGAACATAAATTCATATATGGAATATGTTACTCATAACGTATGTTTGTTGTATAAATAATTTATAAGATAAGATGAGGCAGAGATGGAGATAGAAAAGTAAAGACAACGAAAAAGGGAATTTAATATTGTCTATTTATCGACAAACTTCACCATCGTCATTGTCTTTGTCGTTATCGTCGTTCGTCGTTGTTATTACTGTCGTTGACATTCTTGTCATTATATTATTATTTAGTATTTTATTTCTGTAACTAACCTACTCGATTAGATCCAAATAGAGATATTTGTTTACACCTTATAAGTTCTGTTTAGTTTTTTATGTCATAACAAATAGTTTATTACATTTGTTAAAAACTCTTGAATGATTTTGAATACATCATAGTCTAATTGTTACTTAGTTTTCTTTGATTATGTTTACACTCGTTTACTCTTTCGAATGTCACTTTAATACATCTTTTAATTACGTAAATATTTGAGAAACGAGTAAAGGATAAAGGATAGAAAGTAAATTTTCCTCTTCTTGTTCTTTCTCTCTCTAATTAGCTAAGGCTATTAAAAAAATTAAAACAAAAGGGAAAGAAAAAAGACGTATTTAAGTGTAAAGTTATATAATTTATGTAGACAGTTAAGCCGACTTCTTTGTTGATAAATAAATCAATAATTTTTGTAGGTAAATAGCAGTGTACATCATAAAAATTGTAGGCTTTAGGCTATCTAAACGAGTTTATTATGCAACTTGTGTGATGCTTTCTTTCTAATGTAAAACAGAAGTGTGAAAAGAAACATTACAATTATTTATTTTAACTTGGACAGTTAAAGGGTAAAGGAAACTTTAATAAGTGTACACCTTTCATTTAGCAAAGAAACAAGGTGAAAAGCTCATAGCTCAAAGCTTTCTTTCTAATGAGAGAATACACTACAAGTCAACAATCAGTTTTTATTTTATCGATTTCCAACAAAACAATATTGTATTAATAACTAAGTTTATATCCGACTTAAACTGCCATCTATTGGTAGGATAATTCTTGACTTTACATCTTCAATCTCTCTCGCTCCGCTCAGCCCCCCTCTCTCTCTCTATTTTTTTTTTAGTAGGCAGACATATGGAAAACATAAAGATAATCCTCCAGACGAAAGCGTTCAGATTAAAAGGATTATCCCTATCGCAAAACTATAAGCCCATAAATTCCCTGTTGATTTCGAAGGCCTAGAATTTTAAATAAAATTTGCATAATATTCACGCAACGCTAACTTTTTACCAGTCAAGTAAAAGTTGTCAACGCTGAATAGAAAATCTCTAGTGTATATAAACATCCGTGTCAACTGCTTCTAACTTTTATCCCTCCCACTTCTTCATACTACCGTCCCGCAAGCACCTTCTTTTTCTTACTCTTTCTATCTGAACGTTTTGTTTTTCTACCGCTACCAATCTTATATGAATCTTCAATGAAAACTTATATCTAAGCAACGACACAATCAAAGAACACAATTGAAGAGTGAGTAGAAATGAGAGAGAGAGAGAGAGAGAGACAAAAAAAATAAAAATCTTGTTGACGTTTGATGTTTAATAAAAATAAAAAAAAATTCACAGTGCTTTGACAACGGCATGAACTGAATTTTATGTTTACGGATTTATATTATGATTATTAAAATTCATTTTTAAAAAATGGCTTCACAAGAAACTGCTCGATTAAGAAATTTAAGATTACGGGTCGACAGTGAAGATAAAGAGTTTGGCGGTAAGAGAGTAGTTTTTATATAATATATTGTGTTTATAGGATTATGCATATATCATTAAAATTTAAAAAAAATCAATTTATGTTTCTTTCTATCTTTATCTCTCTCTCTCCCTCTCTCTTCCATTCCCTTTTTTCTCTTTAAAGTTTAGCAAATAAATAGTATTAGCCCTCTAAAAAAGGAAGAGAGACAAGAAATGTTGTATGTTTATATAAGAAATTATCATGAATTTTCTTCTTGTGTTCGTATAGTTGGATATTTAGAGGAAACTAACAAAACGGAATAGAGAAAGATAGAAGAGAAATCTATCTCTACAATTTCTCGTTTAGTTCTATATAAAGTATATTTCAATTTATATGTATAGTATAATAAATATGGTACAAATTGAATATACTGTATATTTTTAGTTAGTAACATACGGTATTAATAATTTTAGAAAAGTAACTATTTATGGCAGATGTCAGCACTGTCTCTCTTTCTTAATGATTATTAGCTAAATGAATAATTTCTTTTACATATATAATTTTAGATTGCGCAATATCTGGTTTGTTAAATGTCTAATTACAAAAAATAAACGTAATTTATCTGTACATTTTATCATTTGAGTGTTTTTTTTTTAATTTATCACGTAATCTTTTATTTAAACAAGCTAAATTACTTTAGTACTTGATTTATTAATATATATGTATATAAATTATATATTAGTATATATGTATTGATAAAGTTTTATGCTTTATAGCAGTTGCACGTTTATATCACTATGTATGTATGTATATTTGTGTGTGTGTGTGTGTGTGTGTGTGAGAGACAGAGACTGAGACAGACAGTCACAGATAAGGTACTGAAACGAAGAGTTATAAATTACTACTGAGTATGATAAATAATTTGTTTTCAAACTATGCGTACTTATCTTCATCTTTTTTATTCATTTAGGTTTAAAGTCTTTAAAAGTTAGAGGAAAAGATTTAGATATTCTTTCCGAGGATCACTATGGAATTGTTGAATTGGAAGTTTTGGATTTATCACCAGACAGGCAATCTTGTATTTATTATCGTCTACCAGAAATTTCATCCTCAATAGGAAAACTGATCAATCTGAAGATTCTTTTAATAGATACAAATGAATTGAGGTGGATATCAGATAACTAAAATTAAGACATAATTTGACGATAATGTTATGAGAGGGGGGATGATAGATTTATGTAAGAGAAGAAGCATTTCCCCATTACTTAAATATCTCACAAGCATAAAGCATTATTTCTAAAAATAAGAGAAGAGAAAGACAAACGACCCATTCTAGTTGTAGCAGAACGTTAATTTAATTAATCTATTTAAAAAAGATCTTGTCCAAAGAATTAATTAGAAGCCTTTTTTGTTTGTGTAAATGAAACACTAGCCTCCTTGAATATCGTTTTTTCACTAATTTTTTACCTTATCTAATCAATTTTTATAATATTCTTGTTTAACATATTTCAATATATCTCTACTACTTTTCAAGCGCTATCATCTTTTCTCTCTAATTTATTCTATCCATCAATCTGTATATTGTTACATAGATAATTAAGTTTTTACTAATTATTTGCACCAAGTACAAAACTTGGCCCAGTATATATTACATATACAGTATACGGGGAATATAATGTATATATTTATATTTCAATTCTATTTTATAGAAAGTTCAAGTAATCTAAATAAAAAGGTGAAAGAGATAAATGCAGATATTTATTGAAAAAATATTCAATATTTAAACATATGTTGAGCGATAAAAAGATGGTAGAATATCATGAAAAATTATTGATATTACTGTAAGATAAAGAATTATGGAATATATTTTAATAAGTATGCAACTGCTAGATATTTCTTATTTCCGTTGTCGTACCTTTCCATCCTTCTCTTTCTATTTTAGCTTTTCTCTCTTTTTTTCAATCATTTTCTCTCTCTCTCTCTCTCTCTCTCTCTCTTTTTCTGTATAATCAATTCTATTTGAACAAACGAAAAGCTTAGCGGAAGCTAGTTATTAACAAAGAAAACTAACTTAAAAATTCTAATCAATAATTGGTTGCTATATTTAGAGTGTAAAGTTCTTATTTATTATTCTTTTATACTTAAATAAGTATATAAGAATTATTAGAATATCAGTGATAGAAATATTAAAAATTGCTCTTGTGTAATAGAGAATAAAAGAATTTTCTCCCCTGTTTTCGTTTGCATCTTCATCCTATATTTTCCTGTCTAGTAGGCCGCTTTTCTATTTATTATTTAAAGGTATGAGTAAAAGACGAATTTAAGATATGAAAAATTATATAGAGGAATGCAAACAAAATAAACTTTCTCTCTCCCCCTGCCCCCCCCCCCTTCTCTCTGCATAAATCCCTAAATACTTTAACTACATTGTTATCTAATATTCACTACCTCCAGCGAAATCCCCGAAGAGATAGGCCTATTAAGTAATTTGGAAAAACTATCAATCAGTAACAACCACTTAAAAAAGTTACCGGAAGGACTAGGCAATCTATCGAGACTAAAATCACTACATGCCTGTAATAATTATATAGATGTCTTTCTGAATTCTCTGTGCAATCTAAGAGATTTAGAATTCCTAGATCTATGCAACAATCGCATAGCTGATCTTCCTGAAGGAATCTCTCGCATGCGTAGCCTGCAAAATCTCTTATTACACGTTAATATTCTGCGCCACCTACCGGACTCTATATGCGACCTCATTAATTTAGAAGATTTATGGGTCGGTAATAATCGTCTAAGACGTTTACCAAGGCATTTTGCGAGACTGAAGAAATTACAATGGGGTAATGTTCACACATTCTCCGTTTGCGTTGATGATAATCCCCTTGAACATCCACCAATTGAAGTGTGTAAGAAAGGAATTGAGGCTATAGAAAAGTATTTTGTGGGTAAGGAATATTATTTTTTTATAACAAGATGTTACATTTTAATATATATATATATAGATATATACAGTATATATGTATATATTCATACTTCTGTATATGAGAATACTTATAGTAAAAACTGACATACAAGTGATTAAGAAGATTTTAAATGTATAGTACACTACGACAGCATAAAGTAAGCTTGTAAAAAAAACTAAAACGCACTCAAAATCTTATAAAGTAAACGGAGAAGAGTTTGGCTGATGAAACCTATTTTTTAAATTGAATTAGTCTATAAATTTAGCTTTAAAGTAGTATAAATATTTAATAAGCTTTGGGAGATTCCTTTAAGTAAATTTTATATGTTCGTACTTGTACTTTTCAGGAACTGAACCTCAGATTGCTCGTCATTATACCTCCAGACATATTGAAAAATGAAAAGGGAAGATTGAATTGAAAGAATGATAAAGAAAAAAGTGAATATGAGTAGAAAAGTATTTAGGACTGTTTGCAGTATTTCTATCTATGATATGCATTTTATAATACATATTAGTATATTATATATAGTATATAAACATAATCATGGTGTCTAAATAATTGATACTTATAAAGAGGACATAGAAGGTGTTAATTGATCATTTAAAATCATATATCTCTTATATAAATGTTATATTTTCATTTCTTCCTTTCTCTCTTTCTCTCTCTCTCTCTCTATATATATATATATATATATATATATATATATATATATACACATATATATTGTATACATGTACAAACTCGGGACTTGATTTCATCTTTTTTCTCACACTTCTCCTAATTCCTTCTTCTCATCTAACAGCAAAAGCTCTTTTCATAATTATATGCATGTTAAATATCTAAAAGTCGGTGTTTTCTTTTTCCTCTTTTTTCACGACCTAATCTTGTGAGTCTTTGGTTTTTTTTTACATATTTATCTTGTGTTTTGCTTTTCAAAAGGAAAAAAAAGCATCTGGCGTTTTTTCCTCTCTTCCATTGGTCACCAGTATCAATTACATTAAAGTGACGTATTGGTCACGTAACTAATCCATTACTGGTACTAAACGCCTAATTGGATGGAAAAATTCACTGGAAATATTCACTGTTTTATTACGCCACCTATAATTTTATTTATAATAGATTATGTGTGTAATCTTTACTGTGATAGACACCTCATCTTACTGCTCTATTTCTAAGAGAGAAGGAAAATCTTTCTTCCCTATTTCCTCTCACATTTCTCTCCTCTATTTAGTTCAAAAAAATTGGCCAATATAGAATTACAATTATGAAAGTGAATTAATTAAATCCGTTAAACAATTAATGATGCACTTAATTCATACAAGCAGTTGTGCAAATTAACTATGGTAATTACCTTTATGTGGGGAACTAGAGTAATAGTATGGGATGGCTTATTTCCGGTTCCAAGAGAAAGGTAAATGAATATTAGGTTGTTGAAATTCCAAAGAGGCGATCTTTTTTTCTTTTTCCTAAGTCTAATATAACAAAGACATTTGTTGTTTTTTAATTTATTCTTATCTGTTTATATTATGATAAATCTCTTTGTCGTCTTATCGAATAAAAATTTTGTCTTCGTAGAATAAGACGAAAAAGATGAAACACAGCTGGTGATATAGGCTCTACATCAAGTACATTATTGGGTCATTGACCCAGTTTTATCACACAATTCAGCATTATGGTGCTGCATTTGATGAGAATCCAGATTATTTGTATGTCTTCCATGTAATTATTGAATAGATCAAAAATAGAAACAATTAGTAGAGTAATTCTTCAGTTAAAATGAAAACTATTGTCTTTCTGTTTTTTTTTGTTTTTTATTCCAGAGGCAATCGAGTTTTCGTTGATTAGAGACGCCTTTTGCAGTCCAAAGGAAGAAATGCGCCGCATTTAGCATAAAAAAATATCCTAATTGAAAAAATAACACAAATTTGATAGGGGTTAAAAGAATTTGTGAATAACTATTGTATACATATAATGTACAGGAAGGAGGATATTGTAAAAATCGATCTAAATATTAAACCATACGCTGATGTTGATAGATGTTTTCCACCGTGATGTAGCACCCAAGAGTTTTTGATCCCTCTTTGAACTGAGTTGACGTTGAATAACTCTTTCAATTAATACGAAAAAATTTATCTGCCTAAGATCAAAAGAATGAAGAGTGAACTTTTAATATTTCTCCTTCTTTCCTGTTTTTCTAGAAGGATTTCTTTCAGCTACTCTTCCCCCTTCACCTATTTGGTGAAAGCAACCTATCAACAATCCTGTACGCAAGACTGTGTTCAATTACATATATATCTGATAGAAATCTTGTTTTAAAAAGGAAAGTAAACAAAATAACATAAAAATAATACAGGAAACTGATAAACAAACGGATAAAATACACGAAAATCGTGACGAAAAAGAGAATGATTTACTCACATACATGGCGTTAAACGATTTTCCCTCTTTGATGTTTCGTAGCGAACGAAAATCATTGGATCGACCGCAAGTCTGCTGGAAGGAGATCGATGCAAACACTATACTATAGTTTGTCTCCTTCAAACTCTCATTAGATCGAGCTGGGCATAATTTTTTTGACAAAACCTGGTAAACTTACTACTTCCTAATTCATTCTTCTTGTCTTTATTTTTTCCTATGGTTTAAGCCGTACTTTTTGCGATTTCCTTTGAGAGATGAAGAGGAAAAGTTTGTCAGTTGTAAAACAAAAGATAGAAAGAAAGCTATTGTAAAAATCCGATCGTTATTGTGATGATTACTTATGATAATCAAAAGACAATTTTTGCCTTATCTCGACTTAGAGTAATGGTCCAAATAGAGATATTAAGAAAGGAAATCTTCTTTTCTACCGTTCTTCTTACTCCGTTTACTGACCCTTCATCTCCCTGCCACACTTCCTCCACCGACTATCCATCAATTTTCCTTTTACTCATCTTCTCTTTTCCTCTGATATTCGTTATTTCATCCAACGTTCCTATCTTTACCTTGGCTTTTTTTCCTTTCTATAAATAGCTCTCTATTTATAGAGCTTTATTTCCTTTAAAACATAATATTCGTGCAACCATGAGTAGTAGTACTTATGATGGGTAAAGGGAAAAGATATATTATTTCAAAGTTTTACATTTAAGTGAAAGTATCTAATTGTAAAAACATTAACAAGACTTATATGGTTTGGAAAAAATGTCGATTAAGGGAATATTTTGATTATTAGTTAATAAAAAAAGGTGGTTTTATATGACAGCTAAAGGGCATAAGTTTAAGAGACTGAGAGACACTTCCTTGAAGCAGCAAATCAATAGCAGGAAATTTTATATAAATGATAAATTCATTATAATCTTTCTCTTTTAAAATAGTCGATTAAGTAGTAAAATGGAATAAAAAATGATATTTTATCCTTTCTTCTTTAAGCTTTTATACTCTTTCATCTCATTTTTCCATTTAACTTTGGACGCTTTTCTTTTCTTGTTTTTTCTTTATTTTTCTATCATATACACTATCTTTATCATTCATTCTCTGCTCTTTTTCTCCCTAGCCATCTACTTGACTCTATCTGTGTGTGTATGTTGTTTGCCTGTTTGTATTAATTTTTTGAGTCCTTTATTTCTTCGTCAATCTACATATTTTTACTTTTCTTTATATAAAATACCACTATTTTTCTTTTCTCCCTCATCTTCCTCTTGTCCTCATTTTAGAAAAGAATAACGAAAAATTATTGGCTGACTTAAGGAGTTGAGATAAAACGAAACGGTCCCTTGGCGGTTGTCTTATTATTTCTATTACTCATTTATCTTCCAATTAGCCGTGCTGAAACTAAAATGAACAATGTCCATTGACAATTGGATGCGGGACATAGGTTCTAAATCTAATCCTTTTCATCTTTTCATCCTAGTCTATTTTTCTCTCTGTTTAGGCATTAAGAGATTAACGAATCTGAAGCGTAGGATTACACTATTAGCTATTTTGTAGTTTTGTCATAAAAAGTTTGTAAGGAGTTTCAATAACTTACTTTTATTGTAAGGATGGTAGGAAAGCTTCCGGTTCCCAATTATCTAGCTACTCAAAATGAGAAAACCCGAGGATTAATAGAATGTAAATATCTCGCCGATAAACCGCCAGATGCGCCATGAAAACCTTTCCTTCTTTATACAAAGCAGAGGAGGAGAGAAGGAAAAGGAAAGAGAACCGTATTGTTTTGACGTAGGCAAAAAGCAAACAAACCGCAAACCGGAAAGAAAACTTGCTTCCTAATTTTCCACCCCCTCCTGAGGGAGCGTATGGAAATTTTTTATAAGCTTTTGCGCTGTTACTATGGGAGTTTAGTACACCCTCCTTTATAATTACGTTTTGTCGGCAGGTGTCACCACTGTCGAAAAGTCATGTGATCAGTATTGTAAAATTTTCTAACAGTTCAGAGTACGAGCGCGCTTTGTACACGAGAGTTCATTGACAGGATCTTATTATATTCAGTTTATTCTCTTTAAAAGGAAAATTCACTTCAATTCTCATCAAAGAAGGTTTCTAATTAGGATGTAAAAGGGCATTATACACGGATAAATTAGTAAATAAGTATAAAATAACAATAATGAAGGCGTTGGGGCAGCATGTTATCGTTTTTATGCACCTATCCGTTTTCGCTGGTAAGCATACATTTTTATTCTCTGTGTATTTGATACATTTATATGTATATGTGTAATTTGTTAAGAAGCAGTTAAAAACAAACTGACCGATTAAAAACCGAGACAAAATATCCCTTATAACTTTTTAAACTTAGTATTAATATATACTGCATATATATAAATATATCTTTTTTTTACTGTTGTTCTTAATATTCATTGTGTTCTATATTTTCTTTATTTTTTTTATGTTTATATTTTTAATTTCTATGTGTTTGAACATAATTTTTCAAAATTAACTTGAACGATAAGATTACTAAAACTTCTCACAAGAATGGTTTATAACCGTTATTTTATTTTTTTTTTAAACTGAACGAACAAACAAAACAAAACAAACAACAATGGACAGAGTGAGACTAAAACTATTGTGTAGAATACCCTTTCCAATATAGAAAGGAGAGTTTTTATAGTTTGTTTTTAAAAAAAATTGTTTCTATAGCAACTAAAAAAAACTTGGTCGCAGCTGGCGAAAGTCTAAGTGACTTAGGGAAAAAAAATATAAGAAAGAGTTTTAAGCTTTCTAGAATAAAGATAAAAATTTCCTTATCATTCATGTTCCTTGTATATTTACATATATATAGATATATACTAGTAAATCTATAGATATATACATTTACTACATGTTTTTGATATGAAAATAGTTAATACTATATTTAAACGATTAAACATTAGATGATATAAATATATATCATTCATAATTATTTCGGTATTGATATTTCCATTAAATAATTCAATAGATTCTATATAATCGCTCGCCTTTGTAATAAATCAGTAATACTCGATATAATTTTCTTATTTTGTTCAAACCTATGATTAATTAGTCATACAGGTTGTAAAACGCACCGAAAATCCTGCTGTTGAATAGTTAGGCCTATAAATAAGATATGTCATTTGAACAATTATTCTGATAATTTAGCAAAGCGTTTTACCATTATAAAAGTGTATTT